CCTTCTTTTTCGACATAAGCAACATGGGACCCTTTGTTGATAACCGCGCGGCATGATGCAAGTTATATGAAATTGTAAATGCTGTGATCATCGAGCAGCCTTTTGCCGCAAGCCTGTCCACCCCCTCTCACACTTTATCTTCTAAAGCATCATCTCCCAAGATGTGGGAGTATTTGCCTTCGAAGTATGCGATACTTGAGTGGCATTTCACTGTAAACCTGCCCACCCCCTCTCATACTTCTTCTTCTAAAACCTTATCTCCTAAGATTTGGGGCCATGTAACTTTAAAGTATGTGACTATTAAGTAGCAATTTATTATAAACCTATCTAACTCTTTTTATACTTTATCTTTTAAACTCTTATCTTTTAAGATGTGGAAGTTATTATTTTTAAGATTTGTAAAGCTTTAAGTAATGATTTAAGATGGAGAGAACACCGTCTTTTCTATATTTCTTATAGGTTGTATTAATATATAAGAACTAGTCTATGGTTTGGACTAGGTATTCCTTCTAAATTAAGAAGAATAAGGAGATCTTTATTCCTTTTATTTAAAGTTAAAGTCTACTAGTAAGGGTAAGAAGGTAGTTGAACTCTCTAAACTTTATAAATTAGTCTATAAACTCCTTAACTTTCTTAAGGTAAAGATTAATATTTTTAATGACTGGAAACTAGATGGCTTAATTGTAAGTATTATAAAAAAGTAGGATTAAAACTTTAATAAATTTTTTGATAAATTCCTTCTAATTAAGTTAGGTTTTTTAAATTATATTCTAATTTATATTTAGAGTATTTAAAAGAGAATAATATTTAAATTAAAGCTAGAGGATAATAAAATTAAAAACGTTCTAATAGAAAAATAAAAGTTTTAAAAAGAAATTATTAATAGTATATAAAACATCTTTAAAAGAGCTAGTAGTAGTGGATAAGATGCCCTAATAGGTGCTGAAAACTAGGGTAAGTTAGAGATTAATATACTAATTAATAGTAAACCTATTTAACTAGAAATTAACGTACTAACTTATAGTAAATCTATTTAGTTAGAAATTAATATACTAATTAATGGTAAATTTACTTAATTAGAAATTAATGTGTTAGCCGATAATGAACCTGCTTAGCTAGTTGCTAAAGAATCCACTTAGTATCGCTACTCTATATATATTATAGAAGGAGGAGATTTACAAGCGTCTCTAGTAATGCTTATTTAAGGAGATCTACTACAACTTAGTGGAATGCTATATATAATTAGCTACTATTAGAGTAGAGTTTAACTATATAATTATTAGTATAGCTTATATAAATAAATTAAATTTTATATTAGAAGTTAATTATTTTAATATTCTATAGATTAGAGTTAAGTATTTATATATAGATATTATAAATAATAACTATTTTAATAAGTTTAAAAGTCTTTAATTAAATATTTATAAGGTTTATAGTTATATATAGGCCCTAAATGGAGTTATAGTTTTTAATCTTTAAAACTAAGATAGGATTTATATTTGTTGTTATTACTTTTATAATAGTAAGTATTATATTAAACTAGTTTATTTATTCTATGGAGGTACTTACTATATTTATATTTATAGAGTTACTAATAATTTACCTTATATTATTTTAGTTAATAAGATTTAGCTTGCTAACTTTAAAGAGTTTAAATTAAAACTTAAGATGGCTATTAAAAAGGAAATAAATCTAATTAAGGATACTCTTATTAAAGTTAAGTAGGTTATAAACTTAAATATTAAAAATAAAGAATTTTTTAGAGATATAATGGAGCTATTTAAGGAGTTTAATGAGACTCTAATAGATTTATTTGAGGAATTTAAGGAATTTAAGGGATTATACCTTTTATAAGAACTTATTTTTAAGGAAAAGGACGTTTTAAATATTTACCTTTAAGACTTATTAGATAATATTAATATAGAGCTAAATTTAGAGCTTATTATAGCTGTTATAGATATATATTAGGAGGAGGAAAAAGAGAAAGAAAGGGAATTAAATAGAGATAAGGATGAGTTTAAGGATTTCTTTACTAGTATTAAAATACTTTTTAAATATAAATATTATTATAAACTAAAAATAGAAAAGGAAGGAATATAGATAAAGATTAATATTATTTTAAATATTATATTAAATAAGGCTTAAAGTAATAGAAATAAAAAAAAGCTTTTAAAGGATTAGTATTAAGTAGTAAAATAGAATATTAAGAAGGTAAATTAATAGATATTTTTTCTAATAATAAGAATATTATCTTTCTTAAATAGGGGTATATTAAGGATGACTAATTAGGCTAATAGACTTATATTACTACCTTCTCTATAGCTTTCTATAGGCTAGCTTCTTCTTTAGATATATATATATAGATGAGATACCTTTAATAGAATTAACTATAAGAACCTTTATTTGGTTCCTTATTTGATTCCTGAAGCTTCGTTCTATTTGAGTGTTGTATAATAAACTGTGGTGGATTGAAGTAATTAAAAGAGGTCCCTTAAAAGCATTTAAACTCTACCGATCAGCCCATTCCCTGCTTCGTCATACATTACTACAGTTTGTCCGTTATTAATGCAGCGGAGGAAGGATTGGAGATGGCTTACCTTCTTCTGAGGGATAGGAACCGCCTGAAGAGTATGCATAAAGAAACTCCGTCCAGGCGCCAATGTTATCCTGCAAGTGGAGACCTATGGTTGTCGTTGGGTCCTTCCACCCCTCGATTCTGCCGAAAGCTTCGCACATATCTTCGAATGGTGACCACCCGAGCTCTTCAAAACCCTTTGCTGCCGGTATCAACGCCATGCACAAGTGGGATGAAGTCATCTACAACTTTCAGGTCCAAAGACACCTGGAAGTCTCTAAACTCGAATGTGTAGGATCCGTGCCCCATAACATACCTAGGTAAGTACGAGAGCTCTCGGATCAAAGGGGGTTGTCCTGTGCTTGCTAACCAGTCTTGTAAATCTTCGGTGCTGGCAGAGCCGAGAATGGGCATCGTCGTCGACTAAAAAGTTCTTTATGTTTATGCGGTCTTGTTCTTACTCCGTATACATCCCGAAGGTGACGTTCCCTTGACATAGTGGGAAATACTCAGTTGTTATGTAAACTTTCAATGTTCGCCTCGACCCGACCTCTCCTCGGCAGAACCCGTACACAAATTCTGAAACGCTAGCAACAAATGAGGATGTGGCTGAATTCGCGCAGTACAGAAGGTATAGACATGGTCGGTCACATCGATCCAGCAGTGATCTACTGGAAGATATAGATAAAACAGGGTGGAGGACGAGCCGTGGGTGAAAGACATTTGGACCCTTGGGGACGAGACGAGGCCAGTCTCAAGCCAGCAGGAACAAATAAGAGAATTACACGGTCTTCAATGATTTTGTTCGGGTTCTCTGAAGGTAACTTATGATGATATCGTGAGGGATTCTGAGATTACTTCGAGTTGTCCTCCAGATCATCCAAATTTATCGAAGCCCACCATAGGGCAGCCAGCTTCTGAGCCGTGTAGAATGTTCAGACTCGACGGAGCCCTACCTTCGCAGCCGTCTCAACCTCGATTTCAGAGACCAGCGCGAAGTTCAATGCAGGGTACTCGGATGGCGAAAGCTCAAGACCCAAGGGCTCAGACTGTTCGAACTGCCAGATCAACCAGTGTGTTTAGTGGCTGAAGGTGGAATAATCAAACAATATCTCCCAGGTGCCCCGCAGAGAAGAGCAATCTATACAGTTGGTCTTCTCGCAGTCAAAACGATGGGGTTTCTAACAGGAGTACACCCTCTTCCATTGATCTCTCTAGTAGTTGTTGCTGTAACTACCGTGTAGAGATATACAGTCTAGAATAAATATAGGATAACTTTAATTAATTAAACTATTAGCTATATCTTATATTAGTTATATATTTAATATAGAAACTTTAACTAACTTTTAATCTCTTACTTTTAAATAAAAAATAAATCTTTAATTCTTTATTTAAGTATTAATAAAGCTTTATATAATATTAATATAAATATTTCCTATTATAGATTAAAAGTAGTAGTAGCTATATATATTATAACTCTTCCTTAATGTATAGTATGAGTATAAGTATGTTTAATGCCCCCTTTCTAGCTTTATTATACCTTAAATAGGAGGTATCGCTGACTTTAAAAGTTGGCCTGGTGGCAGATTCTGAGAGTACCTAGGGTGGAGCACAACAGTCAAAATTATCCCAGGCATTGTGGGTGTAATGCTCGGAGCTTCAGCCAAATTCCCTTCCTTTTCCTAGCATACAGACGTCATTGAATGGAATGCCCACACACCATCTCATAAGCAATCAAGGACAAGCTTGCAAAAGGAATCTAACCAGATAAGAGACTGAGCTCTGCAGCAGGACTATTATGTCGCAACTCATTCAGCGACAGTTTTTTCTCTCATGGAATATAGTCTGCATACCTAAGTATTACCACCGTATGAAGGCGCCATATATGTCCTTGGACGTATATGGAATAGAAGCGAAACCACATACCTAAGTATCCCTTTTATCCATAGTTAATAGCTAGGTAGCCAATGGTACCCTCAAAGAACACAAGTAGTCCTATAGTGCAAAAGTTATGTACCCCTTGTTGCATCCTTTCCTTATAACACAATGATAGCAGCATCTCTACAACCTTTAAGTGGGCCGCTGCCTCGTATCATTGATGATATTAACTCACCAGGTGCAAGTCAATATACTCACAGCCATTTGCCATGATCCAAGACAAAAGCATTTGGGACAACTTGGGGTATAACATTCTGGAAATTCCTAAATCCGAGAATGACTCTGTAGAAATAGCGTAGCATTGGCAATTTGTGTAGCAAAGGCTTCACGGTCACTGAGCAGTTCCCGGAGGGGGGGTTTGTGATAATTTGCCACGTGAGCGAGCACGCAACAAAGCGAAAGAGAACCCAACGGAGAATCTTTGGCGAGAACATTAGCCCGGATGCCCCTTCTCGGTTTTTCATTGATGCACACATCTCATTATTACCTTGACTACTGTTCACAATGCACGGCTTCGGGACATGGGGATACTCCATGCAAGACCCACATCGGAATCACGAAATTGGTCAGTAGAAACGAGCCGAGACAGAATGCAACTCCAATCAATGCATTTCGTTAACCATGATGAGATATCCCACAAATAGCGTAGACATCACTGTGAACCATGTTTCTCCACCTCTTGGCACCAAACCCCACAAGAAAAGGATACATCTTTCGCTCACCACTGCTGCATCAAGCACACACTGACAAGGTGAGTAGAAGACCGAACGCTCTGCCTCACAAACCGCCTCCACCCATCATTTGCGAGATGTCGACATTTTCCCACTTGATGTCCTGGTTAGGTGAGCCCCTTTGGGGCATATGATGCATTGGCGCCCCCTGGGGAGGGGGAGGCATTTGCATTTGTTGCATTGGCGGGCTCGTTGTTACATACATCGGCTGCTGCTGTATCGACATAGTATACTGTCCATGATGCATCTGGGGGTGTATTTGACCTGATCCCGGCAGTGGCATGTGGCCAGGCATTGTGCCTGGGATTTGTTGGTACTGGCGGGGCGGCGGCGATTGATGGTAAGTATGCTGATGGTGCATGTGAGCATGCGCTTGAGCTTGAGCTTGTGCTTGTGCTTGGGCCTGAGCCTGAGCCTGAGCCTGGGCCTGAGCCTGGGCCTGGGCCTGTGCCTGTGCCTGGGCCTGAGCCTGTGCCTGGGCTTGAGCCTGGGCCTGTTGCGCCGCAACGGCGTACTGAAAGCCCTGCTGCTGTTTCGACTTGAGACTGTCCAAGAGGTCTTCACTAATCGTGTTGAAGCTTTGCATTAAGCTCTGCGCGTCGGTCCACCTCTCGCCATATTTCTGTAGGGTCAACTTGACCCGCTCTAGGCAGCGAATGCTCCTCGTCAAGTTGTCATCGTTGCTGGTCCGTGTGGGAAAGGGCGGCGGTGGCGCCCTTCCCGGCAAAGCCATGGGCATTGGGACAGACGCGCCTGCGAGGATGGAGTCACCGGCGTCTCGCAGGACTGCCATGAACTGGCTTCCCATAAAATAGACCCTCAACGCATCATGGTAAGTGTAGAGCGACGGGTTGGGGTCTGGACTTCCATGCGCGATGCCATAGATGTGGTCAAGATAGGCGATGGCGTACTCAAAAATCAACATCCGCCCGTAGGCGGTCATGACGGGGGCACGGGCGCTTGGTGCTAAGCAATAGACGTAGCTGTACTTCAACTCGAGATCGAAGAGCTCCCGGATGCCAATAGGTAAAGTCTCGGGAAGGGACTCATCCCACTCACGCATGTCCTGACACATCTGCCAGATGAAAGAAGTGACATCTCCATCGTGGCCTTCGATAGGCTGGCTAGGATCGGACTGGATCAAGGTTTGGTACCACTGGGATTGGATGCGGCGTAGTTGGAACAGAAGAATGGCAGGGTCATGCGATTGTGGACCCGTAATTGTGCCGGCGACAGAGGCTATCCGCCCTATGCCAGACATGGCTGGCAGGTCAACTCTGATAGCATCGTCGCTGAAAGAGAAGGCGCGGGCGTGTACCATACTGATGGCCCTGTGGAAACGAGGTGTCAGTGCTCAGCGCCGGAGAATTACATCGACGCTTTGGGCGAAACGTACCTGTCCAGTGCGTACACGCAGTAAAAGGTCCTGCGTCTCATATCGAGCGCCGCCCTGTCGGCTTGGCTCTGACTTGGCGGGTCCTGATGAAAGCCCAGGTCCACGACGGCACGGCACGTGAATCCAATCAAGTGCCAGCTGTCGAAATGCGCTGGGTCCAGCATGGCGTACTGAGTGAAGACTGCAAGGGATTGTATCTGGGTGGCATGGCCAGGCTGAAGAGCTCGATCGGCCAGTTGGAGGGCGTGAGAGGCGAATTCCACGCCGTTCTTGTAGAATTCGTCCTGGGTGCTCCGCGACTGGGCCATGGAACCAGTGGCCAACACCATGTACACAAGCCATTTGCTCGCGCTGTTGACGTGGCGCTCTTGCTGGTACATGTCCTCGAGTGCCGACAGTAGCACCGTGCCGGGGAACAGCGGAAACAGAGGGTAAATATTGTTCATGTAGTACTGAACAACAGTATGAGCAGCTTGCTTGTCTGGCAGATTCGCAGACTGCGGCTCGGGCAAGGGGTCGTTGGTCACAGCCGCCAGGATGAGACGAGCAAAGGTCATGTTGCTGAGAGTGGGCTCAAAGTCGCGGGTTGTGGCATTGATGGACCTTGGTGCGCGTCAGTCGGACGGGTGAGGGGTGAGGGTAGTCGCGACTCTGGGGATGCTTACATGTAGCCGAAGTCGGATATCAAAGAGTTGACATCGGAATTTTCTCGTTTCCGCTCGGCCTTACGGTGGATGGCTGCCCTGATGTTCGCGAGCGAGTCCTTGCGGTCCTGGGGCTGCGCCCTGGACAGCGGCCCATCCTGCTCGTGATTAGCGACCGAGGCCTTCCGCGAGCGAGCATAATTCAGCCGCCGCTCCAGCTTCTCGATGCGCAGCTCGAGCGCGGCCACATAGCTGGACGCGTGTCAGTCAGCCGTTTCTCGGGCGGCACGGCAGCAGGCCAGCAGGGCAGCACCAGGCGATCATACCTCCGCTCCTTGCCACGAGCAAACTGGTCGTTGGCAGCGGAGCACTCGTTCTCGCGGCCAGCCTTCTCGCAGGCGGTGCAAGCAGGAAGCTTGCCATCACACTAGATGATTTCAGCATGGGAGCGCCCAGCGGGAGAGAAATGACCAATCACCTTCACCTTCGCAGCTCGACCTTGAGTGGGCAGCAAGAGTCAGCAATGGAACAAAGGGGCCAAGGATAAGGGCCGGGGGAGGCGCCCTCTCACATCTCGAGCATGCGGATACGGGTCTTGAGACCCGTAACAATGGGTTATCTGAGAAGCTTGACCTAGGCATTCGTTTGGTTGCTCTATCCTCTATCCCAGGGCAGGAGGGCTACTGCTCTGGACCTTGGTCGCAGGATCGGTGGGCGCCGGCAAGAAGACGCCGGGTTTATGTCAAGAGCGTGGTGTTGAGCTGGACAGTGTGCTGGATAGTGTCAGGCGCAAGGAGCGTCGTCACGGTCCAGAGCTTGGCCGTCTGCTGGGCCTGCTGGGCCTGCTCGCGCCTGCCAGGGGGGCTGGACGGGGGTCCTGAGCAGGTGGCCTTCAGAAGCGGGTGAGAGAAGGGGTCGGACCGAGGCACAGGGCGCGAGACCCGAGTCAGAGGCGCTGCGCGGTTGAGATGGAAGCAGTAGGGGCTGTTTTGATCGGGGACGGACGAGCAGGTTTCGTTTGCGACAGACGCAAGGCGGCGACGACAAGACAGCCTTGGGATAGCCAGCGGCCGGGAGTGATGAGAGAGAACCCGACGGCGCGGTGATTTGCCTAACGAGCCCCCCCAGACCGAGTGGGCAAGGTGGGGTGGGGGGCAAGCCACTCACACGGCCATAGTGGTGCACTGGTGTAACTGGTGTGCAGAAGACACCGACCCCACCACGGTGGTATTTCTGCAGGCATTACGGTACCTGGGCGCTCCGTACCGCGGTACGAAGGTACAAGCCCGTCGACGACTAGCCCGCCTGGGCCTGGGTCTTGGGCTGTCAGGGTCGTTTCAATGCGGGTTCCGCTGGTTCTGATGCTTTGTTCTAATCTCTGGCCTGTCTAAGAATAACCAGTCCATCATGTGTACGTCTGTGGTCCGCCTGGGCATGTGAAATGCACATACGGATGGACAATACCGTGCGGCTGAACACTGACAGGGGGAGAGTGTGTGGTGGCCCTGCTGCCCTGGTGGGTGACTCGCCGTCTGAAATCAGACGGGAAACATACAACTTTAGAACGGCAGTTCTTTCCATATAGCCAGCCATCCTGTCCTTACCGGGCTCTGGCAGGCGGGCAGGCGTGCAGGCGTGCGGGCATGACGCCGGGTTAGGACGAAACCGTCCCCAGTAACGAATCGGTGGCGTTTCTTGCACATCCGCGTGTTTGTCGTCACCCACAAGCCGGGCTGTGGCCTGGTCAGCACGTGTCGCGGCTGTCGTTCACGGACGACTTTTGCAATTGCCGCCACCACTGGTGGTGCAGATGCGACACCAAGATCTTGGGCCGTTGAGATTGGATCTTATTGAGATCCCGCCGACAGGGAAGGCATCGCCACCATGCCATGTGCCTTGTCCAGACGGTGCACGACGGGCAGAGTGTCGGTCGGGTCGGTGGCCTGAGCACCGTGACTGACTTGCTGCAGAGATGCTTATTAGCATCCAGCTTCCAGCTTCCAGCTGCAGGCCTTGACAATGAGCAAGATGCAGGCTGAACTCTGTCTGCCGTGGGCCATGTCGGGCACTCGGGCACTCGGGCATGTGACGCAATGGAGGTAGCACATCAGCGCCCGGGCTCCGACAACGAGGAGGCTCCAAGAGAAGGGGGTCGGGAGACTGGCGTCGCGGCGGAGTATCTCAACAGTCTGGCGCAGTTTCGTTGGTCTGTGGTATGGCGATCCTAGACCTTGCGCGACTCAACCCAAGCAGTGGCAGCAGCAGCAGGCTGGGCCGGATGGGCTGGTGGGAGGATGGGATGAGGCGAGGCAGGCTGGCAGGAAGTGTTTCGTTCCTCAGCCGTTCTGTTCTGACAGGCGCCGCCAAGCGACAGGGACGATCTAGTTCACGATTGACATTTTAAACAGGAAAGTCTGGCGGGTACGGAGTAGAGAGTTTCCCGGCCAAGGTCATGTCCCCCATGGCAGGCGACAAGAGGGCTGGGCCCCCTGCCCTGCCAATGTGTCCCCTCTGAGCCTCTTTCTCTCTCTCTCTCTCTCTCTCTCTCTCTCTCCATGGCACCGAATTGACCAGCCAGACAGCCAGGGTACTTGGTAGGCCAGCAGGTGAAATAGAGAATCTTGCAAGTCAGAACAGGGACGGCCGGAGTGCCCGACCTGGACATTTGGGCCAAGATACTACAAAGTACCCTTGCCCTTCTAGAAGATCTTGAATGACAGGCATCGGCAGAGGGCGCAGAGGCGCATAGGTCCACGGGTGTTAGGGAGAAGGCCTGGCAGCCTGGCAGCCAGGGCAGAGACAGCCCCCGCTGGGCTTGAGTCTGCTAGCCTGTTCGGGAGTCGAACCTAGGGACTCCCTCGCTTCTCCCTCGTGCAAAGGTGGGGCGCCGACTCCACCTGGGCTCTGCTCCCCACGTTCCTGCACCTTTGAGTCGACCTGACGTCCTGGCACTTGCTGCCGTATCCCGTTTCCTTGCCGCTGAGAGACCAGAACAAGACAAGTGGGCTGCTGCCCGTACCCAGGTACTGTGTGGTCTGTACTGTGGTGGTATACATATTGGCATGTACTCCGTACTCCGCGTACAGACCCAGCCTGGGCAATACCGTGCTCTACCTAGGTACTCCGTACTGTACACGGTAGATAGTCCAGCCTTATTAACGACCAGTGCAGAAGGACCAGGAGCAGACCAGCGCAGCACACAAGCCTCAACCTCAACCTCCACCCTCATACCCGAATCGCAGCCACCACCGCCGACGCTGCAGAGTGCACAAGCCCACACACTCCCAGCTCGCACGCCATCCCCATCGCCGCCGCCGACGCCGCCACCGCCTTTCCTCCTTTCTGATCGACCGACATTGCATTCGCTTGCGTTCACCTCCCGGCTCGGCCCTCTGCCCCTCTGCCATCATCACCCACGCACGCAAATCCGCAATCCGCAATCCGCAATCCGCACGATATAGCAGGGCATCCGCAAGAGCTGGCACCCTGCCTCGACAACCAGCCTGCTGACCCCACCCGCCGCCCAACTGTCGAACGGGCTCATGCCTCCGGAGCCTCACCGTCCACTGCCCTCCTCCGCGACATAGACACGCAAGCCTCCTGAAGCCCCCGGCTGCTGAGCTTCCCCAGCCTGCGAGCCACACATCGCGCCGCGGCGGACCCAGTCGATCCCCTTCCGGCCCTCGCAGGAGCCGGAAACCTCGCAGATGGATGCCGCAGACGTCTTCCGGCAAGGGCTTGGTTCCGTGATTTCTCGGCCGCCCCAGTACTTCTACAACCCTCCCGGCCCTCCTCGTACTTCCCAGCCGCCCCAGCCTGCTCCCTCCTTGCGCAGACCTCCCACACAGCAGCGGGACGACGAGAGCGACGTCAACTCGCACCGAATCGCACACACCCTCACCGCATGTTGTCGCTGCAGACAGGCACGTACCCCCCTCTTGTTGTCTTCTTGGATTCGTTCCCTTCACTTGTTGCAGCTGCTGTTGCGAGCAGGCCGTGGTTGGCGCCGAGCACCTGCAGGTCCTGGGGTAATTTTCAGGGTCATGGTCCACAAGGCTGACAGGATCTTATCGATATAGCGCAAAACGAGGTGCGACCCAACGCTACCCAGGTGCCTACCCTGCGAACGCTCCGGCTCAGTTTGTGAATACTTCGACACCACGAGGAATAAGAAGATAAACCGCAACTATGTCGTCCACCTTCAACAGAAAGTGCGCCAGTTGGAGGCGGAGCTGTCCCAGTACACTGACGACGACAATGACCACCCCGAAAGCGCAGAAGACATCGTACGGCCAGGCGGCCTTGTCAAACTCAGCGAGTCAGACGAGACGCCACGCTATCTAGGACCTAGCTCCGGAATAGCCATGACAAGGTTGCTGATGGACCAGGCCAAGCGATATACGGACTCTCAGCGCATATCAGAGCTGTTCCCCGACGTTCGTGCGAGGAGGATGGATCGTTTCGACAGGATGCAAAGCATAGTTCACATGGGCGCAAGCGTAAGCGGCCCGTCTGGGATGGCTGCCAGGAAGAAGAATTTCCCCATGGTCAGCGAAATTCCAGCTCAGACACTGCCGGCACGACAAGTGGCAGACAAGCTCGTCGAGGTGTTCAACTCGCGAGGTAAGCACCCCAGCCAGGTCCGTAGGACCACGCGCCCATGCCTCAGGCCATTAACCTTGCGACAGCACAATATTTCACGCCGACACTGCATGAAAAGCAGTTTGAGACGGATCTTCAAGATGTCTACAACGGCAGTAATGACCCATATAAAAACTTCGTAGTGCGCATGGTCTTTGCGATAAGCTTACAGAAGCTCGATATCCAGTACGCCGGACTCGCCGACAGCTACTACGTGGGCGCCATGTCCTACTTTGAGGATGTCGTCCGTCCCAAGGATCTCAAGACGCTCCAATGCTTGGTACTCATTGGCACATACTCGCTTCTCACCCCAACACGGACCGTCGTTTACCACATCATCGGCTTGGCGACAAAGATCTGCCAGCAACTCGGTCTGGCCGACGAGAAAACAATCTCCGCCGGATATTCGATGGGATTGATTGATCCTCTACAAATGGACCTGCGCCGCAGGATGAGCTGGATAGTCACTGGAAACGAACTCGGTCTGGCGCATTCCATGGGTCGGCCCAATGGGTTCGCAAAGGGCGATGACTTCATGGACGTCCAATTCTTCGAGACTGTTGATGACGAGAACATCACGCCGGACGGCATCCTCCCTGGCCAGCCAAGTGAGAAGAAGCTGGTCGCGATCCATTTCTGCAAAATGCGTTTGCGCCAGGCCGAAATTCGGAGATGTCTGTACGAGAAAAAGCGCACAGAGCCGAAAGATGCCGATAGCCCTGTTTTTATCGAAATGGAACGTAAGATCAAGGAATGGATCGATTCGGCCCCGAATGAGCCAGTGTGGTGCAAGCCCTGGTAAGGATTCTTCCTTCTTGTCGGAATGCGTGGGGCCTGTTGATATTGACAGAAAGCACAGGTTTACCGGGCGGTACCACACCATGTTGATAAGTTTGCATCGACCCTCACCCCAGATACCGAGGCCGTCAAGTCGTTCGGCCTCGATATGCTATGACTCCGCAGTCTATATCATCAACCTCTCCAACCAGCAGGTCAAGAAGTCGGCCGTCGACATCACGTGGGTCTTCGTTCTTACCTTGAACATGTCGCTGAACGTTCTATTGTGGGCAATCTCGTACCGCGAGGTCCGTGAAGCTCACCCCAAGGATGACGTGGAAGATATCATCAATGTTGCGCTGGACGTCATCGACCAGTGCTCTGAACGGTGGCCCGGGACCAAGAATGCGTCGCAGCTATACTCTGTTTTTGGCCGTGCCTGCCTCCAAAGTTACGACACGAACGACGACCCATCGGACTCCTCCATAACGAGTGCCTACACGTCTCCGTTACTAGTGGACAACGATTCCCCAGCTACATCCGAGAATTCTGCACCGACCACTGTATCCAACGGCTCAGCTTATGCGCAGAATCAGCAGCGGCCTGTGTTCACGCAGCCCGTGTTTGGTTATACTGTAGAGTCAGCAGAGGACATGAATGTCTTCAATTTCGACTCGAACCCTTTCAGGCAGCCAACATTCCGCTCCAATTCCATCTTCAAAAACCCGTCTAGCGAGCCGACCGAGGGTCGTCGCCCATCATTTGGATACTTCCCGCCTGATTTCAAGCAGCCGTCACCGGGCGAGCCTCCGCATGCTGGTGAGGCCTTGCAGCATCCAGGCGGCGCAGGCCAACCGCCAACCCAAAACCAACTTCCGACGCCGCCCGAATCAATGAACCAGGCCCCAACCACTTTCTCGCCGCCGCCGACTTCGTACTCGGATGCGACTGGAAGTCCCACACCCAAGATGAACTACAGCAGCCCCATGCCGGTCGGCGCAAATCAACAGCAGTCCGTTCCCCCGGCACACATCAAATACGAGCCCGCCCCGGATGACATGGGATTCGAACCACCGTCAACACCCAACGCTCAGCCAACACCACAGCAGACGCCCCAGCAGCCGCCTCATCGCACGCCGACATTTACCGTCCCCCCGCTCCCTCTCCACGTTACTAATGGCCAGAGACAAAATCAGCAACAGCAACAACAACAACAACAACCACAACAACGCCCCTTGCCTCAACAAGCGACACTCGGCGACTGGTTTTCCCCTCCGCCGCCATTCATTTCACCATATGCATTTAACGGGATGAACTCGCCGCACGGGGCCTGGAACGATTCCGCCGCGTCCAATGCCGCGTTCTCCGGGATCATGGGCGGTGGAAGCTACGAGAGCACCAGCCCGACGAGCGTTCCGGGTGGCTTTGGGGGCGGCGGCCACGGCATGCCGCAGGGATTCGGATTCGCTGCGCAGCGACACGGCAGCTTGAGCGCGGACCAGCAGATGGAACTGATGAACATCCTCGAGACGGACGGCGTCGGCGAGATCAACAACTTCTTGGGGATGGACCTGAGCGGTCTTGGCGGCGCTCCAGGGCCCGACGGGCACATCAGGTGGAATTAAGTCAGTAGCATGAGCATACTCTGGGCCGTGGTTGTCTTCTTTTGGGCGGGGGTTATACCGCAACCTTATATCACGTGTACATGCAACCTCATCTTGTCCCCACTTGCGCATATGAAGCAGGATGCCGAGAGGAAGACTGTGTCCTCATATCTGGACGTTTAGGTGTGGGGAAATCTGAAATCTGCATAGCTTATGATGTCTCATTTACACTGAGTATAGTGAAAGAGGGCAAGTCATCGTGATTATATCTACCTCACTGTGCCATTATAGTATCTGTGAAGCAAACGGCCTTTCGCAAGACAGCGATGCGACGGGGAATACACACCGTGTACGATACAGGTCTACGTGTGTCTTTTGACTCTTAGTGGGAATAATAAAGAAGGCGAAAAGGCCGAGTGAGGCATGGCCGCGCAGTCAGAGCTGGCTTGTCAGGTAAGTCCCCATGGGGTATGAGGAAGTCTCGTGACAAGCCTAGCCGGGGCTCAGTTGTTGTCAATCGGCCTGGATCGGTGAGTGGGCTGCAGAACCTGGTTGTCACACCGAGGTTATGGTCAAAAAGGCCGGCTGGACCAAGCAGATCTTTTGAGCTGGGCGCATTGTTCAGGGCAGGGCAGGGCAGAGCAGAGCAGAGCAAGGAGGCAAGCATTGAACTTGCGAGGCGGCACCTGCAACGGCAGTGCGTAACTGCCAGCCATCCCGCCTGGCCAAAGGACCATAGTAAGCACCCTACTATTGGTGATCTCCAGCAGTTCACAAGACCCGTACCGTCATCGCACCCGAGCCTGAGCTTTACAAACATGACTGAGAGGTTCAGAGTGAGTCGGTTGTTTTCAACAATGTCTTGAAATTCTACGCGCATTGTATGTATACAGCCGCGTCTCAAGCAGCAGCGACGGCTGGCTTCTTCTTCTTCTTGGAGTGGCCGCTGCCGCCGGCCCCGGGAGGCGCCTCACGGAGCCAACGCGCCACAGCCGAGGCGCGCTCCGTCAGGATCGGGTACTCACGACCCTCGTCCATCGCCCAGCGGCGGTGGGCCGTGCCGGGCGAAGGGGGCCTTCCGCTGGACGAGGCCGACGAGGGGGCCTTGTCGCTGCCGGTGTCCAGAGGGGCCGGCGAGGCGGGCTTGGGGTCGTTGGCGACAGGGACGATGACGCCGTTGGCTTCGCCGCCGCCGCCGCCTCCGCCGTCCATCCGCTCCGCCCTCAGGTCGTCCTCGGCGCGCTTCCGGTGTGCGCTGATGGCCGCGCGCAGGGTTGCCTCGTCACCGACTCGGTCATCCTCGATGGCGCGCATCAGAGCCTGCTGGTTAATCCTCTCACGGTCCTCATCGCCAATGTCCTTCCTGGCCTCCCCCGCCGCCTCGGGGGCCGGGAGGGCCTTCTGGCCCTGCTGCACCTTTGGGCTGGCGCTGCTGTTCTGAGAGCTCTGCCCGGGATACAGCGGCGCGGCTGCGCACAGGCTCTCCCATGGGACAGCGAGGCCGACCCAGTTGTCGCCCCTACGGAGGACCTCGATCCAGTCTGCGCGGGCTGGGCTCCGGCTCGCCTGAAACATGGGGTAGCCGTCTGCGAGCCTCGCGAGGCGTGCCACCATGTAGGCGTGGCGCTGCAGCTCCTTTGTCGAGGTTTGTACGAGGACGTGGCACAGCAGCAAGGAATGCAGGGTGTCGGTCATGAGCGGGTGATATGTGACCAGCTCCATGGTGGTGCCGACATATGTGGCGTCTGTGCCTGGCGCTGGGCCGGCCAGGGTGATGTCCACAGGAGGGTAGGGTGGGAGGTCCCCCGGAGGCGTTGCCGCGAAGAGCTCGTTCAGCGTGTATACGGTGTGGGCGATTTCACCACTAGGAGAGTCACTGCGCATGTGAGACGGGGCCCGCCTGCCCTTGTTCTTGCCGGCCTTCACCTTCCTGGTGAAATCCTCGGCAATGTCCGTGGGCAGATTCGGAGAGTAGTCAAAGTTGGACAGGTAGGCCATGTAGTCCCGCAACGCCTTCTTGGCATTCGACTTGACCGTCTTCCTGGCCTCGAGCACGCGCCTCTGGGACTCCTTGTCTGCCGGGGTAAGGTCCGGGGGTGGCACGTCCGCGGCGGGCGTTGACGTGCCCGGCCCTGCCCCTTCTGGCACATGCGGCTGGCCTCCGGCGCCGCCTGTCGCGCCTGTCGCGTGTGGTATTGGCAGCAAGGCGTCATTCACGTGCAAACAAGCTATGCTCAGATAAACACCGGCGCGTGCAAACAAGAGTTGTATCTCCAGGCTGCTTGGCTGCTGGTCCTCGTCCAGCCTGACGTCCAGGCGCCGGGCGCCGGGCTCGGCGACTTGGAGGTCCGTCGACTTACCGGGCATGCCGTGGGCCCTGTGGGCGCGGAAGACCTGCAGGGCCTCGGTCAGGTCCCTGGCGGCACCATCGTAGTCCTCCTTGAAGACGCGCACGGTGGCGCGGGTCCGCAGGGGTTCGCCTTGGGATTGTTGTCCTGAAATGACGTGGTTGAGGGTGTCCAGGCTTGTGGACTCGGCCAGCTGGCGGCTGGGGATCTTCTCATGGAAAAAGTGGACGTACTTGGCATCGAGGTTGTTTGGGTCTCTCTTGAGCACCAGGCTGGCGACGTCCTCGAGGGCGGATGCGCTCTGCATGGTGGCCACACTGCATGCTATCTCGTCGAGGCGGTATGCCCTTGCCAGTTTCTGGGTGGCCTGTTCCCGCAGCTTGTGTTTGCGCTCTGGGCTTAGCTTTGGCTGGTTGCCGCCGCCAAAGCCGAGCCCCAGGGCCGCCGCAGGGTGGGAGTTGTTCAGGCTGTTGAGCGACACAACGCCACTTGCGGCGCGCACGGCGAGGTCGGTGGCATCATCGACGAGCCTGCGGATCTTGACCAGGTCGTAGAAGACGGCGGGGTCGATTGGGCGGGGGCGGGGGGTGTTGTAGTTGATGTGGACGAGGGTCTCGAGGATCTCGTGGGGGAGCTGCAGCCATGGCCCGTGGAAGGAGGAGATGTAGCGCCAGTGCCTGGGGGTTTCGGCTGGTCAGCAATTGGCCAAGGGCGCATCGCGAGGCGCATCGCGAGTGTGCTGCGACGGGACGGGCCAGCAAGGGCAAGGGCAACGAGGGCACGACTGACTTGTTGCGACAGATGATCAGGGCAGGCGATGCTGGCGGCTGGGGCAGCGCAGGCGCAAGGGGCCTGGGCCTGGAGCTGGAGCTGGAGCTGGAGCTGGAGCTGGCGACGACGTCTTTCATGTCTTTCTTGAGGGCTGGCGCGGGCCCGTCCTGCAGCGGAACAAGGGGCGCGACGATGGCGCTGCTGGGGCTGGCATTGCCCCCGCCTGGGGTCTCGTTTGTCTGCTTGTTCTTCTTCCTGGCCATTCTCAAGTCAAGTCAGGAACTGGGGGCAGGGCAGGGCAGGGCAGGGCAGGGCGCAGGGCGCAGGGCGCGTCGAGGGTCAGAGGGGAAGAGGGCTTCCTGGGCGCATCTTAGCCAGCTGCAGCAGTAGCAACAGTCGCACCGGCAGCGAGCAGTACCGTGTACGGAGTAGTCTAGTCTACACCAGGGGAAAAAAACGCAGACGCGGTTCGTCCCTGCCGCACGCCGTCGAGGCTTTCGGCATGGCGCATCGCTTATTATCATTAGCGCCCTAGCGACCGGGGCTGGCCCCTTGCCCTCGGGCGGGTTAGTGCTCTAGTTGTCTGGGTACGGAACACTAACAACCTGCATATCAACATCTGGCTGCCGACCTGCGTCCTGCCCGCTCGCATTCTCCTGTCGACTTTGATCACAGCGGTCTGCCAGACTCTGGCACAACGTCGCCCAGCTCCTCGGCGCTGAGACGCCACAGCCATCCTTCAGAGAGTCTCGACGCCGTTCCCCGCGCCCACCAGAGGTCGCCTGTGGGACATGGACATGGGACAGGCGCTAGCCATGGTCTGTCAGGAGGAAGGGAGGATGGGCGGGAACAGTGATCCTCTCCATGCAGGCACCGCACTTCCCCGTCCACAAGCACCTGCTCGGCTCCGCGTCGGTTCCGTTCGTGTAGAGATGCGACGAGGGGGCAAGTAGGCAAGTACGGCATCTTCCAGCATCATGCATTGTGCATGGTGCATGGTGCATGGCCAGCCGCTTGGGTCAGAGCCAGCCTCCTTGCCTCCCAAGCCAGGTGGCGTGGCAGCTTATGCAGTCTTCGGCCCTGCTGCTTGGAGCTGACTCTCTCCACCGACTCCCTCCCCGTGTCTATGGGCTATGGGCTATGGGCTATGGGCTATATAACAATGTTGCTATGCCTCCTCGCGCGCCCGTTGACCCGCCGCGCCCATCACCCCCTCCCTCACCTGTGCTTTCGCCGACTACCCCGTACTCCCTCACGAAATGTCCCCGATCCTCCAGGTCAGAACCCTATCTCCAAGCAGCATTTGCCTGCTTGGACTGGTCACTGTAAGTCCCTGTCGGGAGAAACCTGGGCCTCGGCATGATGCCGTGCTGGCATATGAACCGCTGTTGACAGCCCCGGGCAGGTCACGATATACGTGCTGGCAAGATGCGCGCATCTGCTCTTCTTCCACCCCCTGGCCAAATACCCCGGCCCGAGGCTTGCTGCTGTTACACAGCTTTGGCAGTTGTGCATTTCCTTCACTGGCCGCCAGTGTTTCATCATGACTGACCTCCATCGAAAGTACGGTGTGTGGCCCTTGCACTAGCAGACGCCGCCCCATGCTGACTTGGCTCTTCCTCCCCAGGCGACGTTGTCCGTGTGGGCCCCAACTCGTTGTCTTTTGCGACCCCACAGTCATACCGTGATATATACGGCCATGTCACCCACGGCAAGAAGAGGTTCCTCAAGACAAAATGGTACGAGGCAGACGAGCCACGCATCGTGAGGGTCCGCGACCCCGTCGCCCACGCCGAGCAGAGGAGGACACTCTCGCATGCGTTTAGTGCCCGTGCCCTCCGGGACCAGGAGGATGTCGTCCACCTCTACGTGGATCTCCTCCTCAGGCAGCTCAATGTGCTGGGTGCCGGCGGCAGCATACCTGTGAACGCCACTGAGATTTGGAACTGGCTCACCTTCGATGTCATTGGTGGGCACTCCTTCCTACTCTCACTAGCTTTGCCTTCTAGCGCGGCCTTGAGTCTCTGACCTCCCTCACAGGCGACTTGGCGTTTGGCGAGCCCTTTGGCTGTCTTTCCGCGGCCTCGAGCCACGGGGTCAGCCTGAACTTCGACTATCTGATGTACGGTGCCGCGAAAAGGGCAGCACGAAACCTAGGCCCCATGCTTGGGCCACTGTTCCTGCGCTGTTTCTTCTCAAAACGCACGGCCGAGAACCATTACAAGCACATTCAGATGAGCAGGGACAAGGCCAGGAGGCGTATCGACCGCGGCAGCTTGGGGCGCCACGACTTTTTCGATCATCTCATCAAGAATGGGACCCTGACGGAGAGTGCATTGATGGGAAACGCAGACACATTGATCATTGCCGGGTCAGAGACCACCGCCACGGCCTTGTCGGGTCTTACCTGGTACCTCTTGAAGAACCCATCGTGCCTCGTCCAGCTCACTGACGAGATCCGAGGAGCATTCCGCTCTCTTGGTGACATCACGGGCGACTCTACTGCCGAATTACCATATCTCCATGGCTGTCTGGAGGAGGGGCTTCGGGTGTTCCCTCCCCTCTCCTTTGGCCTGCCTCGCGACTGCCCGGGAGCGGTCATTGACGGCCACTTTGTCCCCGAGGGAACCACAGTGGCCAATGAGAACTACGCTATGGCTTTTGACCCCCGATACTGGCGCGACCCACTGTCTTTCCGGCCGGAGCGCTGGGTGGGCGCAGGCTTCACTGGGGACGACAGGCGGGCCTTCCAACCTTTTTCGTCCGGGCCGCGGGGATGTCTTGGTATCAACCTCGCTTACATGGAAATGCGAGTATCTGTGGCCAAGTTGTTGTGGGCCTTTGATCTCGAGTTGGCTTCAGACATCCCGGATTGGAACTCGGCTTGTAAGAACTACATCCTATGGAAGAAACCAGACCTGAATGTCAAATTTCACCCGCGCGTTGCCATCTGAAGCAAGCTTCGGGCTGGCACTGGACGCTGGAGTGGAATACCTTGACAATTTTGGGAGATGACGGCGTGGATCAAGTAGCGCTGAGAACGGAGTTGGCGTAGAAGGCTCTTCGAAGCCGTATGTTATTATTATTATTATTATTTTGTCGTCTCCACTGAGCCGTGCAATGAATCTACTGGCCCTTCCGGACTAGTCTTTGCAACGCGAGATCCTTGCTGCTGCTCCCACATTGCCATGTGGCAACATTTGATCATGGAGCGATCGGATGCTGTGCGACATAGACTTCCATCCACCAAAGCCCAACAGTCCCGGCCACCCAAACCCCCGCCACTGGTTCATCGTCACGCCCAACGCCATCGACCAAAGTCGGTCACCGACTAGGCAACAACCAGCGGCATGTCCCTCTGCCTGCCACTGACCGTGTTGAAGACGGCGACCTTGTCGCCAGTGATGTCCCCCCTCTCCGCCTGGCGCGCCACTGCAAGGTCAAACAGGGCCAGCTTCTGCGCGTCCAGGAGGCCCTGGATGAGGTGCTGCAGCTGGTCGCGGCTCGACTCGATGATGAACCACTCCGGCCGGGACACCCCGTAGCGCTGCACCTCGCCCGACATCCTGGCACAGTCCCGCGCCAGCTTGTCCCGTAGGTTCTGGCCGTATTGGCGCCACCAGGCCTTGAAGGCGCGGCGGTTCTGCTGGTTGGCACGGCCGACCTCGTCGAGCATTCGTCGGGTGGGGTCGCCTCCAGGCGCCGCGTGTCTGCCCCGTTGGCGTGGGTGCGCGCCGCGTGCGCCAGGACCGTTGGTTGCTGCCGATTGCTGGATCTGCTGGGCTCGATGGAGTCTTTGAAGGTACTGGAGCCTTTGAAGGTTCTGGAGCTCCTGGGGTGTCAGATTGAGGGCCATCGTCGGGGTCTCCTTTGGAAATGAGAATCGGAGGGCTGCGGCAGATCGAACAAGATTTGTAAGTGAACAGAATGCCGTAAGCGACAACAAGTCTGAGAAGGTCTAACTATAGCGAGTACCTCCAGATGTTGGCAAGAGAAGAATTGAATCAGATCGTCGTCGTCAGACTCAAGTCACTCGTTGGTGGTAATGTGAAGGTGTGTGCCTGGGAGAGTTTGTGGGGACTCCAAAGCTCATGGCGGCGCAAAGTTGTTAGATTTTTGCATGGCTGGGGGGCTTCTAAAGCAGTTCCCAGCAGCGTTTTCAAAATAGCCCAATCGCTTTTCGTCCGAGGTCACCTTGACTGCCATGAGTCCAGCTTGCCATTGTGTTACGATCAGAGACGGACTTGCTGTGTACCAATCTTGGAACACTACTGTGCAAAATTCCAATGCTCTAGACTTAGACACAAGCTGAATTGTGGCCTTCAATATGTGAAAAAAGAAGATCTGCAAGAACACATCACAATGCACCTCATCTTCTAAAAGTCGTCCAGCAGCCTGATTTTGCTAGACTGGGGACAAGACTGGGGTCGGCAAGTAAAAGAATCCTGCACACCCCAACCAGGCTTATGGCATTTCTCTTTAGAGAATCAGACACAGTTCAATCGTGAGCCAATCCATAATCTCAAGCAGTAGTAGAGTTCTGAGTCCGTTGGGAGGGAGATGAGCTGGGACACAGAAGCCACACCGGGTGTCAGGTTCAATCAATTGAAATTTTCTCTACAAATTCCGAAAGCTGTCATTTGGCTCACTTATGTGGTTTCGTTTTTAATCCCCATACATATAAAATGTATGTGGCCAGCGTTTGAAGAAATACTTGGCCCACTTATACCAATTACAATTAGTTCATCCAGCCGCAATGGTGGGTGTGTATTGTGTACAAGCAGAATCGTCTCTTTTCATCTGCCCCCATGCACCTCCATACCCTGAGCCCAAGTACTCAGGTAGTTACCATCCCAGGCTGACGAGCCGGTTGCCGCCCAGGGTACGGGCATACGTGCAGAGAAAATATGCAGAACAACTTTCTTGCCGCACTCAAAGCGAACCAGAAGGTGCAGCTCAGCTTCGGCAGCAGTCAAAGCTGTGGGACACAAACAGTGCACGAATCCATAGTGCACTGAGTACTTTGTCGCCACAGAGATTCGCAAGAAAATAAAGACTTGGATGCACGTTATGTAAGTGAGATATTAAATGTCGTCTCCACCGTCCTTTGGTGGTTCATCTCACATCGACCGTGGGCCCGCCAGTGTGTAAACAGGGAGGAATGGTGAAATAGAATGCATCGGACTTGTGAGCGTACTCATGTACGATCCTCGGGCACTCTAGATTCTGAAAGAGGCCACTAGCTAGTGGAACATCGAGGACTACAGAAGTTTGCAACCACCCGGGCAGTGTACTGTGCGTCTACTAAAGGGAGACTACCATAGGGTAGAATTACACATTCATTCACGTCTATAACAGCCATTGCAGCATATGTTCATAAACTTATCCTACATCTAACAAACTTTCATGCGATGCAATGCAACGGCGCAAAACATCCATTTTGACTATTCTCCAGCCATTTTGCACCTGCATGCTCCTTCCAAATCAGATGGTTGTTGGTAACGCTACCACAACAAAATAAATTACTTTTGAGAGCCAACAACGCACAAGCCCGTCTATCGGCGACATACTGTGTATGCTAAAGAACAAAGCCATCGGGCCAGTGCAGTGCTATGGAGACATCGATCAGAACTTGTTGACAAGTTCAAAATTATGAATGATGTTGAGAGGACACACTCTAGCCGAGATTGCGCAGACGCCTACAAAAAAGGCGAGAAACAAATTGCAGGTGTGAGAACCACCAAACTTTCACACAAAGCCGCGATGCAACATGGTTCTTGAAGCTGAGGTCAGAACGCCGAGGCCAACAAGACAGACATTCTCCGAGGCATTTGGGGCCACCTTCCCCAGGTCTCACGCCAGCAGAGGTTTTCTGGTCAGTGATTGAAACAATGTTCTCCCAGCCTATGGGTGCTGAGGTACTATTCGTCATTGTTTCGGATGGATTGACGAAGTCTGATGCCCAGGAAAAGAGGTCACAGCCCACTGAGCCGAAAAGTGGGGCGCAGCCATCTGTAATGATACAAGAGCCGTGATAGCAGTGATGGAACCACTGAGTCTGGCCCAGTCGTCTCGTCAGCCCTTGGTGACGAGACCGTTGGCACGGGTTTCAACGACTGTGAAGCCGTCTGCGTTGCCGGCACCGGCCGCAGCTCGGTCATATGCTGCGTCACTCCTATATGACGTGTAAGCATCCACGGCCAAGAACAGTCGAAAAGTGATGAATAACTCAACGTACCTGTCGCACAATATTTCCAGATCAGTATCGCTGATGATGGTCTTATCACCTGAGAACTTGAACACCTCTCCGTCCTTGAGCAGGAGAGACCGCATGGTCTCCTTGTCCAGACCCTCGTTGGCCTCCTTCTTCTGGCCCATGTTCTTGAAACTACCCTTCCGAATCACAAGCTTCTCGAGACGCCGTTTAGCGTCGGCACTCATGAGAAGATCCTCCTCCACTGTGCCCTTTGTCGCTAGTCGATACACAATGACCGGTCGCTTTTGGCCGATCCGGTGAGCACGATCCTGAGCTTGTAGATCCTGCTGTGGGTTCCAGTCCGAGTCGAAGAGGATGACTGTGTCCGCACTGGCCAAGTTTATGCCTTGGCCTCCTGCGCGTGTAGTCAATATGAACAATTTGCAGTCTGGATTGGTGTTGAATTCCTCAATTTGGGCCTGACGGTCGGGCTGCGAGACGCTGCCACTGATGCGGCAGGTTTTCCAGCCTCGAAGTTCCGCACAGTAATCCCAGAGGATGTCCAGTTGTGTCGAGAACTGGGAAAAGATCAGGACCTTACTGCCTCTCTCGAAAAGCGCAGGCAGAAGGCGGTCCAGAAGTAGCATCTTGCCCGATGAGGTCACAATACTCTCATCGATGTCTTCCGCATTCTCCCAAGGGTTGAAAAAGTTGTGTGGGGAATTGCATGTGAGCCGCAATTGCATCAGGTCGTTTCCGAGCTTTTTTTGCGAGATTTCTTTCTTTGCGGCCTCGAGTGTGAGAGCACGTTCCATCTCTTCTGCAGAGGCTGGCGTACGTATAGCCTCGGACTCGTCGTGTTCAGCATATTCGTTTGCAAGCTTCGCCTCAAACTCGTCATCAGAAAGATCATCATCATCAGACTCATTCAGCTTCAACGAACGCCTAGTGACTTTGCGCTTCCGGCTCCTAGCCGACTGAGCTGGAGTGGAGTTGTCCGTGGGTCGCGCAGTCTTTCGAGTCGATACTTCCAATGTAGGCGGCTCCTTTCGCTTCGTGGCATTGCCATTCGGCTTGGCCGTGTTCTTGGGCGGCCTGCCTCGCTTTGCCGGCTGCCCCATTAACAGCGAGAACGCATTCTTTTCAGAAGAGGGAGGCTTTACAGCAAAGTCATTGCCGGCCTCTCTTTCCGTCTTGACGGCACTCCCTGATGTTGACGAGCTCGGGGTGCCTTTCCTAGAAGCGGCCGGCGTGTTCGTCGTCCCGGTCAGCCTCTCTACCACCTTCTGCTCGAGATAGGCCCTAGTGTCGGCCTTCTTGTCGGTTATAATATTGTACAAGTCTGTTTGCTCTTTCGTCATTGGAGCGTACAGGACGTATTCACGTTTCTTGGGGAGATAGTTGGCGACATCGGCTTTGACTCGACGGAGCAGCAGAGGTTGCAGCACCGTGTGAATCTTCTTCACCAGATCTTGTTTGGTCTCGTCCTGAATGAACTGCTCCGTCCCTTCCTCGTCCTGAAGGTCGCTAAAATCGAACCAGGTCTCGAAAGCTTCCCAGTCAGTAAAAATCTTGGGCATCAGAAAGTGAAGCAACGACCAGAGCTCCTTCAGGTTGTTCTGCAGAGGCGTGCCTGTGATGAGGAAACGAGTCGCACTACGGAACTTGCAGATTTCCTGAAACAGACGAGCCTCGGCGTTCTTCAAACGGTGGCCCTCGTCCTACATTTAATTCAGCGACGGCCTTTAGCGTTGTGAGGACCCTGGCTTACCACAATGATGAACTCCCATTGAATTCTGGAGAGTGAGGAGCTGTCTTTAATGACCATTTCATAACTAGTACAGACCACAGGAAATCGGTCTGTAGGTCTTCCCTTGCTGTCCAAGTTCGGGAAGAGTTTCGTCTTGCGAAGATTATCCCGCTCTTTGGGAGTGCCGTGGTACATGAGGACGGGAATGGAAGGAGCCCATTTCTTGAATTCACAAATCCAGTTCGACAGCGTACTGAGAGGTGCGATGATAATATGAGGGCCGAGGTAGTTTTCCTGCTCACGAAGCAGGGCGATGATGCCGATGGTCTGGATGGTTTTGCCTGTGCGGGTCAGTTTGCGCTTCGTAGAGACTCATGGAAAGCTTACCCAAGCCCATCTCGTCAGCAAGGATGCCGCTCATGCCCTGAAGGCACACCTCAAACATCCAGGTGACTCCTTCTAGTTGGTAGTCACGCATGGTACCTCCAACGAGGCACTTCGGCTGCTTGGCCATTTCGAGTTCGTGTTCTCCGAGTGTTTTGCCATCGAGAGCCGTGCCAACCCGACCCAGAACGTTGGTCTTGCCACGCAGAATATCAGCAAAAGCAGCACTCTGCTTGAGAAGCTTGTCAAGTTCTTTTGCTTTTGCCTCCCGCTCAGCTTGGGTGATAGCTTTTCTCTTCCGTTTCAAAGACGCCTTGCGTTTCCTCTCGGCCTCGAGGTTTCGCTCCAAGGCCTTGGCTTCTTCACGCTGGAATCGCTCGTCGGGGACACTGTCGTCTTTGGCTGCATCACTTGGGGGAGACGATGGCGGCGAGTCATCAGGCTGGGGGGCAGGAGACGTGCTATCGACGGAGGAAGATGTGTCTGCAGCCATCGCGAATAACGAGTACACGCAGCCCAATTGAGGAGCTGAGAGTTTTGGTGGACACAAGAAGCCAAATTTTGAGCGCAAGAGTGACGGAAACGGTAGGTTTGCCACTGGTGAGGGTGGAGTTTGCTTGGTGGTGTCCGGAAGGGGGGGAGGAATGGACAGCGCAAAGGACGATGCAGAATGTAGAGCACCGAATTAATTGTGTTTGATAAGCTGAAAACTAACCAAAAGTTGGAAAAAAAGCACTGAAATCCCGTCTGCAGTGCACCAGTAAGAGTGGGGTCAGCTAATTGAGTCCATCGAAGGGAGGGTGTGCCGGTGTGAGGATGTAAGGTGATGGAGGCCAGGCACGGCAAAGAAAGGAATCAAAATGAATGACATAATGGAATTTCTGCACGCGGCTGCTACACGAAGCCACACCCTGGTCATGACGCGACCTGAACGCGTCAAAGCATGATGTTCTTTAATTGAAGTCGCCCGCTGAGTCATCTCAGACATGGCGCAAGGGGTACCTAGGTACCTAGGCCAAGCTAGGTAGCTTGTAGGGAGGGGCAGCAGCACCTGTGAAAAATCCAGCAGTTGGAGTCGGATTGCTTCTTCGTTCGTAACCCCGCCAGGAAATCCCACTGTCAACAATCCCAAATTCCCTGCCTTCAAAAGCTCGAGGTCTCGCATCCTCGGCAGATTCAGCCAAACTGTACTCTCGCCTATCTCGCCCAGCGCTCCGAAGCGTGTTGATATCCCGCCGATTCTCTTCAAGCACCTCCGTCGCCAAGAGAATCATGGCCGCCATCGCATCCCAGTCATACACCCCGACCGAGGAGGCTGAGATCCAGCAGTGGTTGACCACCTCGGAGCGGCTCAAGTCCGCAAGCGCAGAGTCCTCCTCCATCCTAGAGGCCCTCAACACCCACCTTGCCTCCCGCACCACCCTGCTCGGTACAAAGCCCTCCAAGGCTGACGTCGAGATCTACAATGTCCTCGCCCCCGTCGTCAAGGGCTGGACCCCCGAGCAGCGCACCGGCGAGAAGGGACACCCCAACATCGTGCGCCATGTCGACTTCGTGCAGAACTCGTCCCTGTTCGGCCTCACCGTCCCTGATGCCGACAAGGTCAAGGTCGACGCCGAGGAGATCCTCTACGTGAAGCCGCCTGTCGACGCGAAGGCCGAGAAGGAACGCCTGAAGAAGGAGAAGGCCGCCAAGGCTGCGGCGGAGGCAGGAGGAGAGCAAAAGACTCTTGTCGACCGCACCAAGGAGAAGGCTGCCGAGCTCAAGGATGCTGTCGTCGGCGCCGTTGCGGGTGAGGGCGGCAAGAAGAAGGAGAAGAAGGAGAAGCAGCCCAAACAGCAGAAGCCCCCACCCGCCCCCGCCGCTCCCTTGTCCCCCGCGCTGATTGACCTTCGGGTTGGCCACATCCTCAAGGCGATCAAGCACCCCGAGGCCGACTCCCTCTACGTCTCGACCATCGCCATGGGCGACCCGGCGGGCACACCCGACACGGACGAGTACGAGGGCCAGGTCGTGCGTACCGTGTGCTCAGGTCTGAACGGCCTGGTGCCCCTCGAAGAGATGCAGGGCCGCAAGGTCGTTGTCGTGTGCAACCTGAAGCCAGTCAAGATGCGCGGCATCAAGTCGTCCGCCATGGTGCTCGCCGCGAGCCCCAGACTCAAGGAGGGCGAGGCTGACGACCACAAGGGCCCCGTGGAGCTCGTTAACCCGCCCGCGGATGCCAAGGCCGGCGAGCGCGTCTACTTCGACGGGTGGAAGGGCGACCCTGAGAAGCAGCTGAACCCCAAGAAGAAGGTCTGGGAGACGTTCCAGCCCGGCTTCACCACGACCGATGCCCTCGAGGTCGCTTTTGACGCCGGCGTTGTCGAGCAGCTCGAGGGCAAGACCGGTATTGGCAAGCTGGTCACCGAGGCCGGTGGCGTGTGCAAGGTCAAGAGCTTGCAGGGCGCGACTGTTCGGTAAACGGTCTCGCGTGAAATCTATGGTGCCTCGCAGGTGATAGCGGTGTTTTAGATAGAAGCCAGCCAAAGTATGATACAATAGAAGAGTCGGTCAGCGTTGTAGACCATGGCTGATATACCATCACATCTGTCGGAACCTGTGTTGCTGTTTGAGGACTGAAAGTGTGTGCCTTTAGACTCGCGTGCTCGTGTCCATCTTGCACTTGGACACTCCACACCTCGCCACTCACCCTGAAGAATTTTGTCAAATTTCCAGAGCAGTCTGGTAGGCGTTTGAAACATGTTCTGTGTCTCCCTTCGGTAGGCTACATTATGTTTCATTTTGTCTTGTGCCTTGGTATCATATCATATGGTACAATGTGCAATGGAAGTCTTGCCTCGATGTTCCAGCCTCCGCCTGTCCGTCCGCCTCAACCAGAAACGCCCTGCCGATGCTGGATCTGCCAAAGATCCGTTTAAAGAACGCCGCCCAATGAAGTCCCGCTTTGGAAAGGGTATGTCTCTCCGGAGGTATCTATGCCTGCTGCTCGGATCTCATCATGAAAAGAAGTATGCGCTGTCCTTCAACTTATTGACGTCAAAGTCGCCTTTCTCGGGGATGTCGGGGAATGTGAGCGGGCTCCAAAGTGATATGTACTTCTTCACCTTCTGCGTCCTAGGACGTGCCCCGGTCAACTTCTCCTCAAAGTGTGACACAGTGGTGTAAAACTTCTGGAAGTCAGGCTCAGCAGAGGGAGCGTCAGTCTCAGCCTCTAAGACCGTCTCGCCGTCCATCTCATCAAGATCCGCCTCCTCAGCCAGCTCGTCGGTCTCTTCCGCAGTGGCGCTTTTCGCTTTTGTGGTAGTGGCGGACAGGCTTCCGAGTGTCGTGCCGCCCATATCCTCTTTGACAACGTCCTGCTCCGAAGCGAACTCCTCGTAGATTTTCCCTGGGGTGACCATCTTCTGGCCCTTCTTCTGGTCCGCTACGTTGGGGGAGCTGAGAAGGTCAAGCCTCTGTTTTTCAAGCAGCAACTCGGCTCTCAGAGTGGATGATGTGGTCTTGTTTGTTTTACGCCACTTTAAGATGGCCTTGCCCACCGCCGAGGACGCTTCGACTTGTGCCATGTACAAGCCTCCTTTGTAGCGGACCTCAAATTCGGAGGCCAGGCGCTTGATAACATCCTCGCTGTGGATGCGAATGAAAGCGTCACGAAGGACAGTGTTCATTGTATCGACATCAGCAGCATGCGTCCAGAAGGAGTCGTGCACCGCTGCGAACGTGAGGCCGAGTGCATCACACTCCAGCGCAGACAAGATCATGTGGCTGGCATCAAGAGAGTGAATGAAGTTGGGCGGGAATGCTTGGAGTTGTTTGCGACGGTTCACAGGGTCGAATCGGTCTGGCTTATTAAGCACGAGGGTTTGCATGCAGGTTGTGATTACCGTGCTGCTAGTTTTCCGGTATGGCTGGACAATTGGCATTCGAAGAGGCGTCGTCCATATGATCGTTGATCGCATCATCGAGAGGATGGTTTCGCTCGTGTTTTTGCCTTGGCCTTTTGTGGGTTGCTCAAGCCCTTGCTCTTCAATCTTCTTGAGCTGCTCCGCCGTCAGGGCACGGCACACGCGGCCTCCGATTTCCCCCAGCCAATTCTGGATATCATGAGCTCCTCGGAACATGGTGGATAGAGCCTTGAAGATCTTCGTGGTTACATAACTGGAAAGGAGCGGAGGGTCGATGCCTGACTGTTTTCGCAGTTCGGGGTAGAGAGCGTCGAGCTGCTTCAAGACCTGCTTCTTCGCTCCCGCGAAGGTCACACCGTAGACATTAGTCATCACAGTCTGTTTGACGACCTTGCGCTTGATCTTCCCATGCAACGCCTTTGCCATTGCATTCCCGCGCGCCATGTCCTCGTCGAGCTCTTTGATAACCATGTCGGCCACAGCGCTATACACATCGGCGGGTTTGTCGCCCGGCATCAGGTTGACTTGACGAGCGCCCCACGAGTCACCACCGAGGGCAGCATAATGCTGTAGGCCATTGCAGGTTCCGTCTTGATGTACTGGGAGGGACGAGACGAACTTGGTCGGGTCTGGAGACTCCAGCGCAGCGGTGAGCTCCATGCAGGCCGCGAGACACTGCCAAGGGTCTTCAGCTTCAAGCCACCATCTCTTACCCTTGAGTGGGTTGCGGGCGGAGTCAAAAACGTTGTCGAGGTTCTTCATAGTAAAGGTTTCCCTGTCGTTGAGACTGGCCTTGTCGTAACCGTAGACATTTGATAGATGGACTTTGAGCCACACCAGGCCTCGCTCACCGAGCTCTTTGCCTTTGGAAAACCTGAGAAGACCACGGACGTGATCCGCACCCATGTGGTTCAAATATGGCGGGACGGGGTATGCCCTCCCTCGAAAATCGACGTTGTGAGGGAAGAAGAATTCCTGGTCCCGGTATGCTCTTGCAATTTCAAGTTGGAAGTTCATGAAACAGCGGACGGAGTGATATGACTGCTTGAGGTTTTGGGCAGTCTTGATTTCCTTGATCCAATTGCGCCGCACGAGGGAGTCACTGGATGGCTCGGGCTCCTTGGGGACCGGAATCTGCGGGTGCAGTGGCGGGATATCGGCAAGAGCTTCACCTGAGTTCCACACCTCGAGGAAGACAGCCAACACGGGTCGGTTGATCCGCCATGCTGTTCTTCCCAAAACATCCAGGCCTTTGGCAACCTGGTCCAGGTCACCTTTCGCGATGGCAGCCTCTGCGTACAGTCGTTGATCTTTCTCGCCGGCCTTGAGTCTGACCATAGGTACCGGGGATTCCTGATAGGCACCCTTTTCGAAACCAGTCCAAGGCAACGGCTCAACAACCATTGGCAGGTGTCTTGCCAAGAAATCACCTCGAGGTTCCTCGCGCATCATCTCACTCAACCGGGGATGCGGCATGACTGTGCCAACACGCCTGCCCTTTCTGAATTGTGTGGTATGCACCAGTCCAGGCTGCATTGCCGTTATCGTCTCCTTGGTCTCGGGATGCTCGCGGCTGACAGGCACTCTGAGTACTTCGGCTAGCGAAGAAAGCAGAATCGCCCCGATCTTCGCCTTCATAGATAGCGACCATGGCGCAACAGTAGATGGAAGAATATCGGGAGACGGTCCATCGGTAACAGGCGTCGATAAGTTGTCAGCCTGCACTGGGCCAGCCTCGATGCCTCCCATGGACTCGAGTTGCTTCATCAGTAGTCGATGTGCCTTGGCCTTCCGGGCCTCCTTTTGCTCTTTCTCCACCCGTAACTTGGACTGGATGTCCTCTTCGACAATCTTCGCGATGTGGTTCACCAGGGTGCTCGTCAAAAGACCCTTGTCGGCCCCTGTGAAGGCAAAGGAGCTTATGGTGGTCATAATGGTGACTGCGGCTAGTCGTGCGGGCGTGGACTGCTGGAGAACAGGGCCATACACGCAGCGGTCGAGGTCTTGTACACCGTTCTTGGCCAGCTTCTCTGTTTCCGCTATCGCATCAAACTCCTTCTGGATGCGGCGCTCCAGGTCTTGATGCCATGTCCAGACATGGGCGTTGAGAGCTGGCGCAGTTATAGATGTGGCCAGACCCTTCTGGCACAGCGCATCGTGCTCTTGCCTCCATCGCTCCACAGCCACATCGATGCAGTCGCGCTCCAGCCGTGACTGGAATTCCCGTCTCTCGTGGAAGGGTAGAGTCGATATATCATAGCCGTCTCTCATTTTTTGGAAGATATCGAGCGTGGCCCTGATCGAGTGGAGGCCCATGCCTTTTTGGGGTGTGGGGAGTACGTCTGGCAGGGAGCCTTTGTCCCCTGTGGCCTCGACTGTGTCGCCCGTGTGGAAGGAGGAGTTGGGCGAGATTTCTTCAAGGCTCGGTGAATCATCCTCCGTGTATTGGAATTTGATGTTGTACTCGGGATAGAATCTGGTTATGGTGGCAACGTCGGCGTCGTTCAAAATGCCGTTGCAGTAGAGCACTTTGAGCCCCTGTTCCGGAGTCACCATCTCCATGTACCGCTTGACAAGTCTCTCCAATCTCGACAGACCTTGCGGGTTCTCCGTCGTGGGGGTGGTCAACAGCGATGCCTTCAGCATGTAGGCGACTGTGTCGGGTGTCTGTGGCAGTTGAGCACCGTGGATGTGCAGCTCATACCAGGCATGCAGATCCTCAGCCTTGCCTAGCCCCGGGTTTGACTTGAGGTCTTTCAGCCACGCCTCGAGATATCTGTTGTTCATGTCCATCAGAGCCTCTGGGCTAGCCTGGCCGTTCGCTTCGACACGCGCCAGGACTGCCCCAGCCCTCTCCAGCTTTCCAACTTGCAGGCAGGCGTCGAAGACCGGGAGGGCAGTCTCAAAGTCGCCCGGTATTCCCTTGTTGGTCGTTTTTGGGGCGGGTGGCGGCCGTGTCGGCTCTCGTAGGATTGTGGCCATGGCCGGCTCGAAAGCCCTGAGATCATAGATTCTCTGGGATTCACCTTGGGCGTTCATGGCATCGCCCACGACTGTAGCAAGCCCGCGCTCAGGGGAGTAGGTCGGATGGCTAGCTGAGGACCTTCGCCAGGGCGGCGGGGACGAAGAGCTGGTGGCGACAAGGCGGCTGCTTGCAGGCAGGGCCGTCGCTTGGGTGGCGGGCAGGTGGCATCGCGGTTCGGATATGTTAGACAGTCGTGCTATAGAACGGCCAAGTCGGCAGTTTTGCCTCGCAACGTTTGTTCGGATGAACATTTTCGGGGAAGTAACCAGGGCCAGTGCAGTGGGGGTATACTGGAGGAGGGCCGGGTGTGTCGAGTGCGTCGCGACGATGAGGATTCCGGATGCGTGGGCGTGTGGGCGTGAGTGTGTGCGTGCTGTGATGAACAGGGCGCCAATGGATGGCCGCCTTAGCAAGGCTCGATCAATTCTTCATTTGAAATAGATGGTAAGCTGCAGTCTAAAAAGCAGTCTATGGGGATGGTCTAATAAGTGTAGGTGGGTGCGAGGAAAAAGGCAAAGTGAAGTACACAGGGTAATAGGTCACTGGTGCAGCAGAGATGGAGAAGAAAGTTTTTGTCACTGGTCATGGCGCGGCGGACGCGGATTGGCGATAAGCTTTCTTATCGCTCTTAATGCGGCTACCAGATGATTGGCTGTGCCTGGCGAGCCGAGGAGGCAAACTGCTCCTCCAGCGTCGAGAGAGCAGAGCAACTAGCAACTAGCAACTAGCAACTAGCAACAGAACAGGCTCGAAAGTCCAGCAGCTAAGGACGAGAAGCCGCCTTCAATCCTGTGTCCCTCTTTCTTTCTGATACCGCCCAAGATCTTGCCGTATTTACCTACCTAGGTAGTTCACGTGGCAGCGATGTCCCTGCGACCAATTCTACGGGCATCGGCAGCAGGCTGCTCAGCATGTACGGCGTCCAGACTCGGCCACTCTACTTCACTTTGCAGCCTTGCTGTCAGTGCTGGGGCTCCATCGCCTGCCCACGCCTGGCCCGCCCTGCGACATCAGCAAGCGCTCCGCGCGTCTCTCACCGCCCGAGCGCGATTCTCCTCTCAGAAGGCCGCAGGTGAAATTGAGGCCGACAGTCGGACGCCACAGACACAGAGATCCGGCGATCAAGAAGAGCCTTGGTATCTCCAAGAGGAGGCCCCCAGGCACCCCTCCCTGGTCCAACAAAGTCAATCCTTACCAGAGGTGCCCGGAAATGTCCCCTTGATCCTGCACGACCTGGTGACATACGCCGCCGAGGACATGGGCTTGGATGATCTGAAGCTACTGGACCTGCGGACCTTGGATCCTCCGGCAGCTCTTGGGCCCAATCTCATCATGCTCTTCGGCACTGCCCGCAGTGAGCGCCACTTGCATGTTTCTGGTCGCCATCTATTGTCGTGGCTGCGAAGAAAGGGCATACAAGCCCACGCGGACGGCATCCTGGGTCCTAATGAATTCAAAATCAAAATGCGCCGCAAGCAAAGGAAGGCGAAGCTGCTCGGCACCGCAGCCACGCCCATGGGGCGAGACGATGGTGCCACTACGCGCTGGATCTGCACCAACCTAGGCACGATTTCCTCTGCTTCACACAAGCCAGTCGAGTACGAGACACCGACCGGCTTCGGCACCAAGCAGACCGGGACCACCATCGTGCTCCAGGCATTTACCGAGTCTAAGCGGAAGGAGCTGGACCTCGAGCTGCTTTGGTCCCGTATTTTGGCTCGCAGGGGTGACGACAACCTCATCACGGACGACTTGGAGTACACCGAGGCTGACGCCCATCCAAACGAATTATCTCTGTTCACCGAAGGCGGCTCCCCCAAGGTGTTCGCAACGCCATCCCAACGCCGCTTTTTCTCAACGTCTCCGAGGCAGTCTCACCAGGTAACTGACCCGCCAGCCAGCGACTCAATAACCACCCGTGTTAACTCTGCCTTAGGCCCTGCAGCTTTCATAGCTTCAAAGGTGGCTGAGTTGGAGCGACTGCAGGCACGATTTGCGAGTCTCGACTACGAAGACGCACTCAACGCACTGGAGGACTCCAACGCCGGACAACCTTCAGCATACCTAAGCGCCTGGAAGCAGGCGATCCAGCACCTGCGCCCTGAACATAGCTGGCAATTTCGACTGTGGTTATGTGTGGCTGGTCGCCAATTAGGGGTGCGACGATTTGACCTGCCTCATTTGCGAGAGCTTGTAAATGAGATGGAGCTTCTGGGCATCATATGCCACCGCGGCCACTATTTTGAGATGCTTCAAACCGTGTATTTGGAGCCTGCTGGAAGCATGGTGTCATTGTCAGACCAGTCAAAGCTCGCCCTCGACGTGTTGAATGTTATGTACGAGCGCGGCGAGCCAATCATGACGACGGACATTATCGTGTCGCTCATTGAGTCGCTAGCTCGGACTGAGGCCCAGGGCAAACCAGGCAGCGAGCTCCAAAGGATCCTGGAAAAGTTTTTGCTTCAGGCCGACCTGCCATACATGGGAGAAGATGCAATAATGCGGCTGATGAATGCATATGTTGTTCAAGGGAATTGGGAGCAATTCTGGGAAGTCTGGTGCTTGCCGCCCAGGTTCCAAGAATCACGGTCAAGGCAGCTTTACCTTCACTTGTGGGGGACCATGGCCTCGACAAACCATCAGAAACGATGTCAAGAAGCCATTCGAAGGTGTTTCCACGAGATGTTGAATGAGGATCCTCCTGTCAACCCTGTCGCTGAGGTCAAAGAAGCCCTGGAGGCTTGCCTCACGATTGCCGACCCACAGGCAGAGGGCATCGCCAAAAACCTTGTGATCAAAGATCGCAAGGCGAGAATGCTGTCGATGCACGAATTTGTCATGATATACCGGTTGTTGAACCCAAATTGGGTTACACAGCAGGCCTAGAGAGTGCTTTGAATACCTTTGGTTCAATTCAAAATTCGTCGAAACGGGTGTCCATGATGTAATTGAGATACTGTCAAATACTATCGCAAATACCCCGATGTATGCAAAAGCTGTTCCTATCATTACCTAGGTAACCGTGCTACATCTCTCCGACAAGTTTTGCATGAGTATAGCACCAAATCCACTGTAACAAGAGAACATTGCACCCGTGATATCATAAAAGCAGTCATAAATCAAAATCCACCAACTGGTCTGGTCTCATTCAGGTTAACCAAAGCCCAAACTCACCACACTAGTAGTCAAAACAGAAAATACAAACATGACGAGTCTTCGTACAAGCACAATAGGCATCAATGATCTCTAGGATGTTGGGGGCCTCAGTGGACTTTGAGCGGCGTGATTGCTCGGGTTGGACTTGGCGTAAACTACAGGGTCTAGGACACATTGCTACAACATATACTTCAGAGTAAGTCTGCATCATAAGGGCATAAATTTCAAGCTTAGAATTAGATTTTATAACACTAAGTGGTTTCACTTCTATTCCGTATTTATCTAAGAACATAGATAGTGCCTTCATACAGTAGTTTATAATACTTAATATAAGGAGTATAAGGTTTTATTTATAATAAGGTTAAAAGGGTACTTCTACCCTAATAGTAATAAAGGCCCTATTATAACTCACACTCTATTAAAGAATAAGAAAATATAACTACTTTTACTATAAATATTAAGAAAAATAAGTTAATTCTAATAAACTTATAATAATAAAATAATAATTAAATTAATAAAAGAGAGATATTATTTTAAACTTAAAATAAAAGATTTTAATTAATTAATAACGTAATATTATATATATTTATATTAATAAAATATAAGGAAAAATCTTATATAAAGTAATAATTAGTATTTTATATAAATTTATTATATCTTTAATATTTTTAAAATAAATATGTAAATTAAAAGTATTAATTAATATTTATTTAATAAGAATAGGTTTATTTTAACTATTCTTAAAATTTCAGCATGAACTCTAGCTTTTAAGAGATGTAGGAATTCCACAACTCGAATATTTCAGCTACTCTATACCTACCTAGTTAAGCTCTTGTTTATATTAGTAAGGCTCTGTTGTTCTGTATCGGTCTTCGTTTCAGGTGGAGCAATAGCGTTGCGTTCTGCTTAACCTTTTGGGACATGATGTATGCCTACAATGTGGGGCAACCTCCTGGAGTATAAATTGATGAGGTGGGTTGTTCTAATGCTCATTGAGCACGGTTCTGGCGGTCATGCTCGGTATTTCTACGCTACCCTCGGGGTCCGTGGTGAGTATATCCCATTCCCGCCAGGTGGACCTGATATCCTTGGGGTACATAATCCCAAGAGACAAGAAATGCAAATTAGGTAATGTTGCACAAAGGGACTTCCTTATACGGAATGTCCGCACGTGGAGGGCAGGGTAAATCGAACGACCCGACCAGCATCATGACTCTTGTCAAGGCTGTCCTCACCCACCTTAGAGGATCCGAGAGCTCGAAGGAAGCCTAATCCGAATCGATCGGCGCAGATAAATCACACCGTCAACTTTATTAAGAATAAAGTGTTAAGCTTGTGTCGAGCTCAATCTTGGACATGAGTCCATGAGGTGTGCAGGGCTGACGATTAAGCTACTATGAAGACCTATTCTCCTCGTGGTGAATTTCTCACAACGAAGGATGGGCTCTACCGGACTGGGTATTCCGTTAGAGCTCCACCTTGCAGTTCACTTTAGTACACAGTACAAGTCCCATTGCAGGCGCGGGCGCAAAATTGGGGCGGTTGGACAACGTTTGTTCCGCTCCTACTCCCCTGAATCTCGTTTCTGCGCGTTTGTGGCCCGTCGGATGTCGGACTATGGATTTGGACCCGTTCATGGCAGATACCTCAGCCCGGTGCATGCTCGTGATGAATGAGGCGGCGCCCTGGTGACCTCGGAAGTCGGGTATGGAAGCGCCCTTACCTCTGTGTAGACTCCATTCCAGAGAGGTTCGGTTTAATTATTCCATGGGCTGCCAATATTACCCATTATTACGTACTGAGCCGGACTCTTCGGTCTTTGAGAGCATCCTCTCAGTCCGCTCTTTCATAACTGACCTCGGCCGCTCTTTAATTGAGCAGTACTTGGAAGTTGTCCAGATGGCTTTCGCATGGAACAGTCGAACGCACGCGGGCACTGCCATACCGACTGCCACAATATCAGCACCGTGAAAACATGCAACTTCACGCCGCGTATCCCCTACTACGAAACGAACACAGTATTTACCGATCCGCCTCCAATAGATTGAGGGTCCTCACGCCACGATATGCTGGCTCAAAGATACGTGGCCATTGTGGCCCTGTTTAGTCTCGGCCACACCAAGCCCACAGCCAAGGTGCTACAGTACGATGATGTTATTGTTGCTGATAGGGATGGCTCAATCGTGGTGATGAAGGATTACGAATATGAGCTTCAGGAGGCACGCGAGACGTTGCATCGCCGAAAGGCCGACCTTGCCCATGTCTCGCCTCGAAGAGAGACGCATACAAACCAAAGACGGTGTGACGAGACTATAGAATACCAGGTGCTGTCGGTAAGTGGACATCTCATCAAAACTTGCTGCACCTCTGGCTGGCAGCTGGCCAGACAACTTTGAAGGCTGCCTGGCGTATCATTCCGTCTGATGTATTCAGCCATGATTATCCAGTCTGAATTCCTATACTCTTTTTGATACCATTGACTCATGACTGATACGGGGCCTACGAAAGGATACGAATTTTAACGACTGGGATGTTGCAATGTCACCCGTCATTGGCAACATCGGCTCGACCGAGGCTTCCGTGGCTGTGACCAAAGGATACTCCGTGGCCAACAGTGCCTACGTACGTGAACCGAAGCTCTGCTCCGATATTGTGAAATAATTTTCTTGTCTAGCAGATAGTGGGCTAACAACAGATTTAGGGGAATAACGCGATCTCGCGATCCTTCCTCGAGAAGTTGCTGGGCGTCGACATGCCGGGGAAAGGGACTTGGACCTGGACAACAAGTGATGAACAGAAGTTCACTTTTCAAGTTCCCCAGGGCCAGTATGGACTTGTCATCAGTAATCCGTACGTCCGCCGAGTCACTGGGAACTACATTTCTGGCTGCGTCGACTCGCCCAGCTTTGAGCCATGGCAGACCACGACGCATTCGACGCAGGAATACACGAATATGCAGTGGGTGAAAGGACCTATCAGACTTTGTAATAGCACCTCCTACCCAGTTCCGTACTGTGTCGGATCGGGAACACACAAATAGAACATTACCAATCAAGGAGGTCAAAAGCGACGTGAGCCCTTCTGCAAGACTCGCACCGTGGACTCCCAGGCCTGCACTGAGCAAGCCAAGTCGGCAACAAAGCCCCGCATGGCCACTACATAGTCTTCCAGACCTGAGTCAGTCTGACGTCCACGGCCTGTCGATTCACAAATATCTGCGACAGTTCTGACAGCTCAAGAGACAATTGAACCACCGGTCCTCTCAACTGCACTGCGCTTGAAAACATTGAAGGACCAGCAAATCCCGTAGACCTTGGAAACCTGCAATACCTATTACTGGGATTTTCGAATCACTAGTATTTCAATGTTTCGAAGCATCTCTGCACTCTTTCGGCCCTCCCCGATGCGGCGGTCCAATGCTGTGCGGCCGAGCCAAGCGGTTGCTTATTCACTTGTAGTGCACATGTGCACGGTTGGGCAGCGAATGGTCACTAAACTCCGGGCCGCCAGTGTGCAGTCGCACGGAGATTACTGATGGCCAGGCCGCTAGCTTGGATCCCGCCCGCAGCGGCCGCCGGCCGTTCTCTGGTGAGACGTTGGTCCCCGAATAGGACGCTATCCTAGGCCAGCTTGACCTCAGCGTCATCCTGTTAGAGCTCCATCTAAGCGGAACCCACTCCGCACTCCACGGCTCGATACGGCCGCATCGCACTTTACGGAGTACTCCGTACAGCGGCGTTCGTATCATGGCCCGTAGGAGCTGCATTTCGCCGGCGTCATTCACTCTGGTGACCTGTTGGATATTTATGTATATAAATATATATATAAGAGCAAAAGACATCTGTAGACAATGATTGACCACGAACAGACACAACCTCAAAGGACCCAGCAGCTATACCTAGCCCGAGCGCCTCCAGTTGATTCTTCCGAGTCCCTATCCATGTCAACAATGATTGCACCGTCACTTTCTAGTATGGCGCCCCCAAGCGACAACAACTTGAAAGGCTATGCCCTCCCATCTGACGCGGTCTGGCTCATTACCGGCTGTTCTTCCGGTCTCGGCCTGTCCCTGGCCCAGCTCATTGCCTCCCACCCGACGCACCGCCTCGTGGCCACTGCTCGCAACCCATCCCGGCTCGAAGACGCCCTCCCTTCACATTCCCGTGTGCTGGTTGTCCCGCTGGATGTGACCTCGCCCGCATCTATCACTTCGGCTCTTGACACAGTCCTCAAGCACCCAGGCTTCGGACGGATAGATGTCTTAAGTTAGTCTCAAAGAGCCACGTTTCTCCATCCCTGCCGCTTCCTTTTTATTCTCAGCATTGATATTTTCTGAAATGACCCTCCCCTAACGAGGCTGCCAGTAAACAACGCCGGTCACGGATTGATGGGTGACACCGAATCATCTCTGCCCTATTCGCCAATGGTACCCAACTCCTCAGATGAAGAGCACTCCAAAGCACGTGGCGTGGTTGAAACAGACTTTTGGGGGACAGCCATGATGACTCTTCACGCGATGCGTATCATGCGCGAGAACAATTCCAGGACTGGTAAGCAAGGTGGTATGGTAATACAGATCACTTCTATGGGCGGCTACATGGCCTTCCCCGGTAACGCCTGTAAGCAGCTTCTCGATACAATCCTTACCCCTTCAAGAACAAACATATCTCATCCATGGGTCCTCATCCTATACAATAAAGACTTCAAGGGCTACATGCTCGAAGACTGGCTATATCTATATTGCGGCCTTCTCCTCGCAATGCTTTATTGGCATTAAGCTACTCTTCGAATTCCTTGACCGCTGACTCTTAGAGCTGTAGACTACCACGGTGCGAAGTTTGCCGTCGAGGGATTTACCGAGAGTGTTAGGAGAGAGGTCAGGCCAGAGTGGAACAGTAAGGCCATTTCCTTTTCCATACTGTCTACCTAGGTAGTGATGAGTGTATGACGCATATAGCAATCACTAACAACAGCGATAGTCCACTTCACAATAGCGGAGCCGGGTGGCATTGACACAAATTACGCAACATCTAGTGTAAGTACTTGGCTTCTGGATATTGCCAGCCGCAGCCTCTTCGACATGTAAACATCCAATTCCTGGCTTGTAACCCAAGGACTTGCCAGGCTCTTGTGTTAACACATGAGTTTGTCACGGGCGTGGCCCCGTCACTATTCCATACAAAACCTCGGCGTCGGTGCTCTGCTGACTGAATTCGCATGCTGCAGATGGCTACTCTGGCCAAGCATCCAGCCTACGATGCTGAAGATAGTCCTGCGCGAATGCTAGCAGCCTATGTGGACAATCCTGAAGCCCGCAAGTCTTGGTCGCGGCCTGACGCTATGGCTAACGCCATCTATGAGATGGTAGCGCAGGGCAAGCCAGTCCCGGTGAGATTTCCGCTGGGCGCCGTAGCTTGGGAGGTTTTAAGGGCAAAAGCCGAGGGTACAATAGAGGAGTTTGACCAAAACAGGTCACTGAGTGTGGGTGTTGATGGCACTGAACAGCCCAACGAAGTGGAGAAAGTAAGCAATTTGTACTGAGCAAGGAATTTGCCTTGTCAGTAGCAGCGTCATGTGTTAAAACCGTCCTGAAGCTAGGTATTGCAGCTAGAAAGCAATAGAGAAAAACAACGATGGTAAAAATGTTGCAACCTTCTGTCCGTCCGATAAGTAGATGCCAACCTCAAACACAGTACAGAAACCACCTGGGCACCGTCCATTCCCTGTCATGCAGTCACTAGACGTTGTGACGCAGTTTTAAATCCTATCAGAATACCGTGAGGCTGCAGGAAGAACATTCAACAACGCTCTCTGTCACGCAGGGCTTCACCTGGGAGCATGACACCCCAACCCCGGCGGCTAAGCTGCTTCGCCTTGGACCTCGTGGGCCCCATTGCTCTCGGCTGGTGGGCCTGATTTCTTGGGGGCAGGCTCGTCGATGTTCGGGGTTATTTGATCGAACTCCATCGCCTTGACAAATTTATAGAATGCAGCCGCGAGCAACGCGCCAAGGATCGGGCCGACCCCTAGTGGTGAAGTTAGTCCTGCTACGGGTCCTAAAGTGTTGTATTCTAGAACATTCCAAAACATGAAAGACGGGGATCCGTAAAAGGTGAAAAGTGATACTGACAGTAGACCCAGTGGTAGCCGGGAAACCCCCCCCTCGTTACAACCTCGGGACCGAACGACCGCGCGGGATTCAGGCTGCCACCGGTATACCGGACGCCCCTGTGGTTCACATCAGCGGTAAGTTGAGGAACAAAGGCACGGTTTACGCACATCAGTTCACAATTGAACAGAGCCAGTCCAATACCGACAGGAGCGACAGCAGTCGATCGATGCTTTTCAATTGCAAGCATGAAAACGACAAAGACCAGCCCTGCGGTCAAGAATGCCTCGAGGAAAAGGCCCCGGACGATAGAGGTGTCGTCAGCGAGACCAGTCGTAGCAGCGATACCGTCGCCAGGTAGAAGACCAACGACCAGAGCGGAGGCAGCAATACTACCAAGAAGCTGGGCGACAATGACCAAGGCCAGACGGAGAAGACCGAGACCACCGGTGGCGAACATGGCAATGGCAACGGCAGGGTTGAACATGCCACCCTCGATGCGAAAGAATGCCCTGAAGGAGGAGGTCAGTCCCAGCCCCCATCTTTGACGACTGGACACACTCCATGTGTTCGATCGATGGGCGGCCGTTCAAATGTTCGATCACAGCATGCGGCGGACTATCCTTCCGTTGAAGACAGAGGATGCTGCCCCGGGCCGGGGCCGAGATTGTGCGGGGTGGCTTACCAGACGTTGACAGCCAGTGAGATACCAAAAGCCAGGGAGATGTAGAGCAGTCTGGCGATATCCACTACTCCGCCCAGGGCCGAAGGGGAGGTGTTGACAGCATGGGTGGCACCCAGCGCGAACTAGACAAAGTCAACTCGACGCCCAGCGTGGATCAGGCAAGCCAGACCAGCAAGGCAAGAAAGTCTCACCAGAAGGAAGAGAAAAGTCCCGACAAACTCGCTGGTGGCGGCTGCAATGTGAGCTTTGACGGGGGCTGGGAAACGCCGACCAAGAGGCTGAGAGATCAGGGCCTCTCCATTAGACTCGGGGCCAGGGCCAGAGACTCTCTGCCAAGGACGAGGAGGCATTGTGACGGGGTGGCTGGCCGGAAGAGGTATGAACTGAATCGTTGCGCTGGTGGCTCAGACGCGAAGGATGGGATGGGGCGGTCCCGGCACAGCGACTGATGCTGACAGGATGCCAGTGGCTGGAGAAATCGAGTTGAGATCGTCTTGGTGCCGTCCACAAGACAAGAGGGATCAGATAGTAGAGGAGATGGCAGGGCGCTGACTGGTGCGTGCTGGAGAGGACCGGGTTGGAAGAGGAGAGAAGTCTTTTTGGGGGTGAAGAAGAGGTTGGCTAGACGGCCTCAGGAGTATGGATGGCCCTTTCTGCGGGCTATCTGGTGTTATGACGGCCTTTGGACAACACCCTGGGAGGAAGGTACGAACTGGGACAGAGACTACGGGCATGCGAGGAGGCAGAAGGTGGGAGACACGACATTGATTTGACTCAACCAGCAACCAGCAAGTGCAGGAGCAAGGGCAGATTCTGGCGAGGCAGGAACCGTACACTACCGCCACGAATCAACCAAAGAAAGGAGACGGAAGCAAACCACACCTGCAGACGCCGCGAGCACCCTCTCGTCCTCCTTACTGTTTCCTCTGCCTTTCCACATGAGGCCTGCCCGGCCCTCACCGCCTGGACGTGTGCGTCCCATTGGCAACCACCCAGGTTCACCAACACCAAGTTGTGCACGTGCACGTGGGCGTGGTGGTGCTCACTGAGCATCGCGAGACAGGCCGACGGCATGTTGCCAGCTCAAAGCCCGAAACGGTCCGTCGAGATCAAGGGGACACCTTTCTAGGATCCACAAGCCCGGGCTTTGATCTGACACTAACAACTGCGACGAGTAGATGCGTGCTTGGCCAGGCTAGACATGTAAGCAACGCGTCGGGGCCACAACCGCGACGGGATGCATCACCTGATAATGGTACCTAAGTAGCTACTTCCAGGATTGGCGTCCCCTGTCGTCCTTACACAGCGCCTACGTATTCGGAAGGCGCCGAGACTTGGACATCTTCCTCGACCAGGAGCCAGCGATGGCGCCGCCGCCGGCTCAGAGCTTTGTGGCCGAGGGTATGATCGGCTTCGTCCTCGCCCGGCCGTCAAGCTACAGGTGCGAGCTCTCCAGAGCTCCTTCCATACTGGCCCAAATGTGGGTAAGGATGACCGTTGTGCCCGAGCACAGAAAGGCCCGTCTAGTACGTTGGGATTGCCATTGGCCGTTTGAGGACATCATCTCAGCATGTCCACAGAACGGCTCCAACGATGCACAGTTTCTCGAAACAGGCCCGCCTTGGCCTGGCCTTGGAGGCTAGCCCCCGGGGGTTTACAATGTCTCGTTGCACCATCAGTATCCCTCTTTCCGATCGCCAATCATGGGTGTGTCGGCGGGATCGCGGCGGACAGCCCTCGATCCCGTGCAGATGAGCTCTGCGGCCAGAAACCTTTTCGATCGTGGCTTGCATCCGATGACTCTACTGTCTGTGTCGAGGAGCGTTGGCTATCACCGGATGGCTGGCCTGTTCCGCCGGAGAAAATGGCCCTTGGGTGCGACGCGATGTTGTCCCTATCAGCGACTCCTTCAGCGGCTGCCAGTCTGCGAGGCACTTGCCCGCCGCACGAGCAACCTCAATCCGATGCAGGTTCCCGCCTATGGGGTCCCGCTGCTCGGGCTTGTACTCCTGCCATTTTTTTGCCGATCCCGGGGTACTCTGGGCCCTCATGCAATGATCTGCAAGCCGTATTTAGTGACAGTGCCGTTTGAGAGCCCATTACCTGCAGTCTCGCAGGGCATCGTGTTCTGCAGACAGCCCACATCGATGTCCATCAACCCGACATGTTCCTCTCGAGCACAAACCTTCAATGCTTGAATGGAGCAGAACAAGCGGGGATGCCGAGTAGGGCGTGAAACCAATGTCTCGCTTAAGAGGAGATGATGTCCCGGGATAGCGGCGGCAGGCCCATTCGATGGTGAATGCGTTGGCGACTGCTAGTCTCAGAGAACAGCCATGAGCAGCGGCCAGCACCAAGTTTCGTAATGCTTTGCCGCCGTTCGCTGCTCGGCGACTTGTCTCGTGGGACCCGAGATTGGGCCCAAACACATTGGCCGCATACCCAGAATCGAGGCTCACAAGAGATGACGACGAAGCACATGTGGAGCTATCGACCAAGGCCTGGGCAAGGTCGTTGTGCACCTTGGAACGATCCCGCCACTTGCCGAGCCTCCTCGCCCCACAGGGCTCGAGAGCATCGTTGTAAGCTTGCCAATGATGTTGGAGCGTAGACAGGCAGGCAAACACTTGTTGCCTTGTCCGACCACGACTCTCGGGGGGGGGGGGGTGGACTGGACAATGGGCACCCCACAGCAAGGGAGCCAGACCTCACCAGGGCTAGCTGAGAACCCCGGGAACCGAGCAGAGAGCGCTGAGTCGAAACAAGAAAGGGGCGGTGCCAATGAACGGGGTTCAACGAGGCTATGTTGACTGAGAGGTCGTCAGATGGCCGTCTGCCATTGGGCCGACGTTGGATAGGTACATGTTCTGTTTTGAGCCGCTGACGACGTTTGAGCTCGGCGGGCTGCAGGGTCTGGTTGTTAGAGGAATCAAGACCCCTGCTATTTGGCTCGGAAACAACGCTGCGTCATTCTAGGCCAATGAAGCTTGCCCTCCCCAGGCTGGTGAGCCGAGGACCCTGATCGTGGCCAAGTTGTGCCTGACCTTACCCTCTCGACTTCCGGTGCAAACCCCACAATGACCATCAACCAGCTCCCAATACGACTCGCTTGTCGCCACGCTGGGCTCGAGGCAATTCCTCCTTGCCCGGATGCTTGGCTGGAGGCCAGGAGGAACAAGGCAGCACCCCTGGGATAACGTCTTTGAGTCGGGGGCAGAACCGCTCCCAGAAACGAGCCGGCAGTGTCGTCCCGCCAGGCCCAAGGGATGTGGATACCGACTGAGGCGCTCTCGCCAATGTCATTCGAGTTGCCGCGCGCATACCCTGCTGTCCCCTAACGCGGAGAAGAGGAGGCCATGATGTGTCCAGACCAGGGCAGGGGAACCAACCGTACGACGTGGTGTCCGGACCTGCTTCCCATTCGAACATGCAGTCGGGTGGACATGAAGTCATGTCGGGATGATATATCGGGGCCTCAAGTGAGCCCCTCAAGATATAAAGGTAGCGGTCGAGACCGCGTAGTAGCTAACCCACCAAGCATCACTGCATCATCACCACAACCTTGGAACTGTCAAGCAGCTCACACCGCCGCCAGCTCTCAACAAACATCCTTCGCGCCTAGATACTTCCATCGCCTACTGTCTCTATCTGCCAGTAGGAAAAACTCTCAGTCTTCAGACCCCACCCAAAATGGATTCCTTTTACGACATGAAAAACAACAACACCGCCTACAGCAGCGAGTCTAAGCTCAACACCAGCTCCAACCCGGGCTCCAAGCACGATGCGTCCAACATGAACCAGGCCAGCTCAAACCGCAACCCTCGCCGCAGGGCAAGCAAGTCCTCCTATTATTTTGGCCACCGCGCCAAGCAGTCCTCGGGCAGCAGCTTCTCCTCCTCTTCTGACAAGAGCGAGTACAACTGGCCTTTTCCTGGCGAAGACGGCCCCACCGGCTCCAGTCAGGCCAGCGTTTTTGCACCCCCGGCCAGCGAGAGCACCCCGTCACAACAGATGATTCTGAGAGAGATTGGGGCAGCACTGACGCTGTGAATGCCCTGCACACAGTGATCATTGCTTCCCATCCGACCACCACCGCCCTGCGCCGCCTGCAACAGTCTGGACCAAGATCGCAACCTGGATGAGGAATGATGTTGTCGCCGTGGCTTGTGGAACTCGCGGCGAGATGCAATTGATGCTCCATATTTTCTTTATGCTTGTTGGGAGTGCCGTGACAGGCCCCAAGATTGTCTGATGTATTTTTTAGCGAAGCGTTCAGTTACCCTGCAGTTACTCAATCCCAACTTCGAGGCTGGTTTACCTCTGCTTATGTTGACCGTGAAGTCTTGGCCATGCCACTAAAGAGACGGCGAAAACGTGTATGAATGTCATTTTTTTTCTCTTTCTGGTAGCTAGCCGCTAGCTAGCGATTGTTGAGCACATTTTTCTTTACCCTCATTGAGAGGGTTGTCCGTGACCATGGGCTGGTCTCGCGGGTGTCGCAGCGCGCAACAGCGCCTGCGCACTTGCTATTGCAGCACAGCTCTCTAAGACTTCAGCCCGACTAGAGAGCCACAGACTGCTGTCCCTCTTGAACCAACCTGCAGGCTGTTACCCAATCCCATCCATTCGTACAAAATATACACATGCCCTCGCTATCATGCCAAAGGCCATTCCGCTACGGCAACAGCCACCCTCCGCGGCACAAAACAAAACGCTACTTGGGCGTGATTAGGTAAGTGCCTGGACTCATTTGTGCTCGTGATCCAGCGCTCGCTCTGAGGAGGCTGAGAATGCCTCCGAACATGGCAGGTATTGGATGGATGCTTAATTCACGTTGGTATTGGCACCGTGCTCCTAACAAAGATAGGAGCTGCCTGGGAGAAACGGCCACAAGGCTGCCATACCAGCTTGCGAGCGTCAGATTTGGTGGGGCTCAGAAGACCGTCGAGACCGAGCTGCAACTCTTTCCCGTATGTCCTGGACTTCTTGGTGGTTGCCAAGCTCGCGTGTGGATTGGGTTTTCGCGACTCAATCACTCTTTCTTATCCACATTGGCAGCCTTGGGCTCCGAGGTGGTCGCCTGCGCCTTGTCGGCGTTGTTCTTGTCTCCCGCATCCTTGGTCGCCGATGATGTCGCCGCCTTCTGACCCGCGCGGTACTTCTCGATCTTCTCCCACACGTACCCAAAGCTCTTCCTCACGCCGCCAGTCAGCAGGCCTTTCAAGCTCTGAGTGGTGCTGGGCCACCCGATCGTCTGCTTGATGACGCGCCGGACGTTTGTCCTAAGCTCCGCGGGGTCATCCTGCGCGATCCTCGTCTCGAAACCGCCGCCCGAGGTGCCGCCCAAGCCACCGCCCAGCCGCTTCTTGGTTGACGACGACGCGTCAGCCGCCATCATCTCGTCGAATTCGAGCTGAGGGATCGCAAACTTCTTCTGGTACTGGAAGTAAAGCCGCGAGCGGAACGCCTTGGGAAGCCTGCGGACCATGTTGCCGCGCTTGATTGGGTCCATGTCCTGCTGCAGCTTCAGGTTCGCATCCTCGTCCCACTCCCAGTGGGGCTCGGTGCAGCGCTGGTCGTCAAACTCCACGTTGGACAGGTTCTCGATCAGGGGGGTGTAAAGGCGCCGGAAGTTCGGCAAGTTGTTGCCGACGATGTTGCTGACTTTCTGCGGGTTTTCCGTAGGTAGGGTCATACGTGGGTCTCCGAGGTAGCTGATGCCCGCGATGGTGTTGTACAACTCCAGCTCCGTGAAGCGATCCGGGAGCAGCAGGAGTGCGGTGCGCAGCGCGGAGAGGAGGTTGATCTGGTTGGCGAGGCGCACCCGCGCGTCGTCTCGGAGGATCTTGACGGGCTTGTGCAGCCGGCCGGCCAGGTACAGCGTATCCCACTCGGTCAGATCATGACACAGGGCATCGATGTTGACCACGCCGTACTTGATGAGGATGCCGTTGACCACGACGTGCGTGTTGAAGTACACGCCGGCGCCCATCTTGTCCTGCACGTACGACACGGCACCAGAGCCCAGGCTGGCCAGCCCGCTGTAGTGGTCCCGGTGCTGGTTGATGTTCAGGCTATGCCAGTGCTGGGTGAAGGTCACGCCGAAGATGAAATCGATCATCTTGGGGGTGCCATCCTGGGCCTTCTGTACAGCAGGCGGCGCCTTGGGATGCACGCGCGCAATTTCCTCGGGCGAGGCAACACGGCCGTCAGGCTTGCTCTGTGGGAAGACGCCGGAGCCGTACGCGAAGCAGTAGCGGACAGGCGCGCGGAACTGCCAGGGGATCTGGCGCAAGGCCTCCTTGAACTCTGCGTTGATGACGATGTGCTGGTTGACGCCGAAGTTCTTGTGGGGAAGCTCCTTGAAGTTCTTGATATTCCAGTTGGGGTTGGCCTCCCAGTCCTCCTCCAAGTCATTGAACGGCGATTTGGCAGAAGAGGTGGCGCCGCTGGACCTGTGGACATTGGTCCTGACGCCATCATTACTGCCGTCCTCTATGGCATCCAAGAGAGACTTGGACTCGCCCTCGCCCTCGCCCTCGCCCTCGCTCTTGTTCTTGTTCTGGTTCTGGCGCTCTCCGAAGTAGCTGCTCGCAGTAAAGGAACGGTGGGCGGCAGAAATGGCTTGGAGTCGGCGGTAGGGGTGCTGTTGGGCTGTCGGAGGGAGCACCGGGCGCGCCGATGTGCTGCGCATCTACAGAAGAGCAGCAACGGTCAGCTTGCGCTCAATTGCAACCACCATGGGCGCAGGAGGGCTATGACGCCTGATGGCGGACGGCCCGGATGCTCATAGAGCTTACCAGAAGTCGCAGCGTCGCCATTGCTGCCGCCTTTTGGGGATTGCCAGGGGGGGAGTGAACGAGAGAAATGGGTGTGTGCCGGCCCAAGGAGCACAAGGTGTTGAGAAGGGAAGGTTGTGTAGCAGCCAATGCCGCCAGAGGTCACCTCGAGGATCTTTCCATGCCTCGGGTGGGATGAAATTGAGCGTCTGGAGGGAAGCTTACAGATTTCCCTTCTAGAACTTGCCGGGGTGAGCTATAAGCTTTCGGTAGCACGGCTGGAGTTAAGGGCAGTACCCCCGATCCTCGTCACTGCGTCACTGCGTGGGTCTGCCGGATGTTCTAAGGCGGGCCCTCAGCAGAGGCGACATCCCAATCTCCTCATGGAGACCTGTCCAGACCTAATAGAGTTGAGGGGGACAAAACAGCCCGAATGAACTGACAGACTGATAATAAGCCATGTGGAACAGGAATTGGTTTACATCTGCGCAGGCTTGCCGAGACCTGCACCCCATCAACAAGGCCTCCCAGGGACCAGTGGGTCAGGACGAGATCTAACAGAGACCAGAGGTCAGAGGCACAACTTGGAATGGAAGCCAAGTACCTCAGTACGTAGTCAAGTAGTTGTGAACTCAGCAGGTGATTCTTCTGTCTTGCAATCCGGGTTGGACATACTTCATTGAGCCGGCCCAAGTATTTGAAAGGCTGTCACATCAACTGCAGGGAACAGAGTCCTTTCGGATGAGCAGGACTGACTCAATACCACTTGATCAGGGAGGCCAGAGACTGGCCAGCACATCTCTTCACTCCCTTGTAGAAGTTTGAGAGCTTGAGAGCAGACAGCATGCTGCTGTTAACGCAGATGCTGGGATCAGAAGCCAGCCTCAATGGAATGCACCAGAGGACGCCTTGGACTGGGGCACCACGATAGTGAGTGCTCACAGTAGGTTTGGAGCTCTGGGCCCCACGCACCTATTGACCTACATTGTACGTCCTACCTACTTAGACCCTAGGGTAGGTCGCTACTTAAGTACCTAGGCTGCAGCTAGGCAGGTCACTTACTAGGTACCCCTGTGCCTGCTCTCCAGCCCAGCCAGCCCAGCCAGCCCAGTGCCCAGCCAACTGGAGCGCGAGCAAGTCCCTAGCGCCTGGACATTGGTTGCGCACGTCAACAAACATACAGACTGGTTGCATAGGACTCCCTTGATTCCGTTTCTTCCTCTGGACGGTGACCACATGCGGCCATGATACCTCGCACTCCACAGGGTCCTGGCAGTGACCACGCTCCATCTGGCCCTGGATCACGGCGAGGGTCTGGGTCGAGCAACAGCAACAGTTTTCGACTGTCCACCTCCAGCCTGCCCAGGCCACATACCTCCCTTCGAGAATCCAGGGTAATTAGTCCCGCTCCCGTCATGTTGTGTCCTACGCTACCAGCGCCGTCGATCATGCTGACTCTCCCTTTGTCCAATCTCAGCTGAATGCTATACGCGGCAGTAGCAACCAGCCGTCCTACAACCTCGTCGCTCAACAAGGCAAAGAGCACCCCCAGTCGCAATCGCGCTCCAGGTCCATGTCCCAGCCGCGACAGTCACCCACCTCCCCCACATTTCCACGCGCCGCCTCGCACGAATCTTCTAAGGAAAACGTCGCGCCTGCGGATGCAGACGAGTATGAGGCCCAGAGGCGCCAGATAGAACAGCTGAAAGCTGACCTCGGCACCCTTCGCTACACCATCACCACCGCCGAAGCCGACCAGGAGATCACCCGCGTCCGACAGGAGAATGAGCTTCGAAAGGCAAGGGCACTGGCCGATGCCGAGTTCAAGAAGAAGCAAGCGGCAGAGACTGAAGCGCACGCCGCTCTGAGGCATGTCGAACGTCTACAACAAGAACTGCAGGAGATCCGCGAATCCCAGCATGGCCAGCAGGCGGAGACGGAGAAGCGCGCAAAGGCGGCTGAGGAAGAGGCCAGGCTTCTGAGGGAGCAGATTGAGGATCTCCATGCTGCCAGAGATGAAGAGTCCCGGTTACAAGAGAGAAAGGTCGCAGATTTACAAACCCAGATCCAGACAGCGAGTAACCAAATCGCGAAATTGGAGCAGGATGCCCAAGCAAGGGAAGATGCCCTGCGAAGTTCTCAAGAGCAGCTGGCGGGCAAGGATGGTTCTATCGAGCAGCTGGAGACTGAGGTCTTACGGCTCAAGGCTCATACCGGCGATGCAGACACCATGGCGATCATACGGAGAGAACTGTCTGAGCAGGTCCAGCACATCCGCCACCTCGAGGCGACAAACGAAAAGCAACTGGCCGAGCTCAAGCGCCTCCGACAGAACCACAAGGCCGTGGAGATCGTAGAGGAGGAAAAGGCCTCCCTTTTGAGAAAGCTAGACGCGGCTGAGGAGATGAGGGCCGAGCTTGGCGAGGAGCGGAGACAGAGAGAACGTTTGGAGGCTGAGCGTCTGGCCTGGGCTGCGTATCTAGATCATGAGGGCCAGGCTGAGTTCGACTCGCCTGAGGCAATGGCTCGAGCGCTGGTGCAGGAACGCTTCAACTCGGCGTCGCTCCTGGAGAAACTCGGCTCGATACAGCCGCAGGTCGCGGAGAGAGACGCCCTCATCAAAGATCTCGAGGATGAGAAAGCCAGCCTGGCCACCCAGCTTGAGCATCTTAAATCGAATCCAGTCAATGCCACATCGGACAAGGCACGCCAAAGATTTGATCGCCAACGCGTCCTGGCCGAGAAGGAGGTCGAGTTCCTGCGGGCGCAGCTCAAGTCGTACGACAACGAGGACATGACGCTCCAGCCCGAAGCTTACGACGAGTCGAAAGGCAAACGGATCCAGGAGCTCGAGTCCCTGGTTGATAAGTACAAGGCCGAAGTGAACAGTCTTGAATCCGAGCTTCGATCGGCCGAATCATCCGGCAGCAGTCAAGGGGCGGCGGCAGGCGTGAAGAGGCCATTTCCCACCGATGACACCGCCGGGTCCCACCAGCACCACGAACAACTGGGCCAGCTTGCGCGTAAGAACCGCAAACTTCAGGACGACTTCACATCGCTCGAAACAAAGCACAAAGTCCTCCAGAAGGAGCTCTCTGTCGCGCAGGAGCAGCTTGCGGCTGCCAAGCAGTCCAGCAATGTGCGCATCCTGCAGATGCGCTCCAACCCGACCGACGACTACCAAGCCGCCAAGCAGGCCACCATCAACGAGCTGCGCAACGAGAACGCGGAGCTCCGTCTCCTCGTGCACGACGGCGATGCGAGCAAGTTCCCCGTGGTGCCGGTGTCGACGCTCATCGCCCTGCAGCGGGACCTGCAGGCCGCGCGGGACGAGACGGCATCGGCACGGAAAAAGTGCCAGCGCCTCAAGGAGGTCTGGACGGACAAGTCGGCCGAGTTCAAGGAGGCCGTCTTCCAGCTGCTCGGGTGGCACGTCACCTTCATCCCCAGCAACAAGATGCGCCTCGAGAGCGTCTACTACCCGAGCGAGACGGACGAGCACGAGCGCTCCATCGTCTTTGACGGCGAGCGCGGGTCCATGAAGGTCGGCGGCGGGCCCCGGAGCGCCTTTGCCCTCAAGATCTCCGACACGCGCAAGTACTGGGTCACGGAGAAAAACTGCATACCGGGCTTCCTGGCCGCCTTGACGCTGGAGCTGTACGATGAGGCCGTCAGGGAAGGGGTTGAGAAGTAGGCATCTGGTTCCGGTGGTGCGGGCATAGCTATCCTGTTGCTTTTGGAGCATATTGTAGTATACATTGGTACTTCTCTTGCATCGCGGTCCCGGTGGTTTTTCTGGCCGGTTATTAATCAAACGTCTTGTGAGAAACAATAACAAGCAGAGCATTTGCACTTGACTAGGCTCTTGAGTGTACAGTTTACAAAGTAGATTGATTGATATACCAAACACAATTACGTGTCAGAAAAGGTACGAAGAGGTGGTATATAGCGTCACGTCTCTTATCAAAGACCCGTCCACGCCAGAAACATCGTTCAGACCGCGCAAATGCAGTAGTCTCTCTTTCCGCCCCGAGGACTTTGCCCCCGGCCGTCGCCTGCAGTATGCGAATCGCGACTATTATCGTCGAAAGCCAATATGCTCGCCCTATCAGCACGTCACGTGCACATTGCTTTTTACCTTTTAATTTTCGCCCAGACCGCCCCTGCTTATTTCGCCTCGTACTTCCCGCTCACGATCTTCCTCGCAGTCGGCACCAGCTGCCAGCTAACTTTCGAGTCCTTCGTCCTCGGGCTCACAGCTGCGCTCTCGTCTGCGAACGGGTCATCCTCGCTGTCGCTCTTCTCGTCCTCGGCCGTCGCCTTCCCCTTTCCTTTGTCCTCCCTCTTCCGGCTTAGCGAGATGCCGCCGGGTCGACTGCCATCATCCTCTTCCTCCTCCCAAGCGGTGCCGGAGCTGATGTACTCCCACCTGGCCTCGATGTTGCCAGCTTTGGGCTCCGCGTTCTCTGCACCGATGATCCGGCAGACAATCTTCTGCCAGTCCGCACCTGGCTGGAGAGTAACGTCTCCCAGCCGCCAATAAACCAGATGCTTGTCCTTAAGGTGCGTGCCTGCGGGTTTCGTCTGGACGCCGCTGGCGCGCGCATTCGTATAGGTGGCCATAATGGTGAAGCCTTTAAGCACCACCGGTTTTTCAGCATTTGGCGTGAAGTCGGGATTAAGCTTGTATTGTAGCAATAAACCGAGCTTGTCTCCAGTCGGTTTCCAGGCCGGGTTGATCAGAAGAGGACAGTGACTCGCGAGGTGGGAAGAGGTGGGATCTTCGGCGTGAACACGGTACGTGAATCCTGGTGTAGCAATTTTGTTGGGGATATGCGACAAGTCGAGGGTGAATTCGTCCGGCGACGGTGTACTGGACACGAAGATTCGGTTGGGGCCAATAGCTTCCAGACTAGGGAAGTTATTGATACGTATCGCTTCGCGTGCTGTTTCAAGTTCATCAGTACCACCATGCTGCTGTCGAGAACGTGGGGCGACCTACCATCGGAGATCGTGCCGTCTCCGTTGTATGCAAATGCGATCTCCCCATTGATCCGGACTGACTTCAAGACGCCGCCCTCGAAGGACGCAGACACCGTCTCAACGATACTGGAATTCAAGCCCGGGGCCGTCAGCTCCGGGTGTTTGCCGTGTGCCATCCCCCCTAGGCTAGTCGCACTCCTGACTGACTGCGTGTCGCTGGTCCCGGTCACGCTGGCCTCACTGGCCAGCGTGTGTATAGCTGATGGTCGCGAGCTCATGCTACTACCTGCGCCCTGCAATGCGGGAGATGGTGGTAGGTTTTGCGTCGGTTCGCCCGGCGAGAGGGACGCAGCGGCTTCCGGCCCGGGCAATGTAGGAGGCGAGGGCATATACATTGTGTTTCGCACATCTCGCCGGCCGCGCACGGTGCCTGACCTGCGCGCAGGCATCTGCATCGTGCTGAGGGTGTTTGCAACACTCAGCTGAGCTGCCTTGGTCTCGTCGGGGTCCTCCTCGGCGATCGGGCTGTTCTGTATGTTGAGCTTGAAGAGCTGCTCGTGCTCCTCTCCTGCCTCATCTGCCGCATCCCTCTGCGCCTGGGAAATAGGGTCATTTGCTGCTGTCGGTATCGTGAACCCCTCCTCGTCCTTGGCGGGTTCGCCTTCCTTGTTGAAGTGCGATGGGGGTGGGCCTGGCGGTGGCGGCGCATCGAAGATTTCCTCGGCAGTCATCCCGTTGAGGCCAGTGGGCAGGGTCCGTGCCGGTGCATTCTGTTCCGAAGCTTCGCCGTGTGTCCCATTAGTAGCCGCTGCCTCTTCGGTAGCCTCGGGCTTGGGCAGCCTGGGGGTATCAGGTGCTTCTGTCAAGGCATCAAGCCTACCAGTCGAGATAGCAAGGTTGCTCGCAGAGGTGTGTGGCGACAGGCGGCCGTGGCTGCTGGATGCTCGATTGAAAGGGCCGGCATTCTTGCCTGGAGAAAGTTGACCAAAGCCTCCATGGACGCTCTGCCTTCGTCGGCCAAGCATTGTCCCAATCCGGCTCCGTAGCTTGTTTTCTGCGCTCTTTGTCAGTCACGTCCTGATGCTTAGGGACCCGGCACGGCAAATACGAACCGGACTTGTCGGCCCCAGGTGTCGAATGGTCACTCCGATCGTCATCATTGAAGGACGTTGCGGTCTGCGGCGGAGCAAGACTAGAGTCTGCAGTCGAGGGGGGCTGCACGTTGCCAACGGAAGATTGCCTTGTCGCTGTCGGCGTCCGGTCTATGGAGCCAGATCCTGTCCTCCTTTCGAACTTTACTCGGCCGCCGGTTGCCCTATTTGCGAAGTTTTCAACCTCCTTCGATGTGTCGGCCTCGAGAATCGTAGTGAGGGCGTCGTTGGCTGTAGCCCGTAGCCTGTCGGCCTGGTCGACCTCGTGCGTCTGGAGCTGTGTGAGGACGTCTCGGAGATGGTTGCACCGCTGCTCGTCGAGGGCCTGCAATGTTTCGAGGATGAAGGGCGCCTGCGACTCCCACTGTCCTGTGGCCGATTCGAGTCTCGCGGTTGCCTGGTCGACCTTGAGGGCGCTGGCCTTGCCGCCCTTCCTGGTCAGCTTGTCTGCCTTCTCCCTGGCGTCTTCTAGCTCCTTTGCGATGGCAGACAGATTCGCGAACATGGTCGTCATGTTCTGGAACTCCTTGCGGTTCTGGAATTGGCGCAGGTCCTGCTCGACATCCTTCTCGATTCGTTGGGCGAACAGGTGGTGCGAGGCGGCGATGGCGTCGGTAGAGTGGAGGATCTTGTCCCAGGAAGGCTGGAAGATGCTGCAGAGGGGTAGAGACGCATTGTTAGGAAGGCCGACCCGAGGACACATTCGGACTCAGACTCACCCCAGGTCGGACGAGGCGTTGGGAACCTTGAAGAGTAACAGCTTCTTGAGCCCAGCAACATATTGGTCCTCGAGCCGCCGGCGTTCCTATGATGCGGTGGGTCAGCACCCTGGGCCGACTCGCGTGGCCAGCACCTCGGAAGGCTGGGTGGTCGGGTTGTGGTCCGTCATACCTGGAGCCAGTCTGCTATCTCGGTGTTGACCTTTCCAATGCGCTTCAGGCGATCGTTGACGACTTGCACGGCCTGTCCAGGTTGCAAGTTTGCCTAGGCGGAGGAGGGGGAATCAGTTAGCAAGCTGGCGTTGTGCTGGTGCTGGTGCTGGTGCTGCTGCCGCTGTTGGGTGGCACCGGCCAGCACGAGGTGGGCGAGCCGGCGCATCGGTACAGGTGCGCGGGTGTGCTTACCAGCATTGCTGGGTATTCGGATCTCTGAAGGTCATCCATGGTTGGATATGGAGGACTCGTTTGGGCGCAAACACTGTGCGATCTAGATGGGCGCGAGCAGGCGAGTCATCAGGTAGCAATTGGTCCGCGGGCTCTTTGGTTCGGCAGGTCGGGGGGTTCAGGAGGCCCGGGACCTCGCTGCTGTCGGTCTTCGGTGGGGGGTGGGCGACAAGACAGCGGTTGGGACTGGCAGACGGGGGAGGCGAGGGCAGGGGCGAGGGCAAAGGCGAGGGGCGACGACTATGTACAGAAGGAGGTGTGTCTCGCGATGTCGGAATGCGGACCAAGATCACTGGGACCGCATGTGAAGTGTCCAGCTCCAGGTTGGTATGGGGTATGGGGATGGTGGTTTTCTTAGTTCGCTGGGAGTGGCTGGCCGGGACTGGGCTGGCTGGGCGGGCCGATACGATGTTGCAATGACATGATCTGCCCTCTTGGGGGGGGGTTAAAGCCCTGGATACCTAAGTACCTAGGTTGGTAGGTTGGTAGGTTGGTAGATTGGTAGATTGGTACTGTGTACTGTATGCTAGGTCATTAATCTACCTGTATGATGGAGCAGAGCAGGGGGGGGACGCAGATGAAGAAACGCTCGAATGTCCAGCGGAGATGCGAAGGAATGGGCGCAATTCCGTTCAATTCGACTCGATCCAATTCAGTCCAGTCCGACCCAGCCCGGCACGCCGGCGCGGAGCTCATCAATTCGTGGTAAATTTGGCCTGCCTGTTCATCTTGCTCGCCTGCCCCCAAGGACCGGGGGTGCCTCGTGCCTCGTGCCGCGGCCCGCACAGTCGCAAATAACTTCGAACTTACTTTGCTTGAGTAGTACCTCATCGCAGCTTGGGGTTGGTTGGGCTTGGGGCCGTCTGGCCTGCGCAGTTAGGGAAATGATGCATGTTGATGTCACCAGGGTAATGCTGCGGGCGTCGGGGGGGGGAGGGTGCCTAGGCTTCTCCACCCCTGACCCAACAAAGGGTTCGGGTCTGTTGAAGGAGTACGGATACCGCCCCCAAGGTGCTGGTCACCCGTTTTAGGACAAGAGTTTTGGAGTTTAAACACTACATATATGAAGTAGGTCCATTAGATATTATACTCAGGTGACAATCTAACACACACAATAGTCAAAGCCCAATTGTGGTGATTTTCTTGCCCCGTGCACTCCCACAAGCAGGGGGGACCGGGGAGGATGCAGCAAGCAAGCAGACCCACGCCTCCGCCACAAGAGCTCGAGCTCGCCCGAGCTTCGTCAACGGCTGGCTGAGACTGACACGGCCTTCGTGTCTCAACCAGGATCCGCTTATTACACACGAGTTCCGTCGGTGTCGGTGTCAGTGTCATTATGCCTGCCTCCCAGGACTGGCGAGGCTCTCTGACTGCCTCGCAGCGATATGACAACATCCAGAAAATGTCCGTGAGCCTGGTCCTCTCTACCAGCACCCTGGAACCTCACGGCCTCTGTCGCTGACCCTTCTTGACTAGTCAGACCATATTGTCCAACCACAAGGTTGCAGTAGCCAGTTCTGCATTCACATTGGAAAACGATGCCTACAAGTCTTCTTCTTCAAGAGCAAGTACTAGCTAGGTCTTGCCCCCGGAAATGAGCAGCGCTGACGCATCTCTAGGCCGAATATGACGCTGCTTGCAACAGTCCGCTCACTGCAGGGGATCAAGAGCCACCACAGCAAGCTTCAGAATCCCCCGGTGCTGCTTCCAGTGCCTCCAGTCACCGTGACGACGATGCAGGCGAAGAGGGTGGCCAGAGGATAGGCCCGTACCTGAATTGTCAGTACGTCGCCAGCGGCGTCACTGCCGAGGTATACCGGTACAAAAACCGCGCCCTCAAGGTCATCACCGAGACACACGGCGTCGAGCCCCACAACCCCAGTCGCGAAGCAAAGATCCTCGCCCAGCTGAAGAGGCCATGCATCCCCCTCCTCGAGACCTTCCGTGACCACGAGGACCGCTTCACTCTCGTCTTCCCCTTCATGCCCCTGACACTGTCCACCCTCCTCGAGCGTGGGCCCCCCACCAATGCACAGGTGAGAACGATATTCATGGACGTATTCCGCGCTCTGGCAGATATACACAAGGAGGGCATCGTCCATCGCGACGTGAAGCCGCAGGCTATCCTCCTCGAGTCACCAGATGGCCCGGCCTACCTGTCCGACTTCGGCACCGCATGGCACCCGGAGCTGTCTGCCGCTACCGAACCCGCTTCCGCCAAGATCCTCGATATTGGCACCGGACCATACCGCGCACCCGAGGTCCTCTTTGGGGACAAGTCGTACGGGCCGCCGGTGGACTTGTGGGCTGCAGGCTGTATGCTCGCGGAATGCGTGCGAACCCCGCCCAAGCCCCTGTTCGAGTCGCGCGCAGCGCATGAAGATGGGAACCAGTTGGGGCTCATACTAAGCATCTTCAAGACCATTGGTACGCCTACGAGGGAGACTTGGCCTGAGGCTGCCAGTTATAGGACGCCACCTTTTGACATTTACCGAGTGTTTGAGGGGCAGTCGTGGGAGGGCATTCTAACCGGCGTAGAGGCGGGTTTGAGAGATATGATCGCATCGCTGGTGAGATATGACTCGAAGAGGATGACGGCAGATCAGGTAAGAACCAAGACCCGGCAATGCGCTTGTTTCTTTGAAGAGACTCGCTGACCTTAGTTGCAGGCATTGAATTGTCTGGGCTTCAAAGAAGACTCATTTGTGTGATTTGTGAGCTGTGAGGGACGGTCGGGACAATGCATTGATCCTCAAGGGCCTCATTCATCAGAGACAAAGCGCGAGGAACAAATACTTTGTGGTCTTCCGCTCAGACATCACCAGGACTAGCCACTTGATCAGATACTCGCTGAAAGAAGCTGCACATAAAATGGTCGCTCAGGCTTGCTCTCGTATGGACGAATGAAGTCTGTTGATCAACCCGATCCTCTTGTCTGGACATTTGATTTACTCTGTTGTGCCCCGAGTTAGAAACCCTAGCTCGGCTCATCGATCAATACAAGTCAAATCCACTTTGAGGTTGGGGGTGCATCCATTTTCCTCTTGTCTCACTCCCCGTCGTGTCACGAGCCCCATCCGTGTTCCATTTTCCCTCCATGGCGGATTCTTCTGCTGCCAAAAACACGCAGTCTAACACGGGGCCACCAATCAGCGACCTTCACTGTGGGATGGGTGAAGGGTGCCAACACGAAGTTAACCCTTGGAGCAACGCTGATCCGGAAATACAAAAGTTCTCGACAGCAGCCCTCGAGGCTTTACAAGAGCATTCTGCGGGTAAAAGCACGGAGCCTTTCGCCCATATGCACGAATTTGCGACGAAGGAAATTGCTTGCCGAAAGCTAAACTCCAGTCCTGCAATTCCAAATGGTAGCACAAGTTCAAGGCAGACTGCGGAGGTCCTCTTCGATGTTGATGACTTCGGGCCTCCTAACACGCCTCTTGAAGAAACCACGTCAGAGGCTGCATGGGGGCGTCCAGAGAGCGAAATTCGCGATGACATTGCGAAGATGAGCCTTGCATGGGTGAGTGCAACGCGAGAAACCACAAGGCTACGTCGCACTAACAGCACAAGACCGACATCGGTCAAACACAGGGGTGTAAACGAGGTGGCTGATGTGGTAGACGTCGAAAGTGAAATGGAACCCTCCCCAATAAGCTTCGGAGATGTCGAGGAGCTGGAGTTCGAGATGGGAATCTACATGTAGGCATGTTCTCATTTCATTACTACTATCTGAGCTGTAGAGGTTCTGAGACGCACAACTAAGTCAGCGCACCGGTCTGCGCACATCCCCACCAACGCACATTATTTCTTAACTATATAATATATTATTATTAATTCTATATAACTTTTAAAATTCTAAGTTAAATATATATTATAAGTATACTTAATATTTATATAATAATATAGTTTTTATTATCTAAATAATATTATTTATAATAATAAATTAAAATATATAAAATTTATATTTTTATTAATAAATAAATCTATTTAAATATTAAAAATAAATAAGTTATTTTATTTAAATCTTTATTTTTTATTTATATATATAATAGCTTTTCATAATAAAAGAATAAGTAAGTATTTTTGAAAGAATTATTTAAAGTTAGAAATTTCTATTTTTAAAGTTTCCTACTAAATATAAGAAATATTTTTAAAACTTTAAGTTATTATAAAAATATAGTTTTTAATACTATTTATAATTTATTATATATAAAAAATCTATTAAAATTATTAAAATTAAAATTAAAAGAGTTTCTATTTTTAGAAAATTAATAGAATTAATTATTAAAGATTTTAAAAAGTGGAGTAAATTCCCTCACTCTTTTACTCCACTTTTCTTAAATCTTTAATAATTAATTCTAATAAATCTCTATAAATAGAAACTTTTAAAATATATATAAATATTATAATAATATATATTTTTATAATAAAACTTATATTATTATTTAATTAAATTAAATTTAAAATTAAATTTTAATATCTTAACTAATTTCTATATTAATTATTAGTTATTTAGTTAAGAAGGAAAATATTAAACTTTAATTATTTATTTCTAACTTATAGTAATATTTATTAAAAATTTAAATTTTTATTTACTATAAATAAAAAATCTAGTTTTTAATAGTATTAAATTTATTTATATAGTATTTTTATAAAATTAAATAAAGTCTAGTAAAAATCAACCTTTTTAGTGGGAAATATATGTGCGTTGGTGGGGATGTGCGCAGACCGGTGCGCTGACTTATCTTCAAGAAATCAAACAATAACAATGGGCTTTTTTTTATAGGAATCTCTGCAAGACAAGTAGTTTTGTTTCTAATCTCTATACATGTGGTTTCGTTTTTAATCCCCATACATATAAAAAAATCTCTATACATATAAAAGACATATAGCACCTTCATACAGTGGTGCACACTCAAGACCCAGTGCTTTTAAAAAGAATTCAGTGCTAATAATAGTGTAGAGAACACAGTATGTGGGTACGTGGCTACCGCACAGAAATGGCCGAGAGGCATCACTCCCAGTGAGACAAGATCCAGAATCAGGAATGCTATTTGTTTTTTCTGTATAATCTATTAACAACTACACAAAGTTGCTCTCGGCCCAATGTTGTCAGTCAACATTTAGTACTGGTGATTAGGATAAAACTATTCAATGTCTTCTAAGCCACATGTGCAATGGTCCGAGAGGTTTTTTGCTAATTCACTATAATCTACTAGCATTCTAGCTTCTTACCTAGGTATTTAAGATAGCAGTGATTGCTTCGGATAGGGAGTATAGCGTTAGCTAACTTGGCAAGGGCCTTCTTTGGTGGTGATGGGTGAAGCTTTTGGCTAGGGTTTCCTTCAAAGGATTCATTTAAATACCTACCTAGGAGACTATCTTAAGTCTAGCCATATGACTGGTTTCGCTTCTAATCCGCGCACGTCTGGGGACATACATGGCGCCTTCATACGGTGGTAAACGATTAAGACCCAGCATTTTTTTTTTTAAAAAAAAAAAAGATACCGTGTCTATAAATATAGTTAAAATACGATCGGTGTCACCATATGACTGCTTCGCCGTCTATTGACGATTCTACCCTAGGTTAGTCAACGGTGCCGTTAGGAGGCGTGCTTCCTGCCAACTTTAGAACGAGCTTGAAGGTAGCCTTGTCGGTACGGCATGAGGCCAAGGCTACGTGGTGAGACGGCTTACCTACTGACTGCTGGCGCAATAGACCGCTCGGCCAAAAGACCATAATAACCAATTCGACAATTGGTTACCTCTAGCAGTCTACAAGCCCGTACCGTCACACGTGGCCAGGCAGAATCACGTCCCCCCTCCCCCCCCTTTTTTTTTAGAAAAAAAAGATAAAAAAGGAAAAGCGCTAGATCTTTGAATGTTTACTATAGTAAATCCCTAAAGTAAGCCTATATAATAGAAGGTCTCTCACATTTTAATGGTGCCTAGGAATAAATCTGTATTTACTTATAGGGATTACTACCCTCATACCGATGCAGCCGTATATCTCCACACGTGAGTACCTAGTGAGTTCTCTGCGTAAACACAAAGGTAACTGACCTACTCCGGGACTTCCAAGGTTGCATGTGCTCGGCCAGAGATGCTTGGCAGAAGACATCGGACGGCCGGCTCAAGGGTCAAGCTCCTTGCCCAGCCAAGCCACCTCACACCAAGAGCTTTCATCTGTAAAGTCTGTTTTGGCCTGATGATAGAGTGCACCCCGTCAACAAATGTCATTTGTAGCATGCTTTTAATTCGGGTAATCTCAGCTACCCTATGACCAGATGATCCCATGTGTGTGTCGGATTAATGCAGCAACAGGCTTTATTGGCAAAGGTAAGAGTCTATACTATTGTATTATAACTATTGTTATCGACATTGTATTCTTTCCAAGCGCTGGGTCTTGAGTGCTTACCACCGTATGAAGGCGCCATGTATGTCCTTGGATGTATACGGAATAGAAGCGAAACCACGTAAGAGTCTATACACTTTATTGTCAAGATAGTGAGATGCAGCCTCTCCGGCTGGCACTCACGACCTATGGCCCGATGTGTATCAATCGTATGCGTTGGACACAGGGGGGTAGCTGTGCGGGTCCGTCTTCACGCGGTAGCTTTCGGCAAAACCCTTAATAAAGAGGCACGCAGCCCTTTCGGACGCAGCGGGACCATCATAAGATCACACGACTCAGGGACCTCGGGAACAAATGAATACAATGCTGTCGGGTGATGACCGCTGTAAAGCTTAATGTTTGTTCTCGGATATTCCAAGGTTCTGCCGTCACACGCGCGGCGCCTGCGGAAGACGTGGGAACTTGGTAAGGAGATTGGCAGCGGATATATATTACCTAGGTACATAGCCGTGACTCGCACCTGGCAGTTCATCCTGATAATGCCCACCCACGCTCGTCACTCTCCTCCAGATTCACCATGAGATTGACTAACATTGTCTTTCTTTGTGCCGCCTCGGCCGGAGCTGGCGCTTTTGCGCAAGCAGACGAGGTCGATGTGCTCATTGTAGGGGGAGGTGCCACGGGGGCTTATGCAGCTGTCCGAATCCGTGAGGACTTTAACAAGACTGTCTTGGTCGTCGAGAAGACAAATCGAATGGTCAGTATATTCTTTGTCGCCTGGGCGGCTCCCATCCCTCCGAGGCGCTTCAATATTGATAACTGACGAGATACGAAAAGGGCGGCCACGTTCACACATACTCTTCGGGCAATGATCGCCCGGTCAACTATGGCGTTCAAGCATACCTGAATCGTCAGACAACTGCAGACTTCTTCAAGCGTTTCGATATGGACCTTATCAACCCTGACCTAACTGACTATATCGAACTCTTGTTGTTAACTAAGAACGTTGACTTTGAATCTGGAACTTCAGTTGATGTTGACTATGGCCCAGTCGACCCGCTTGGAATACCAATTGCGTTTCTTAGGTACCTGGCGCTGGCCATTGAGTACCAGCCGTGGTTCGAGAATGGGTATTTCAAGACTGGCGATGTCCCTGGGGATCTACTATTACCCTTCGGCGAATTTCTAGAGAAGCACGACCTTGGAGCTTCCCTTGGCATTCTTCGAAATCTACTCTGGCTCTCCGACGCGCTCAACACTCCCACATGGTTTGTTATGTCCGTTGCCGGCAAACCACAGATTGCTGCCTTCGGTCTCGGGATCACCGGCCCGTCGTTTAAGTGGCCGGAGACGTACTCATCGGAAACACTGTTCGACCGAGTCCTCACCTTTCTAGGTGACGATGTCCTGCTGCAATCTACCATTGCCTCAAGCCAACGCACTGATGGTGGTGTTATTGCCACGATCCAAACACCTACCGGGCAAAGGACGGTGCAAGCCAAGAGAATTCTATTTGCCGCAACCCCGTCTCCTGATAATACCGCACCTTGGGACCTGGACGAAAACGAGACAACGCTCTTCAACAAATTCTCGTGGGAGACACTCTATGTCGGCGTCGTAAACGGCACGGGTCTCCCTACAGACGTCACCGGAATCCGCAACTCCCCTGACAACTCCTCAGCTTTCTACCTTCCCGAAGGCTCTTTCTGCGACGCCTTTGACCGCCAGGGAGACCGCGACCTCTGGAGCACACGAATCATCGGAGAAGCTGGGCTCTCAGCCAAGGACGCTGAGACACTCATCATACAGTCGCTCACCAACATCGACCAGGCAGGCACATACGACATTGCAACACCAGCGGTGGTGGCTTTCGCTAATCATGGCTCCACGGTGCCCAAGGTATCCCCCGAGGAGCTCTCAGCGGGCTTCTTCAACAAGTTGTATGCTCTGCAGGGACAACGCAGCACATATTGGACCGGCCTTGCTTGGGCGCCTGATTATACTCCCATTCTTTGTAAGCATCACTTTTCACCTTTTACGAATTCCCGTCTTTCATGTTTTGGAATGTTCTAGAATACAACACTTTAGGACCCGTAGCAGGACTAACTTCACCACCAGGGGACTTTACGGAGAAGCTGCTCCCTCAAATTGTTGACGGTCTTTGAGCTCTGGCGACCTTTCTTTCCATAGGGCTAATGACTAGGGGCATCCCTTTGGGGAGAATGACGGGATCTTCTAAGCATTTGGAGTCGAAAATCGGTTGCATTTCCATCATCTACCACATAATTGTGATTGAACAGTCTATGTTCATTTAGCGACCACCAGCCCGGGGTACAATGGCATCAAGTAGATAGCTGGTTCATCCTTATTCTTTACACATCCGAGGCCATACATGGCATCTTTATATGGAATCAAGTATATAAACTACCTAGGTACCTAGGCTAGCAAATCTTCTAATCAAGGCCAGTAAAAAGGGTTTATTGCTCAATATTGCTGGTTTCCCTCTTAGCACTACGCACGCATGCACGACTGGTATCGATCTGCGATTCTTCCACAGTCGCACTTGATGTATTCAAATGAGATCTAACTACTTCAGTATTCAATAGCCATCGTTCTACTAGCGGTGTCAGGGCGTTATGCCATTGGCTGCCCAACCGTAGGAAGAGATCCTCGTTCAAGGTCGGGCGCTGGCTGCTTCTCGGACTGTTAGCCAAATCTGTTGACAGATAAATGGACCTCACTTGACCCATTCACTGGATAGAATATTGAAGAAAATGCATTCAAGGCTGTTGTCCAGCAAGCTACTTATTGTTCATCACTGACTTGGCAACCTGTAAACCGCGGCCGCATTGCAAATGTGTACAAATTTGATCACGACGAATCTATGAGAAGCAGTAGAACAGTCTGGGACGTTTAATCGATTTGACGATCCGTTTGTCTGAGCTATCAGCCTTCCGGCGTCTATAAAATTTCCAATTATGCAGTCCCTGCTATGAGACAACTTTTGCCGGCACTTGAGCATCTCGACCTAATTTGCCCCGGGTATGCCTGCCAGGATTTCCTTGACCACGGCCTTGAGTTCCGCCTCGGAGAGTTCATGTACACCAAGCAGGGAATTGTCATTGTTCGCAAAGTGAGCCCCAGTGACATTTGAGAATGCCGCCCGGAAGATGAGGCTGACGAACACCCAGGCCTCGAAAATGCCCTTGGATAGCGCCTCATTGGACTTTTTCACGACGTCCTCGGTGCTACCCTCCACAACCGTCCATGTCTTGCCGGGTGTGTTTTCCTTGGCGATTTCGACCAGCCTCTTGAGAGACACAGCGGCTTCTTGCACGAAAACGGTGCGGTTTGCCGTTTCATCCGGGTGCTTGAGGACACCGACGACAGCCTGACCCACAGCAGCCAAACGAGTGACCGAGATGAGGTTCTCGCCACCGTCCCAGAGCGTAGCCTTACCTTCTACAGGGTCGAGTAAAAACTTGTTCTCCAGGCCCCAGTCGAGGAAGGCGTTGTTGCTCACGCTTGTCCAAGTCAGCTTTGTCTCCCTGGAAAGCCTGACTAGCTCGTCACGGAGCTCGATCTTGTCCTTGAAGACGGCGAGCTTGCGGACCTCTGGGTTGTCAAGGTTGCTACCGAAGTCGGAGGGGATGAAGCGCTTGACGCCGCTGTCTGCGGAAGCCTGGGCGAGTGCCTTCTGTGCTTGTGCTGTTCCCGGCTGGGAGCCCAGCGCGGAGACGACAGCGTCGTGGCCCTTGAGGGCGGCGACGAGGGAGTCGGGTGAAGCGAAGTCGACAACGGTCTCCGTTGCTGTTGGTGGAAGTGTGGGGATCTTGCCCGCGCTGCGAGCTAGGACGGTCACTTCGAAGCCCGCCTTGACGAGCGCGTCGAAAAGAGGCTTGCCAAGTGCGCCATTGGCCTGTTGTGTATATTAGTGCTCATGGTCTTGTAGACGAGTACGGTTGGGTAGGGGCAGACTTACACCAGCAATTGCGACCTTCTTGATGGTAGTCATGATATGCGGATTCTTTGGTGTGAAGCTGGGAAAAGTCGGATATATCTATGTTTCGATAGTCCTTGCTGAGTCTGATATATTAGAGGGCTAGGTGAAAGATGCAATGGTCCACACATCCTGGCTCAACAAGATTCGGGCGGCCTGCGTCTCTTTTATCACCGCTCAACACAGGCCCGGGAGGGGTTCATCCAGAAACATATCTGGTGAGAGTCATTGATTAATAGCGCCGGCCCCTCATCACAGACCAAGACGTGCGACGAGCGCGGGCCATTAGCAAGCCCCCGCCGACTGTGCTAACACGATGACTTCGACAAATTGAACCATCGAGGCTGTTTATAAAGCACTCTTCCCGGCTAGGGAGGCGCGCGCCCCGATTTATAAGCCCGGGGCGCCATCCTTAGGGGCGCCAAGGCCCCACAGACTCCCCGTCGACGCCTCACTGGCTGGTGTAAATCCGATTCCACCTTGTCCTACTTTGCCTTTGTGTGGTCAAGACCTTTCAACGTCACGTAACTTGGCCGCCATTGGGTCGAAAGGCTGGTGATACACAACGCGACCGCCATACGACCCCTCGATCCTGCAACCGCAGCGCCTGCTCCTGCTCCTGCGGATCCATCTTACGGATCCAACATGGCACATGGTTGATCCGCATTGCATCAAATGTCCCATCCCACCTGTCCACCACACGACATACCAACCTGCATCACATCAGCAGGAGTAAATTATGTGGGCAAAAAGCAAGGGGACAGTGAAAAACCCTCAGCAGGCAGCAGGCAGCAGGCAGCGATGTTCCGCCGGCCGCGAGCGACCCGGCCCTTTACCAATCTGTCTCTCACGAGCTTGACTGAGGGAGACCAGAAGGGATCCGATATTCGCTTGTGGATCTGGCCGCATGTACTGCCTTGGAGATGTTCTGCGGCTGTACCCTTGCTGGGAAGACCACATGTGCAGTCGGTAATCACCCAGTTGATGTCTAACGCATCAGGCTCGACGTGCGATCGCATCAGTAACGTCACTCAAAGAAACGGGACCCAATTTACAAGGCAACCCTCGAAGATATACTCCAAAGGGGCTCGGATACGACAATGATCAAGAAACATAAACAGTCAAGGTAACATATTATTGGCGACAACATTTTACTTGCACTTTGTGAAATTGGGCCAGATTTTCCATGGGTGGAAAGCAACACTTTCTTCAGAAGCACAGAAAATAACAATTGGGCGCTTCATCGAGCGTGGAATACAGGTTTCTGACAGGTTGGGGTGTTGTCAGGAGCAGCCGCTCAAAACTTCTAGTAAAGTTGGAGCGTGCTGGAACTACTACATTGTACAATCTACTAGTCACAGACATTAGAGCTAAGAGACATGTACCTTGGGCCAGAGTTTTTCACGTGAGGATATCTTGAGGATCCAACTTTCCAGGCCATCATGACCTCCATTGGCCTTGATTCCACATATAACAAACCATGCTTCTACGACTTGAATATAAGCTAAGCCTGTATTTAAGTTGAGCCAAATGGTTGACTTGTTCCGTGAAGTGATGATTTGAAAGACGAGTGTTGCACAGTACAGCCCCCTAAGGTAAGATCCGAGCTATGTCGGTGCAAGAGATATTGATACCCACGTAGACCGAGCAACTCATCAACTCAATGGTCTGAAGCCGCCTTGCAGTGAAAGGAGTTATTTAAAATACATGGGCCGTCAAGCTCCATCTTGGTCCTGCACAGCAGTGTGATAAGACAGAACCATATTATAAGGTGCTCACTTCAGTACGAAGCCAAGTGTCTTTAAGCTAGTGCTCTCAAGGAATATCCGAGTCAGTAGGTACCTACTTAGGTACCTAGGTACCTAGGTAGCCAGTTGAGCAGTGCTGACCGTACCTAGGTAGGCGATCCATGGTTATGGGGCGGACCAGCCTATGGACGTTGCACTGGCCGAAATATCACACGATAGTCGTCATCTTTTACACCACCGCAAGAGAGAAACTTGCACCGGCCTTTGCTACCCACCGGCGTAGCGCACCTCATGGCCACGAATCAAAATTTTGTATCTTGTCAATTCTGACATGCCTACGATAGGTACGGAAGGCTAAACAAATGCACAGCTAAGAACGCCAAAACCCATCCTAAACTAACCCGCTACAGCGGAAACCCGAAAAGCAGCCAAAACGACCCAAGAAGCCAATAACAATCCCGTCTTCAAAGCTCGTCCTCAATCACGACATCCCGGGAAAAGGTCTTCTTATAAGGCCCATAAAACTCCCTGAATGTGCTGTTAAGCAGCTCAGCCTCGAGCTGCATGTGCTCACCGGGGGCGACGCGGAACTTCAGCCCGCCGTTGCGGTCGAGCTCCTTGAGGCCGATCCAGTCCTCCTCGTATATTCGGCGGGCGCGGAGCGGTATGATCTCGGAACCGTTCACCTCGGAGAACCAACTGGTCTCCTTAGGGATGACGGTCTTGTCCTCCTCGAACATGTAGAGGACGAGGTTCTCGAGCCTCGCCAGGTTCCTCTTGTAGGCCAGGTCCTTCTCGCGGCCCTCGTTGTTGATGTCGGCCAGGAAGTTGGAGTTCTCGAGGTAGCTCTGGTAGTCGGCCTCGCTGCCGGTGGGCCGGTAGTACTGAGCGGGGACGAGGTTGTGCTGGACGTACGACGACCAGACGTTGCCCCTCAGCAGGGCCATGGCGCCCTTGCACAGGAAGTTGGTGGGCGAGCACTCGTTGAACTCGGTGATGCCATTGTGCTGGCTGCCGAAGGTGACGAGCGAGCGGACGGGGGGGAAGTTGCACCGCTCGACAAAGGCACGCAGGAATTGGCCACCCTGCGAGAACCCTAGGGCTGAGGTGATGTTAGTCCTGCTACGGGCCATAGAGTGTTGCATCCTAGAACATCTGAAAACACGGAGGGCGGGGATCCGTAAGAGGCGAAGAGTGGTGCTTACCGTCAACGGCGGGCGCGGTGGAGATGATGGGGTCGGCGGCCAGGTCGCTGCAGAGCTTATCGACCTGGTCGTTCAGGTTGCCAAAGAAGGTGGCTCGCTGGTCGGCGTTGGCGTCGGAGCCCTGCTTGACGAAGTAGACAAGCGTGCCAGGGTTGACCTCCTCGGCGAGGGCAGCGACCTCCTGCAGGCCCTTGTTTCCGTACGAGTCGCCCAGGCCGTGCCAGACGATCAGTGGCAACGGGGTGTCGTCGTCGTCGTCATCATGGTCGTTGTCGGCCGCTGTTGCCAGGGGTCGCTGGAAGCTGGGCAGAGCAACGGAATGGGCGACCAGCGCCCCAAGGGTCAATAAGTATCTTGAAAGCATTGTTGCGGGCGCAGCCTAAGGGGTGGTACCAGGGCTGGATTTGCTGTTGTGGTAAGCAGTGTGATCAACTTTCGAGATGGAGAAAGGAAGCAGCTGGATCGATCGCCTAATAAGCGTAGTGCTCCCGTCCCGAGTACAGTACCAGGCACCTGGGCCGGTCGTCATGGGCCAACCAGGCAGACAGGGGCCTCCCAGGGCGAGGCAGGCACTCAAGCGCTCTCGCCCACACAGCTGCCGCGTGGGCCGGGGTGTGGACTTTAGTTGTGGGCCGTCAGATCGCCCACCTAATTCAGTTAGGTGCTTGGCCCACCCACCCACACCTTTGGCACTGCAGATGTACCTGGGCAAGCTTGGTACAGCGGACCTGGCCCCGGGAGAAGCGCTGACCTAATCCGCAGGGGCAGAGCTCGGCACGGTTCAGCAGGAGCTCCATCTTTCTTGCTGGCAAAGCTTTTCACCCAAGACCTTTCATCTTTTCCCTCGCAGCCATTTGCCCTTCTTGACCCGAGGGAAGCTGTGCCGCCTATCTAATAAACGGGTTGTCTGGAGACGCCATATAGTGTGCGGCGGCATTGTCTCGAGGCATGTACGTCGCAGCTACTACTACCTAGGTCCTGCCTACTTGAGCTCGCGGGGGACGCATCGGACTTTTGGGCCCCTCGTGCAATCTCATCAGGTGAGCTCCCTCCACACAGCCAATACACACGCCCACCCTGGCATTGAAGGCGTACATGATGAATGCATTACCCCAATAATATGTTTCAAGACGGGATTGAGGGCTCATTACCCTATGAAACCGATGCTAGAGTCTGAGATCACGCCTCTTCAATACTGTCTCGCGTCACCGTTGGAGGATGGAGAGCCTTGCTAATTGCCTTTTCACTCACAGGTACCACATGTGGTTGGGTGATCTGGGTGATCTGGGTGATCTCGTGGACCTAAGTACTTAGTTGTCTCTGCTCAAGAAATTTGCACCCGACAGATGAGACGGATCCTGAGACTGCTTGCACAAAGGACGTTCCGGTCAAAATACCACAGTTCCAAGTTGCACACAGCCGGATTCTCGCAGTCACAAACCCGTGTTTACACCTAACTATACAAGTACGGTCCCCAGGATAATCTCTGAAAGGAAAACCTCCTATAGAATAACATTTTATTTTATAAGATTTTTTTTAAAAAAGGTTAATTTATTAATAACTAAAAAAGTATTTTTATACTATATAATAATCTCTTTACCTTCTTTCTTTCTTTAATAAAAGAAAGCGAACTAATAATTAATAAATTATATTAGTTATTATATAGTTAAAATATTCTTATATTCTTTATTCCCTAAATAACAACACTAGATCGTCAACTTGCCTGTGAGCGGCAAGTCCCTGCTGCTCGATCCCACGTACAGCAGGTAGTCACCCTTCTGCAAATGCCACTTCTGTGCCGTAACGTCCCACGTGCTCAGGTCTCGCCTGGTCAAGGAGAACTCGACAGTTGCGCTTTGCCCAGCCTCCAGCACTGGCTTCTCGAATCCGCGCAGCTGCTTGACCGGACCACCCGCGATCCCCACGTATAGCTGTGCGATTTCAGCACCCGTGCTGTTACCAGAGTTCGTTACCGTCGCGGACACGGTAGCAACCACGTCCCACAGGTCAACCTGGCCACCCTCAAGCACCTCGCCTGTGGGATACTCGTCGGTGCTGACGCTGGAAGATATCGCGGAGGTGAGATCGCTGTACTCGAAACTAGTGTAGCTCAAGCCGAAGCCGAACTCGTACCGGGGCGTAATATTCTTCGCGTCGAAGGCGCGGTAGTCGATGTATACCCCCTCGGAGAAATCGCTCTGAGGGAACAACGCGTAGATGCCGTCTGGCTCTGTTGCGTTTTGAAGGCCCGCGTAGTCGCTCTCGTTCCGCGGGACACTGTAGGGAAGCTTGCCGCTGAAGTTCTCGTCACCGTACAGCAGCGAAACGAGCGCCTTGCCGCTGTCCTGGCCGGGTACGTGGGCAAAGACCAAGGCTGACACGTTCGGATGATCAATAAACCGATCAACAAGACGAACTCCTGAATTCTGGAAGATCACAACTAGTGACAACGTCAGTCCTGCTACGTATCCTAAATTGTTGTGTTCTAGAACATTCCAAAACATAAAGGACGGGGATCCGTCACAGGTGAAAAGTGATACTTACTCGTGTTGCTACAATTGGCTGCCACGTTGAGGATGATGCTGTCCGTGTCTATTTCAAATTAGCCGTTAGAAATCAATGGATCGTGTATACTCATTTTCCGGCTTTGGGACAATCCCGTCGGAATGACGACCCAGCTCAGCTTGGAAAGCAGAAGAATCGCTCAAGCTCACTTACAGTCGTCCCTCAGACTCGGCCTGTCTGAGCCCTCTGTAGCGAAGACGTTGACGTCGACAATGCATGCATCCGAGGTAGCATCCACGTAGGGATTGGTACTGTGGAAGTCCCATTGTAGCGCAGTGAGATCTTCCTGCGCTCGTTCCGTGAGCGCTTGGAACGGAGAGGAGATCCACGGTGGTTGACTTGCCCCCGAGCCTCCACCAGAAATGATTGTACCGTTCCGCGCGATTCCTGACGTGTCGCCGAATACAAAGCTGCCTGTACCGTTGTAATCTAGGCCGTATGCCAGAGGGTATGAGCCTGAGTTGAAGCCGAAACTTCCGACGCTGTATTTGTCTGGGGTCTTGGCAGAGTAGCCGAACACAGAGATGAGTTCAGGGGACTTGAGTGGCAAAGCTCCCTCGTTCTTCAGGAGAACGTGGCCTTCGAGCGCGCCCTGGTAGAGCGTATCCTTGAAAGAGGCGTTCCATCCGATCACTCTTGTGTGCGGTTGAGACAGGTCCTCGGGGATGCCAGATCCCGGCACCGGAAGATCGCTCGAGTCCTGTCCCATCTGATACCATGCTGCAATAATTCGTGTGGCCATGTCGTCTAATCTGACCTCGGGTACTGAGCCGTTGTTCACTGCCTCAACCAGATTGGCCCCCCAGTACGTCGCACCGCTGGGCATTACCATGTCAAGGCCCGCGAGCGCCGACGCAACCCCAGAGTGCTGCCCAAACCAGTCCGACACGACAAAACCCTGGAAGCCGAGCTCCGTCTTGAGCAGGCCGTTCTGGGTGTAGCTGTTGTCGCAAGCCCAACTGTTGTTCACCTTGTTACATATAGTCAGCTAGGATCTGTTACTGTCAAAATATAGGGTGATAGCCTTAAGTAAGAACCCAACATTGAAATACAGTAAGAAAAGTAGTTAAATTAGGATTCTCACTTTATTATAGGAGCTCATCAGCGCGGCACTCCCGGCCTTCACTGCATCTTGGAACGGCCTTCAAGAGACAAGTCAGCTGAAATGCTGCGGGCTATGTAAAGATAAAGCTTCCCTACCAGAGGTACAATTCGTGGATGGTTTTATCGTCAATGTTGGACGAGACAGAGGAGACGTTCCCGTCAGGGTTGCGGTTCGTCTCCTGCTCATTGCCGATGAAATGCTGTTGCTCTTGTCAGCCTGTAAACACAGCACCTAGCCTAGGCTGGTGCAGCAGACTTACCTTGACGCTTGTGATCACCCCTGCGGACTGCACTCCCACTATAGTCTCGTATGTGAGTTGTCCTGTGAGGTATGGGTCGTTGGAAAATCCCTCCCAGTTGCGGCCGCCAGACGCGATACGTCCGAGGGGGCCAACGACAGGGCCAAGGAGAACGTTTGAACCTTTCTTGTAGAATTCTTGGCCCATCCCCAAAGCGCGCCGGTGGGCGAGTTCTCGATTCCATGATGCGCCAACAGACCAGCCCGCTGCCCAGGCGGAGACGTAGTCTGCGCTGCGCAAGCCGTTGCCCGCATCTGAGAGACATAGCCCAGGGAAGTTGAGGCGCGGAATAGGTGAAATGAAACCCGAGCAGCCTGTTGATGAGGTGATACCACCGGTCAAGTTGACCTGTATGTAGTATACGCAAGGTCAGCCTTCTGATTTTGTAGGGGTTTCGAAGGCTGTGCGGTCTAAATTTGTTGTGCGAAGCACACCTTTTCTTCAAGTGTGAGCTGGCCAACGAAGGCTCTCGCTTTGGTGTAAGAGTCGCCCCAGTCGCCCCTACCGGTGCCATTGGGACTCGGGTATACTGGTGGAGACTGGCCATAGAAAACAACATCATCTGTGATGATGTCCTGGGCATTTGTTACTTCTCCCCAAGCGAGAAGGCCAATGAGGCCGTATAGCAGAGAGCTTTTCATGCTTGGAGAGAGAATTTGGCACAGATCGAGGGGTTTCGCGGAGCTGCGGCGCAAGACATCACGTTGAGGATTCACTCGCGTCGGGTGGAACCGAGTTTTTATTGCTGATCTGTGCAGCGCTCACATCAAGGTCTCCAGTCCACTTTCCGGCTGCTCCTCACCCCGTGGGACACGGAACATCCGGTATGACGATGAAGACTCGGGTCAACTCGCGCTGGGTTCACCCATCCCGTGAGGGGTTAAGCCGCGGGCATCCTACTCGACCGGGTGCCTGGAGATTATTGGACAGTTTATACTGTGAGGCAATCGGCCCTTCTGGTTTTCAAGAGGGGCCGTGTCCCATCGCGGTGACGAGATCCGGCACCATCGGTGAGGAGACGCCTGGTGGCTAATGGAACGGTGAAGTTGGTGCTTGCTGCATCGGGAAAAGGGCGTGAAGTACCCCAGAGAAGATTGCAGATGCATGTCACATCCATGCGAGTGAGTACAAGCTTGGTTCCGAGGCGGTGGTTGTGGTCTGGGGTATTCTGCGGGGAAACCTGGGGCATAACACTGTCGAAATGGGACGAACTTGTGATATTGACGTCTGTCTTCCCTGCATGTCCACAGCTAGCACGACGTTGTTAGTTGGGGAAACGGTAAAACTCCGGAAATATATCTCCTCTTATGAGTCTCCCCTGGCTGCGGTGGTAATATAGCTAATAAGTCGACGTGACGAAAAGCGCATTTGAGTCAAGGCCTGAAGGTCGAGTGTCTTTCATATTGGCAGGATCTTGTGGCCAACAAGTGAAGTCCCGGAGACAGAAGTATGACCCCTACCCCGAGAAGGGTACCTGATCGCGACTCAGCTCTGCAACCTGGCAGGGAGGTGAATTTAGGAGACAGACGCCCAATGTCTCCGTCTAGATCAGTGTGAGTGAGCCAAGAGGAAAATGGATGCACCCACACCTCGAGGCGTGGTTTTCTGACACTTATTGGCAGACCAAGCTCGGGTTTCCAACTGGTGTGCCGAGAATCTGCCGGGTGCCGCTCAACTAGTCTTGAACTGACGTCGCGAATTGTCCTCAGCATAAGTAGTACCATCTGAAGCTTAACTGAAAAGCGCTGCAGCCGCACTGGGAGATTGGAAATTTTTGTGTGCCAGAAACAGGGGCCAATTCTGAACATGAATGGTTCCATACCTCGGCCTTATCCCGTGCCGTGACCGCTCATCGCCCGCTCAGTAGTAGCCGCCCTTACGACCACCTTTATGCCGGTCATGGCGATTGCGAGGGTAAGGACCCCAATTATCATGATGGTTGTTGCGGTGCCCTTGATGCCGGCCCCTATCCCGCCCATGGTTATTGCGAGGGTCAGGCTCCGGAATCTTCTCCTCCACCTCGATTTCGTATTCCTCGTATTCGTCCTTGAGGTGTTCGTCATTGGTCTCCCTCTCCTTTCGAGCCTCCTCCGCGTCGTAGACGAAGCGCATTGCTTGCGGCTCCTGGGCTGGCCTTGATCGCTTGTTTCCAGACCACGATCCAGTGGTTGCGGGTGACGTGGCGGACCCAGGCGTGATGGGATACTTGACCTTCTCGTCGTCCTCACACCTGTGACACCACACGGCAGCCCGGCGAACAGAGCTCTCGCTGTTCTCTACTTCCTGGTTCAACTTGATCTTGATGTCGATGAATTTGGACAGCTCGAATCTCATGCCGACTTTGGTGTGCTTGGCGAATTGTGTATACATATCCAGTAGGTCGAGCATGACCTCGACGATACTTTCCCTGGTGGTGTGATACCTTCTCAGGTCCAGAGACTGCACCGCGACCGCGTCGAGCCCCTTCAGCATCACCGTCAATTCGATGCAGGCCAGAACCATGGTGAATGTGGAGGCTTTGATCGGGGCAAAGGTCTTGTACATGTCCACGGACAGGTCGTAAGCCATGGCGAGGATTTCGCGGCCCTCCTCTGCGTCGTACGTATGGCGGACCATCTTGACCAGGACCTTCTGGGGGTATCGCACTCGAAAATCGAAACCGATTGTCTCCAGAATGTGGCGCTCGAGTCCGATGATGATTTTGTGGGGGTTCTCAAACATCTGTCGTGGTGGTCAGCACGTGTGCGCAGAGCCCGTCGCGTTTCCTTGACCGGGCCGACGGCGAGCCTACCTTGTCATCCTGTGTGGTCGGTTGCGTTGGATTCTTAATGTTGTAAGCGGCGCACAGGATCTCGCGGGACTTCTTGATGGTGTCTTCGACCTTGCAGGCCATGAAGAGCGAGGCTAGGGAGGCATCCTGATAATTGTACTCGGCGTCTCGATGACAGAGGCGGAACAGGTGGTAGTAAGTGCAAGCGGTAGTAAAGGTCTTGACGGGCCTGCGTCGTAGGTCAGAGCTGGCGACAGAGGGCCGGAGTCTGTGGCGGGATGGAGCAGTGGGCGGGACCTACAAACGCAAGGCCTGACGGACGGACTCGATCAGCTGAACACCTTGTATCCTATAACTGTCTTCCCTGGCCGGGTCACATCCGTACTCCTTCTGCAGCCGCCGTATGTCCTGCTCGAATGTGTATTGGTTCGAGACATTCAGATTGCCCGGGTTTGGTCCGCGGGGCGGGATGGGCTCGTCGGCGGCGGGGGGCGGCGGGCTGGGTCTCGGTTGTGTTGTCGATGATCTGGGCCCCGTCGGCGCCATCTTGATAACTTGGAGCCAATGGTGTGGTTATTGCAGCAACATGGGCGCCGGGCGGGCGGTGCTTCATGCCCAGGGGCAGCGTGAGAAGAATACTCTGTACACTGCTGGCGGCGAGTGGAGGCGCAGGACCGTCAGTCGCGGCACACACACCTTCGACCTAGGGATTTCCGAAGTCTCGAGAGCAGGGCCTGGTGTGTAGACTGAGCGGCAGACGAGCGTGCTTGAGGTTTTGGCGACGTCGTGACCAACAAGACTGTCTCTGGCTTGGGGTTCGTTGATTCCGGCAGAGAGACTAGCGCGACTCTTCACATGCGAGAAAGCAGTTGAGCCGGCAGGCCGGGCAGGCAACTCTGAACATTTGAGGTGAGCGGGTCCAGCAAGCTCGAGCCTCGAGGCCTTGTGGAATGCACAGGGTCCACTGGTCGATTCCCGTTTGACATCACTGGGGTCCGAGACAATGTAGTGTAGTGTACTATGACAATGGCGGAATGGTCAAGGGCCATGAATCAGCTACCGGCAGCGGCAGCAGCAGTAGGGGCAGGAGGGGGGAAGCTCGGCTGCAAGCGTCCTCCTCCACGGTGGGAGGGCAAGAGGGGTCTACCGGCCGGTGCTGTGTGCATGTACCTAGGTACTCCGTACTGCAACCCGGCTGACCGAGGGCCCCTCTTGGTGCAGCAGCCAGGCAGGTGCCAGGCCGCCAGAGGCCGCGCCACGGCAGGACCGGAGGCTTGAACGCTGACGGGCGTACTGACGTAGCTGACGGAGCAATTTGCAAACTCCAGCCCGCCAAGCAACCAAGACGAGAGAGCAGCCCAGCACTGCTGATCCATCCGTACATGCAAAACTCCACCCCGTCCGAGCGAGCGCTCCATCCAGCCTGCACTACATCGCCATACTTCTGATTTCAGCATTGCGCCCGCGCTCTTCTTCTGCACAACAACAACAACCAACAACGACAACAACGACAACAACCGTTGCTCGCCCAGCACATAGCAACTCGCAACTCGCAGCACGCCCCGCCCCACCAGACATGGTCGCCTGTTGAGCAGCTATCGCGCACGCCTCTCCTTCTCCACCACAAACCCTCCGCAACGTCGCCTGCGAGCGCAACGCACTCCACGCCCGCCACGCCCGCCGCCCTCGTGGGATCCCCAGACGCCGCCACAGAAACGACTCCCCACCCTTCCGCCTCGTCCCTTTTTCACAATGGGAAACGGACGTAGGGGCGTCAAGTTTGCCCATAGGAAAGGCAATGGCAGCGTCGACGGCCGCCGCGCCAGCTTCAGCGAGCACAGCGAGGCCAGCCAGGAGGGCTCCCCAAAGACCAGGTCCTCGCCCCACATGGACCAGATCGCCGAGGTATGCTCCTGCCTCGTCGCCAGCCAGCCAGCCAGCCAGCCAGCCAGCCAGCCAGCCAGGTCATGGCGCACAGTCGCGCCGCCCCTCGTCGCCAGATGCTGACCATCCTTGATCCGCAGAAAGACGCCGCCCCACCACCGCAGAACGACTACGAGAAGAAGAAGCAGAACTTCATAACAAGAACAATATGGACTCTGCTCATGATCGGTGGCTTCTTCGCCGCCCTCTTCATGGGCCACATATACGTCATTCTCGTCATCACAGTCATCCAGATCATCTCCTTCAAGGAGGTCATCGCCATCGCGAGCGTCCCCTCCCGAGCCCGCCAACTCCGCTCCACAAAGAGCTTGAACTGGTATTGGCTTGCCACCACCATGTACTTCCTCTACGGAGAGAGCGTCATCTACTACTTCAAGCATGTTGTCCTTGTGGACAAGGTACTCCTACCTCTGGCCACCCACCACCGTTTCATCAGTTTCATGCTCTACATTATTGGTAAGTTACGATCCTTCACCAACTTGTAATGCCGGCTGTCTCCCATGCTGACTCTCATTCTTCAAGGCTTCGTGTTCTTTGTGGGCTCCCTCAAGGGTGGCCAGCTCAAATTCCAGTTCACCCAGTTCGCCTGGACACACATGGCGCTCCTCATCATTGTCGTTGAGGCTCACTTTATCATGAACAATGTATTGGAGGGCCTGGTCTGGTTCTTCCTGCCTGCCGCCCTGGTCATAACCAATGACATCTTCGCCTACATCTGCGGCATCACCTTCGGCCGCACTCAGCTCATCAAGCTGTCCCCCAAGAAGACCGTCGAAGGTTTTGTGGGCGCCTGGGTCTTTACTGTCATTTTCGGCTACGCCCTGACAAACCTGATGATGCGCAGCGGCTACTTCACATGCCCTGTCAATGTATGCCGCCCTCTATGCCGTGCCATTCTTCTAACCTCACGAGGCAGCTCAAGCTGACAGCACGCAGGACTTTGGCGCCAACGTTTTCACCGGTCTGCAATGCCAGCCCAACCCTGTGTTCCTCCCCTACAAGTACGAACTCCCCCAACTATTTTTCCTCCCGGAAAACACGCAGTTCAGCGTGACCATGGAGCCGATGCAGATACACACCATGATCTTTGCAACATTTGCATCTCTGATTGCCCCGTTCGGCGGCTTCTTTGCCTCTGGGCTGAAGCGCACCTTCAAAATCAAGGACTTTGGCCACTCCATTCCCGGTCACGGGGGTATGACAGACCGCATGGACTGTCAGTTCATCATGGGCTTCTTCACCTTCATGTACTATCACTCCTTCATCGCCACGCACAAGGTCGGGCTCGGCGGTGTCTTGGAGACTGCTATCACGGGCTTGACTGTGGATGAGCAGATTGAGCTTGTTCGGAATATGGCCAGATATCTCGGCAATCAGGGCGCCCTGGGAGATGACGTGAGTACAAATTGCTATCTCAAGCCTCAAACATGGACCCTCGCTAATTTTGTCTCAGGTTCTATCATGTCTAGACCTGGCCCTGCCCAACAAGAGGTGAGGGAAAAGAAATGCATTAGTGTGGGGAAGCGGAAAGAAATTTTGACTTTGGCGGCATCTTTTCTCCCAAGAAACAATTACAATTGGGCATTGTTATGGACATTGGGGAACATTTGTGATGATGAGTCCTGGGTGTGCTTATTATCAAGGCAGTACAATCGAGTAGTCCTGGGTATAATCGCGGGCGGAAGGGCTTGCAGGTCAGGATTAGATCTGCTCTACTCTCTTAGTTGTTACATACCCAAGCGTTAATCAACTGCCTCCGAGGGGGTGACTGTTTTCTGAAGATGGGTTCGCGACACCTACTGTCATTGATACCGCATTTGTGTCATTGTGAGGGATATGCCTAGTTATTGCTGTTGTTCTTGTGCTATTCCTTCGATAACTATACCGGCTCAGTATTATGATGACCTCACCAAACTTGAGAACTTTCTCCGACGCCACAGACCAGATTATATTCACCTTGGATACCTGGATGGTAGAGCCGGGTTTCTGCCTCGATAGATGTGTCCGTTGCGCTTCTCATGAGTTGCCTGGTGGTCAGCACTTTAATACTTACTTGGGTAGCTTATATACACAGGTAAATTGTGTTGTCTTCAGTGTTGGGCATGCCGTACTTATTGGACTTCGCCACTCCGGGTCTTCCGATCTCAACAATACGATGCACACGACAAGCCCTACGGACATGAAGACCACTTGGGCACAAGACAATGGAGCCGACTGTTTTTCTCAAAAGGGTGATGTTCGTCCGAGCACTTTATACACATTCGGAAGAACCCAACCCCAAGGATCATAATCTGATACTTGATGGATAAGTCATTTCTGTAGGCCGCTTCCATATGCACTGCCAGGGATGACTGTTACATAAATTTAGAGACGGGACAGCTGCAATGATGCTGCTTTCTGCAAGAGGACTTCAGGAGTATCTAGACGTGGGTTCCTAGGTACATCTATTGCATCTCGAGGACGTTCAGCCCAGCGGCCACTACTTCAAACAAATGGTCAGATTACAGCTTTTCTACCTCATGGATATCAAAAATTGAGTAACATGGCTGTGAGTAGATAATTCTGCACAGTCATCTTGTGCCTTTGTGGCAATAGGACGACGTGAGGATTGTCTCTTGTGGGTCGCCACCATCTCTTTATCACTATAGTATTTACTATAGCACTCCCTTAGGGGTTTTTAAATATAGTCTCTAAACTATCCCTTCTACTTTAAAATAGTACTTTAGATAGTCTTTAATATCTTAAAACTATTCTTTTATTAATACTTTTTAATAATAGCTATAAGGTATATTAATATTTTTCTTTAAGATTAGATTTTCTTTAAAACTAAAGGATTCTTTAAAGACTTTCCCTTTTCTTTAAGACCTTCCCTTTCTTTTTAAAACCTTTATTTAAAGCTTTAAAATATAAGGGGAAGGAACCTAATTAAGGCTATTTAGATAGGTAAAGTAAGTAGAGAGTTAGTTAGGAGTTTTTTTTAAAAGGGAAGATTATTAAAGGAATAGGAAGAGAATTCTCTTTTAATTAATTTTTATATTAAGATAAAAGCTTAATATTAAGGAATTTAAAGATTAGGTTTTTAAAAACCTTATTTCTTACTTTAAAACCTTTTTTTATTTAGAAACTATTATAGAAGGAAGGAACTATTAATAGTTATAGTTATTACTAGATTATAATAGAGTGGAGATAATTTTTAAAAACCCCTAGGGGTGCGGTATAGTAGTTACCTTTATCTTACTACATAAAATAATATAGTAGGACTTAGAAAGTCTTAACCCCCTCCCTCTTTTACCACATACCCTTAAGATAACTACCTAACTTTAATTAAGTATAACTTTATAAAGAAATTAATTAAAAATAATTAACTTATATTAAATTAATTATTAAAGTCTTCTCTTTAATATTTTATATAACTTCCCTTATATTTATAAACTATATTTAACCTATACTCTAATAACTAAATAATATTATTAATTTTATCTTAATTTATTACCTACTACACTTCCTTTACACATTAATTAAAATAAACTATATTAACCCTATTTTAAATTAATTTCTATAATTTAAAATACTATTTATTTAACTCTACTTTAAATAGCTTCTAAATATTTTTAATTAAATTTAAATTAAATAACTATAAAATTAATCTATTAAAAGATTCTATTATTTAATATAAAAGTTTATACTACTTCTATAATATAAATTTAAGTATTATTTTACTAAAAATCCTATATACTATTATAATAAAAAAGAAGACCCTTTTATAAACCCTTTAAATATAAGTTTATAATATATTTATTTTATTTAACTTTTAAATCCTTTTATCACTATTAGATTATTTTAACTATTAATTTAAATAATACCTTATATTATTATAAAGATTATAAACTTTATATTAACCTTTAAATTAACTTTCTACCTATAATATTATTATTTAAAAACCTTAAACTTATTTTAAAGGTTTAAAAATAATTTTAAATATTATATTTATTAAAAAATTACTTATAAGGAGTATATTATAAATAAATAATATATAAATATTAATATTTAAAGGTAAACTTTAAATATTAACTATAATAAACACTTAATATTATAATATTATAATTTAAGTTAATAATAATAAAGCTTCTTATTTTCTTTTAATAAAGGTATCTAATATATAACTATTTAATAATTAATATAAATAAACTTTAAAGTAATATAAATAATATTATCTAATATATTAATCCCTAATAAATCTTAAATCTTATTATATAATAAACAATCCTCTTTAAGGACTAATAACTTTAACTAATAAATAAAATAATTATTAAAATACTTTAAACAACCACTATAAAGTTTAGTAATTAGTCTTCCTTTAATCTACTACTCCTTTCTTTTCCATTTAATTATAATTAAAAAGATATTAATTTTATAAGAAATTTAAGTAGAACCTTTACCCTTAACTAACACACTTAATATTACACCTATATACTTTAAATAAAATTTATAAAAAAACTTATAGTTTAAAGTTATTTCTTTAAAAAATAAGTATTTATAAAAAGATATAGTTATTATAGGAAAGAAGTTTAAAGTTATAAATAGAATTTATATAAAATATATTTTATTTTATAAAGATATAAAGAGGCCAAGACTTTTTGCACCCCACTATACTTAAGTATACTTCAGTATAGAAGGGTGTGCTCTAAAGAGTAGAGCAGAGAGCTAAAGATAGACGGAGTGTGCCGGTGATGGAGGGTGGGATATAATGTTTGCTAGTTGCCGCATCCTTGTCAAGTTTGCGTGTTCTAATGGTTATGATTTGTCGTTCACAAGATGTGAATAAGTTCTATTGTTCCACATAATAGCCCGACAAGGTTCCCGGTTCGATCCCGGGCGCAAATACAATTTCTATTTTTGCCCGCTTCTTTTGATCCGGTCGTGCACAACAAGGTCTGGGGCTCTGCTCTATTTTGCTCTCTGCGTCTTCTTATAGCTGTTGGCACCTGGGTGTCAGCAGATGACGAACTTGGAATTTCAAGTGCATTGGTCAACATTGGCCACATGCATGTATGTCGCCCCTGCTCTGCTGTGGCCCTCAGTCGGCGCGACCGGCTTGTGGGTTGAGTAAACAACACACATGCAAGTTACAGTGTTTTGTTGTAGCCGGGCGCTTGCTTCTCAATAATTCATGGAATGCAACCACTTGCGCCTGGGTTCTGGCCGTGCCGTTCTGCCGAACTACTTCCGCGCAGGCAACCCTGTGTCACTGATAACTGTCATTGGGACACATTGATTAGTTGTTAGTCTCTTCTGCTAGACTAGGTGATTTTAGGTTGAAGGATTCTGAAGGGGCCCACCATTTTGTCGTCCGCATAAACGAAAATCTTACGACGTGCCGGGGGCTCCCCAGCAAAACCACTCTGTCATAACGCCGGATCAGTACGGCCTGTCGCCTCCAACAGGCTCCATAGAGTATTGTCCGAGTTTCCACGGCCAAGAAAGCCAAGACGGCCAAGACGGCCAAGGAATGAGAGCTGCTTCTAGTGTATTGTATGCCATTCGCAGCGAGGTCGATTGAGAGTACGAGCCGTATCTGATGTATTGCACGATACGTCACGAAGGTCACTCCCGGTATCGCTGGGTCTGCTTTCACATCATGGTAGCCTGGACGGCTGGGCCTCGTTCCCCTGCCGTGGCACACTCGAATCCTTTGCCCCCCTTTTTTAAATAGCGCTCAGCTCCAGTGCTGCCTCGACAGCCACGTTGACGCGAGTCTCGATTTGGCCATGATGAAATGAGTCGGGACGCCAGACGCCAGCACATTGTGCACTTCGCCCGGACGAAAGCAGGGTTTGTTCAAGCATTCTTCCCGGATGGAGATCCTGTCCAATCATTGCCTCGCAGGAATATCTGGAAGAGGAATCAAGCTAGGCACAAGTCGTAGCTCATAGTGAGACGGTACATCCAAACGCTTGGGGCCAGCTCGGAAGGGTATTAAATCCCTTCTATCCCTCACGGTTTCAATGGACTCGTTCGCTCATTTATTACCTCTACTGCTTCTCATTGTTGCTCCCTGAAGTCTGCCTACTCCGAGCCCCACAAAGATGTACTCCCAGTTTGTCATCGCGGCCCTAGCAGCCACTGCCTCTGCCTCTACCAACCTCTTTCCTGGGCATGTGGCTATCCGGCGTGATCTCCTGATCGCTCGCCAGACCACTGACTCTGGTGCAGCCCCCACGGGCACATCGGGCGACCTTTCCGATAGCGAATGCCAAGCATCTCTCATCTCAATCGCAACTGAGCTTCCCACCCCCAGCGATGACCTTCTGGAGTGGGAGCAGTCCCAGCTAGAGGCCGGCACGGATCCCTGCTCTATCACCTCGGTCCCGGCCACGCTCAGCAGCCAGTACTCCAGCTATACCGACGCGGTGTTGTCGTGGTACTCGGAAAGCAGCTCCGAGCTGATCGCAGCCATCTCGGCCTGCCCTCAATACGCCGGCGCGGTGTCCGAGGCCGATGTCTGCACCAAAGTGACCATGACCAGTGGGTCTGTCGAGCCGTCCGCTACCCATGCCACAGGGAGTGACAGCAGCGAGCCCTCTGCGACGGGCTCGGCTGCGACGGGCCACTCCACCGGTACTGCTACCGAGTCTACTGGTACTGCTTCTGGCTCGGCCTCACAGTCGACCGAGACCACGGCCGGCGCGCCACTTCGGGAGGCCGGGATTATTGGAGCCGTCCTGGCCGGTGTTCTCGGCGTGGCTGTTGTCCTGTGATTTCATCCAGCGAATCCAGAACTTTAGAATGCAAGGCTTCAGGGGCTTGGAATGACAAGGGTAATTCATGGCTTGACTAGATTGTAACAGATTGACAATCGATATTGAAGAATGTTTGGAGGTGTCCCGAGGTCACCACAGATACCAGATACGCAAATAAATCTCGACATTGCAGGCACTTGAAGCAAATGCAAGCAAAATTCCTCGGCACGCGATGATGTCAAACTTGCGGCGTGGCGTTGAGGCTCTAGGATGTCTTTGCGTGCTCACGTGAACCATGCATGCCATGTGCAATCAATGTTAGTGCTGACAGACATAGTAGGAATACGCCAAGCCACAAACATACGAACACACTTTTATATTTGTCCTAGTTCCCGGCTCTAATAAGGCGACCAATACGGTCCTGATGTCCCCGGTGCTCTACAGCAGAGCTAAGGGATCCTCCTTCGTTTCTATGTGCAGCCATCAGAGACGTGATTTGACGTATACGCATGGCCATGCGAGCGTGGCTCCACGTCTCGGCATCTGAATCCTCTATCTGACCCAAGGTGTCGCCTGCGGCAGCGTTGCCAATGGGGCACTGCATTTATCCGCCTTGGCCGCGATCGCCTCCGTGCTATTCGAGCTGACACAGTCTACACCGACATCACCCTTGATGTTGTCACAAATGATGACTGCCGGACTGGCCGTGCCGCTGCTGCAAGGCGAAGTCACGGTAAAGTTCTTGAACGCTATGTTCTCGCAGATGGCGTTGGGGTTGGAACTGCAAGTCAAGGATGCCACAACGCGCCCGTATTTGCCGGAAGTTGTCCCAGAGAAGTTCTCGAAAAGAACGTTACTGACATTGACTTGTGAAGGATACGCCGCACATGTCGTAGCGTTGATCTGTTTTGTGGTTCCTACTCAGCAATGTGACCCGAGACAAAGCGGAAACAAGCAGAGAAACACTCACGTTGAAGTAACATGAATCCAGGAACGCGGCGTACTCATTGTTTGCGTTCCAGAAGTCTAAGTACGATGTCAGTACCGCTACACACGAGTTTAAAAGTATTGCATTCCGAAACATTCCGAAACATGAAAGCTGAGAAACAAGAACAGAGCAAGGATGAGCAATGATGCTTACTGCGGAAAGTCACGTTGTTGATGTAGCCGTAGCCAACATTAGGTCCAGCCCAAGACTTGAGACGCGCCGAGTGCTGGCCATTGAGCATCCAGACATTCTCAATAACCACGTCCTCAATGATTGACTTTTCTCCCGCGTACTGGTTAACGTATTAGTTAACATATTTGGCTCATGCCCAAAATTTCAAGGTGGGGATCCTTTACCTGGCCAATAGACCCCATTGATTGACCGTGGGTGCCATTACAGTACATTGTGTTTACGTGGACGTCTGAGGCGTTGGACTTGGGGCTGAAGCAATCATCTGCAGAGCACGGAGTTAGCTATCAGGGGTAGGGCTAAGGGGATGCTTCCTCAGGAGAGCGAGCTGTAGGCAGAGGCTGCTTACCTCCGATATTCACCCATGTCCGCTCGACCGTTACATGCTCGACGTTGAGGGAGTCGAAGAAGTCGGTGTTCTTCGGTAGAGCGCTGGCATTGTTCGACTCGGCAGTAATAACCACGTCCCGGTATGTTACTCCTGATGCTTTTCTCAGTATGTCAGCCAGATGCCTTCAACTCCCGCCCGTCCTGGTTTCGCGTGACCAGCAACGCGACATGCTACATGCTAGATACACAGGTAACTTACAGGTCACAACAAAGTTTGTCCAACACGGACTGTCTTTCATATGAATCCCTTCGATGGAAATATCTGTTGCATTCTGTGCGTAGAAGAGAACGGGGCGTAAATACGTGTTGCCTGGGTCAAGAATCTCCAGCCCGGCAAACTCACTACCTTCTCGTTAGCAAAGGTTCAGGCAGCCTTCCCGTAATTTGTCTGGCCCGAGGGGATGGCTTCAAGAGACCCTCGTGATGGGGACAAGAAACTGAGAGTTGGAACTTGGAATGGGTGCTTACTTCCACCACCGCTGTCCATTCCCGTTCAGAGTACCGTCACCATATATTTTAATGTTCTTGCCGCCCCACTTCCAGAACATGATTGTATTTTGAAAGGGATGGGTATAGGCGACGCTTTGCTGTAATGGTGACGTTAGTCCTGCTACGGGTCCTCAAGTATTGTATTCTGGAATGTCCCAAAACATGAAAACCGGGGATCCGCCAAAGGTGAAAAGGGATGCTTACCCAGTAGGGAGTGTCGTCGGTGAACTTGATCTCGCCGTCAAGATGAACTTGAACATCATTGAGAAATGTCAGATCGAGCGGCTGGCCGATGATGAAAGTCTCGTTGGCTGGGAGGTAGACGGTGCCTCCATGATTAGCGCGCTGGAGGGCCTTTTTGAACTCCGAACTGACGTCGTCTGTATCGTTCCGGCTGGGGCGGACTTTCACGATGCGCCTCTTTCCGTGGCCGGAAGAGTTTGGTGGCTTGTAAGGATGCTTCTCACGAAACTCCTCAATCGACCGGGGGACACCCGCGGGCAGGGCGATATTGCTGGCTGCCGCAAGCACCGCGGCGGAGAGGACGGCGGTCACAGTGGTAAACTTCATTTTGCCAGTGTCGTTTGAAGCTCAAGAGAAATATTGTCTCCTGATTGTCACCGGATAGCCACCCAGCAAGGACAAACACGGAAGATAGCGGTCCAAATTGTCGGGTCAGCGGCCATCTTTTGTACTTGGCAGATACAATAATAAGCACATGGGTCCTGGGCGGGAGTAGATCAGCCAGGAACGTTTGTCACATCGGGGGGGACCCACGTTGCCAATGTAACACCCGCCTACAAACAAGACTGCGAGAGCAGCATCGGGGGCTGTTCCGTAGATCTTCAGGGTTACTCTTACAGAGACCTTGCAGGTGAGCCCACAAAGTTTTAGCGGCGGGAATTTGACGAGGCAAGATCCCGCCTATCAAGTCGTTTACAGGCCACATCACCCCCTTCCATGGTTCCCCTCAACCCCGACAGTCACCTTGTTCAAGCGGATGTTCACCACTCTTCTTGTGCAGTAGCTGGCAAAGTAAAGCCGTCATTTTGGAAATCTAGGAAATTGCTGTCATGATGGGCTGGATCATCCCCATTATCCGTCTTGGCTGGACGCCTCGTTTCCTAATGGCTGCAGGAAACAAGTGCAATTCTCGGTTGCCATTGATGGAAAATGTGCAGAGTTGTTTCTCCGGCTCTACCAGATCGTGGGATAACCAAGGGTCCCCCACAAAAGGAACCCTGTTCCATGTTCCACTGCCCCAATGTTAAGCTTTCCCCGCAATCTCTTGTCAACCTTGGAAGACCGGGGTGCAGCGCTAGAGCTGGGAGGGCGGCAGCCGTGCGGGGAGAAGGAGGAAGATGAGAGCCAAGACTCCGCAGTCTAATTGATACTCTGTCTCCACCTGGGTACCCAGGTACCCAGGCACTTAGCAGCCATGCGAAATTAGAATAGGGACTAGACCACTGTCCGTAATCATAATCTCTCCAAAAGGGAAACAAAAGATATTACACATGTGGGCAGGTGGGCCATTGTGACAAAATTGGCTGAGAGGAGGTTCATAAGACGACGGTGATACACCTTTGACGTTTCGAGTTGTTCACTGCCCAAAACCTGCTGGACTTCAGGAGGCAACACGGAGCCTCCTACTATTGCATGTACTCCATACAACTTCTGTGTACTTACCTAAGGAAGTATCAACTGAAATAAGGAATGGTGGCCACCGCCTACCCTAGGGTAGCCAACGTCATAGCGAAGATTGCACACGCGTCTCGACGAAGACCCGGAAAATATATCAAGCCTTTCATGAACCTTCACGCTGGCACCTTTGTGAGAAGTCCACATTCTCTCTAACGCTTTGCCCCCCTCCCGGACTTTGGGCATGCAGCTTTAGGATGCAACTGAGTCTTTGGACCTTTGGATACAAGGTATATCACAATCGACACCCAAAAAAAAAGCTTAGGTAAGCCTTTCTTTTGAAACTTAAAGTCATTTCTCCTCCTAGTAAAACAAACATGTTTCGTTTGTCGTTAGCAAGCAATGACGTTGTGAACCCGCAACCCTTTGCACTAGCACTTTGGTACACTTCCAAGCCCCTTATTAGCAGGGACTTGATGCTTACATGGGGGCTTTTAGGGCTTAGTTCAGCCTCATCAAACGCGACATGCCCCTGAAAATTTGCTGTCAATAGCCCTTATCTCGACTAAGAGAACTAGCATGAATATAAGAAACTATGTGTATGAATATGAAGGGTATGTTCTTAAGAAAGCATTTGCAACAGTATCAGTAAGTAGCAAATGCTCAAGGTGCAAGCAACTTAGAGATAACGGGTAGTTGATAGGTCTAGGCATGCTCGCAGACTTATCTACCCTGGTAGTATCAAAGGCTTTATGATAGGTATCGCCTCAGCAGCTGATCTAGTTTTGAAATATGTGGCAAGCCTCAATTGGGATGTAGCTGTAGATATATTGGCGAAAAGCGCCGTTGCTGAGCGATTAAGTTCTTCGGGTGTAACCGCACGGCCTGAGAGAACAGTCGTCTAAGTGTGCAGGCGCGCTCATTTGATGATGAGAGTCTATAGCCCAATGGCAACCTAAGAACTTGAAATGTTGAGCAGGTATGACAGAAACTTGAACGTCTATCATAACAAAGTCAACAAAGATATGGGGTTTAGTTTGCATTTTGGCCTATGCTCAACGCAACATTTGCTAGAAATGGTCTCTCTTTTCCTTTTTTCTTTCTTTGTTTTTCTTTCCACAGGACACTTCTGCTGGAGCAGGAACATACCTAGGTATGTATCCATCACGTCATAAAATGTCCGATTGTGAATTATAGAATCATAATAGAGTATCCAGTGTTGTGTATTCACAGATTGCTATCCTAGAACCCACATGGTCACAATGTTTATGTATGTGTCTTTGGTATCATGAATTGCCAACATCCCAACCCTTTTTATCACCATCATGAAAGAGCTAGTGAACGAATTAAAATAGAGATGAGCTTAATCATCAGCTTCAAAGAAGCTCCCTTGAAGGCTCGCCCTGTTGTTCAAAAAGGTAAGATCAACCCTGCAGCCCATGGTCCTCCCATCAAGCTTTCGGATGGTCTCTTCAAACATCCACCACACTGCAGCCAGCCCGGCGGCCACCAGCACCTGCACCACGGAGACGCCGATGCCGGTGCTCTTGAGCCCAGCGGCCGAGGAGCGACCTACAATGGCGGAAGGGATAGCCATGGCGAAAATCCCGCCTGACAGAGTCCGCCAGACAGCAAGGCCGACCTCCATATCGGAGACGCTGCGGAGGGAGATGGCCAGGTTGGGCGAAGTGAACTGGGCAGAACGCTTCAGTAGAGGCTTTGCCGGCGCGTCGAGGATGTAGGCCCCGGCGGCAAGGAGGCCGAGGAGGAAGCTGATGGCCGAGAAGCGGAGAGAAGAAGCATTATTATTAGAAATGTAGAGGCCGAAGCCCAGGATGCCGATAAAAGACAGCAAGGAACCAGCACCGAGAACGTAGATGTGAGTTGATCGGGTCTTGAAGGCCACCATTGTCTGGGACCACGACGGCCACAGTGCGAACACGGCCACGGCGGTGGTGGAGAGGACGAGCGGGAATGTGAGGAGGGGCCCGATGGTGGCAGGGAGAAGTGACGCGGGCGCGGGTGCAAACAGGCCCGAAAGAGAAGCGGAGAAGCCCCAGAGCAAGGAGTACGGGAGGAAAGAGGCCAGAAACGCTAGGACGGTCGTGGGGGCGACCATTGCACGAGGCGCCTGGAGGAGCACATCGGCACTGATGATGCCCTCTGACGGCCCGCGGTAGGAGACCGGTTTGGCGACGGTCTTGATGTAACGAAGCACGGTTTCTTTGGTAAATCTTCTCCTTGCCCATGGCGGGAACCTGGTCGTCGCGCCGGTGGACCAACCCGTCGTGGGCGTCTTGATCAAAGAATTTGTGCGGTCGAACATGGTTTCGGGGGCAGCAAGAACGAGCAAGGGGATCGAGACCACTTGAAAGACTGCAAGAATCTCGAACTGCAAGCTGAAGCCTGCCCGGTTCTGTGAGGTCACCCCTCCGATGAGGGGAGGACCCCAGACTGACGCAACAGATACGATACGGTGGGTAGCTAGTTTGGCAGAGCGTTCGTGTTCCTGTGAAGGTCTTGTTAGCAACGGTCAGGGGAAGGACTGAGGCTCAGGAGGTCTTACGAAGTAGGTGTCGATGATGGAGCCGACCACCAACGTGTCGAAAGGGCCCCATCCAAAACCCTGGAGAATCCTAGCTGCCATGAACTGCCCGTAACTTGTTGTCACCCTGGTGTTCCACACCAACCCGATAAAAATCAATACCATGGACGCGAGGAAAACTGGTCTTCTGCCCCAGATCCTGGCTGCAACCGAGCCTGCCAGACCCGTGATTGCTGAGAGCATAAGCGGCACTCCTGTGAGGGCCGCCACAGCCGTGTAGGAGGTTGAGTATTGCTGTGCCAATTGCTCGTTCACGCTGACGAGTGCGGTTTTCATGACATTGCAGATAACCACAGTTGCCAGCAGAGCATACAGATTGAGCTCTTTCTTAAAGTTGGACCAGCTCTATGTGGTGTTAGCGTGAGGCATATGTTGGACAGGAGCGGTTCGACCTTACCAGAGGGTCCTCAGGGTCGTCACTGGGCTGTGGAATCAACTCGGTGGTGGCATACTTGCCGCGTCCGTACTTGATACGATTGCCCTTGCCTGTGGTTGAAGTGCTGTATGTGGTATATGAAGTTTTGAGTTGGGACCGGTTTGACCTCGATGTGGATGGCCTGCTCGAGTCGACGATGACAACCCTGTCTGTGGTGAGCGGCCCATCTCGGGTCAACGACGACAGACGTAGTGAGGATGGCCTTGAGGGTCTTGCCGGCTTGGCCGGGGCTGGGATAGTTATTTGGTCTGGCGGTGACATGCCAAGTGGGTGGGGCGTAGACATGGTCTCTCTCGGCGTCTTCTCTCTGGGTTTGGTCTCATTCAGCCTCGTTGGTGGGAAAATGTTGAGTGTTGAAGCAGTAATCCCAATCGGTATGGCCGCAGAGGTTGCTGAGGTCCACCTCGCCAGATCACTGCTGTCAAGGCTCTCCTGTTGGCTGTCGTCTTCGGTCTCGACGTCGGATTTCCCCTGGCTTGCGCCAGCACTGCCCGCCTGGTCCTCGGCATCCTCGACCTTTCGCTTGATATAAATACTGTCTTTTGCGGGCACTGGCGGTGGAGGTCCATAGGCTGATTCGCGGGGTAATACTGCGGACTCGGCGAAAGATTCTGCTGCTGACTCTCTCGTCGTATCTGGCTTTGGCCTGGGTGCCGTGCTGTCCCTGTTGAACAGGCCCAGCTTCACATCGGCGTTGGCCAGGTACGACAGGTCCCGCAAGTCGTCCCCATCATGAGCCATGTTGAGTGATGGCGAAAGGCACCAAAGAGAGGGCGTATGTGTTTGTGAGGGGGATGTCTCGAAATTACAATATTAAACAAAAAGATGTGCCGCCAGCAGCAATCACGTCGACGGCCCGGCCAACGGATCAAGGAGAAGCAATGGGACTCAGAAGGAGAGGCATATGGGGTGAAGGAAAGTGAAAGGTAGCAGCGAAGCAACGGTATGTTCGGCTGGGTGACACCGGAAGGCAGCAGAGTGAGTACCTAGTCAAGTACGGAGTAGCTACCCAGGTGGGTACTTAGGTAGGTGGGTAAGCAGTGGGTGGAGGAAGACGGCCGACCTCTTCAGGCAGAATGACCCAGAGTGAAACGGGCATTGACGCAGCAGGTGCGGATGGGAGCGCGTGGGTGGTCATGGCGTTGGTGTTATAGAAATATTGCGGGTCGGGCGGAGGAGGAGGCTGCTGGGAGGAGGGAGGGCATGCAGGAATGGCGTCGTCCGGCGCACCCTGGTCGATTGCCTCTCTCCCTCTCCAGTGTGCATTGCATTGGTTTGGTTTGAATAGTTCATGTAGGCTTAAGGCCGTGCCCTCTGGCCAGAAGGCGGCGGGACAGAGATAGGCTGAAGGAGACGGGACGAGATGAGATGAGACCTGGCGCCACAGAGCCGGCTAGCAGGCCAGCTCGAATGTGCCCCGGTGTGGTGGGCCAAGCGAGGCTGGAGCTGGCTTGAGTGCCTGGGTGCGAGGCGACGTGGGCGACGTGTGGATTAGACTCAGGCAAGCAACCTTGTCGCGAACGGAACGGGAACGTGAACGTGGCAGACGAGCTGGTGGAGGCGGTTGTCCAGAGGGCCGGGACAGGGAGAAGGGCCGGAGCCCGGGTAGATGGGCAGGCGGGGTGACGTCTTGAGAAACACGGGTGGAGGAGTCGATCTTGTCGGTCCTGTCAGTCCTGTCACTTTTTTTTCGCTCTTGTCAGGCCCGCCAGCCTGCCAGCCCAGGTCAGACATCAGATCTCAGACATCGGACATCGGACATCAGACAAGGGAGACTAGACCCTGCCGTACCTGCCCGCCTGCCTGCCTGCCTGCCAGCCCTGCCTGCCCATCACTTTGCTGCTGCGTCGGGGAGGGCAGGAGGGGTGGAGGGGTGGGGCGGGGGCTACCACTGTAGTGTATTGACCCCTGCCTCGTGAGCAAGCCCCTTGTTCCCGACTTGCCGACTCATGGGCCACTCAGGCACGCAGGCACGCAGGCACACAGGCACACTGGCACACTGGCACACTGGGTTGCAGGTGACAGAGCTCGGGCCTCACATGCGGCTGAAACAAGCTTGACGTGGGACTAGTCGTCGCGGTGAGGGGTTGATCAACGGCCACCCGTGGCACCTAGTCTACACTACTTACCGTGTGCTGGATACAGTACTCGGTACACAGACAGGCATTGAACTTGGACGGGTGTCGTCCTGGCTGGTCACTGCCGAGTGTCCCATGGCTGTCGCCCATGCTGCCATGGTCGGTTCGTTGACGGAATAGTTGTCTGCTGAGCCCACCAGATCGGCAGAGACCAAAACGAAAGACGGGCAGGGTTTCCTGTGACAGCTCCTGCTGTCTTCTGACACAGGGCCCAGAGCTTCAGTGGTGTGGGGCTGACATGCTCGGTAGGGCGCCCGAGGTGACAGGACATCAAAGCCGGTACCCCGGTACATATGTGCCCCAAGCACGAACCACGAACCACAAACCACGGAGTGGAGTTTCTCTCGTCTTGACCCTGCAGTTCCCGAGTGCCCGCACCCTCCAAAACTCGCACACCACAGCATTCCCATCAGCATTCCCATCAGTATTCCCATCAGATAGATATCACGAGCCACGCCACTTGTTCGCCACTGCCGTCGTCTGTGTGCCGGCTTCTACTCTGCCAGTCTGCCAGTCTGCCAGTCTGCCGGTGTGCGTATGATGCGGTTCCCTGCTCGGTGTCGGGACGATCAACTGCACTGCACCGCTTATTACTGCGTGTTATCGCGATGCACCCTCACCGAGGAACAGAGGCATTGCCTAGCCTTCCTGGGCCCAGCACGGCTTGGCTAAGGCCGAAACTCCCGTGCTCAATGGGGCCAGGGCCACGCCCCTCCATGCTGGCCGCACATCTCCAGGCACGCTTGCTCGGCCCAGTCCTGCCGGTCTCTCTTTTGCTACCCGGTCGGGAATCGCCAGCACCCAGCTGCGTCGTCGTCGTCGTCGCTCTCGCGAGATGAGTGGCTGTGCCCAGGGTTGCGAAATGTCAGCAGGTGCGGGGCCAAGCTCACTGGCCCGTCACCTATTTCTCGTCGTCCGAACACCTCGACCTCAACCTCGACCTCGACCGCCCACGACACCACCCGCACCTGTGACACTCAGACCCTCTAGTCACCGCACCATCCCATCTGTTTGCATACCCTCAGACTCTCCCACGGAACGCCGCTATCATGCAACGCACAACGGCTCCGTCTTGCAATCTCACCCAACGCCACTGCAAACAAGCCCGTTTCCGTCTGGTTGATGTGCTGCCCGCTGCCCGTCGCGATTGGCCCACCAGGCCCCTTGCGTCTGCATCTGCTTCCTCTTCTGCATCTGCTCTGCATCTGCTCTGCACCTATCTGCACCTGCATCTGGATCACATCTGTTCCGGCTCGGGCCCCGACTGACGCTCCAGTCTGGTCCGATCCTCGTCCTTTGCGCAACCTATCCGTCACCTGTAGACCACCTGGGCACGTAGCCGTGAACGGACCTACTTCAGGCCAAGACTAGCACTATATGGGACGGTTTGGTAGCAGTCGGCTAGTAGCACTACTCCTAACCTGGCTGCCTGGCAAGTCCTTAAACCTAGCCAACTAGCCCACTCATCACTAATTAAAGTCATTCATACTGCGTCGCCTTTTCTGGATTCGCTACCACCCCTTAGCTAACTTAGGACGCCTAGTTTGGCTCGTATATCTTTAGCTGCCGCTGGCATAGCGCTACCTGCCTACCTGTCAACCAAAATATCCATTGTGATCGACAAATGTGCGTGTAACCATTGGCGCGGTGTCTACACCTATAGTTGCGCACCATAAGGGCAATGCCAAGTGAGAACGCCCAGAACAAACGAGTTCGACTTGTGTGTTGAAGAAACAGAGTGAACCCCTCACGGCTCCCTCCCTTTTCTCCTTATAAACAAACTCGGTCGAGCGTTTGCGCGGCAGGACCCGTCACAGAGCAAAGAGGCCTTTCGGCATACCCAACCGCGACAGAATGGGCTCTAGCTTGGCCTTTGTAACGGCGATCATACTATCACGCCTCATTATACATAAACCACACTAACAGGATGTGCACAAAACACCTAGATTCCTCGTGACCAATGGGTCTGGTGTGTGAGGTCGCCACTAGCCGAAGAGATCGTCGCCTCTAATGCAGCAAGCAAACGTCAAACCGACCTGACGGCTGGAGGGCTGGAGGGCTGCCCCCTAAACCGACACATATATACCGCCCAAATATGAACCAAACAAGTCCCCCACCCCGGAAGCACACCTCGGTCAGCCAAAGACGGTGGGGCCCTTGTTGCGGGCGGTGTGATGGTGTCCGACTATTTGGAAGACAATGTATAGTTCCCGGGTGATAATGCACATTGTGGCCGAAGACGACCACACTAATGCCGGCCCCATTTCCCCTTCCTGCGCGGACAAGGCTCCTCAAACCACAGAACCAGGCTCGCCAACAGGTGACCGAAGCAGCCAAGCGGGCATGCAGGCGGCCCGGAAGCTCATGCCAGGGGAAAAAGCCAAAAAGGCAGTCTCGCGTGGGTCCAAATGCTGTGCTGCCATCGATCATTCCGGCCCCCTCAAGTGTTCTCGTCCTCTCGTTGCTAGGCATGGCCCGTTATCCCGGGGACGTGCACACACCGAGCCCGACGAACGGGTCGAGCTGTCAGATGCGATTTGGTTTCGGCCCACAGAGAAACATGTGCGCGGCGATCCTCAGTCGCTCGGACGCATCACAGTTCCACTTGACTGCACAATCTCATCTTCAGTGTTCCCAGGGTTTGTATTAGTGCGCGCTAGACTTGATTTAGACCGATCGCTTGCGATCGGTCGGGCAACAAACAGTACATTACGGTTTTGTATGAGTTTGTAAAAATATTTAAAGACATGTGTGCGGAGAAGCGGGTTGTGCGGGAAAGAAAATCTTCGGAATTCCACCCGTGGACTGTTCAAGCTGGTCGCATCCATAGATCCCCACGCGACGATCCAACGGACACACACAAAAGCTTAGCCGCTAGTCCAAGTGAATCTTGATCTTGATCTTGATCACACAACTCAGGTGGTTTCAGTGAGGCGGGGGCATTGGGGATATCGCTGTCGCATCCCAGCAGAATGCGATGCTTTCAAGTAGATTGTAATACGTACAAGCTGGGTCAGACAACTGTTGTGCGGGCTCAGTCTCCCGATCCTCGGCCACCCATTACCAAGACACGATTGAAACCCAGCCCAGGTTGACATGTCGGATCTCAATGGTCAGAAGGACGATTTGTCAAACCTCGGCCAGCTAACCCCCACCTCCCGGGCCTGCATGCTCCTCCAGGGTAACAGAGTCAGAGCTTGGCCCCTGTGTTCTGCCCAGCCCTGAAGTCTCGCTCCCTCTACTGCCAAAAGGGTACCTCTGCACAAGATCCATGTATGATCACATACCTGCTGTGCAAAATTGAGTCCCTGACTCAGGCGGCCACTTTTGTCGGCTATGGACAACATTTTTCTTCCATATGCACAGTCGGCTGTTACTCACACAGATAGTCCTCATCTGAGTTGTCTTGCTTGATAGGTGTGGGGACTGAGGAAACTTGTGATACACACTATGCGATTGTTCCCTGGGCAGTTAAAGCGATATTAGGCCCTACCTCTGTAGCTACCTACTTATCTACTTACATGTGTAGGTACCTAGCTCGTTATGGAGGTAATTAGGACAGTTCTATTAACATTTGAAAGCAATGAAGTCTAAGTGTAGCCTTTTTTTAAGCCTCTCTTATAAATCACAACAAGTATCTCATACTTTAATAAGGATTTATAACTACAAGGCACAATATATCTTTCAAGATAAATATAATACAGACCCAGTTATATACACAATGTATTAGGGAGAAATAGGAAGTAAGAATTAAAAGGGAATTCCACCTAAATTTCAACTTCTTATAAGTCTCACTGCGCTAAATGCTGTAGGATTCTAAAGCCTGTGAAAGGAAAGGATGACCTGGTTGAACACAAAACAGCAAGTGCTCAAGTGCTACTTCATGAGAGCGGTGGGATAAGATAGACCTAGGTACTAAGTAGAACCATCATGAATCCATTGTACATGTCTGCAGTTATCTTTGGCCTTCAGGTGTCCCAAACACTGATCCGCACTTTCAAAGGTCCATTATATGCTTCTCCACAATTAGGAAACATTACTCAAATAAGCTAAACCTATGAGGACACGCATGCTGTCGACTGCTCCATGTGCCCTGTAAGTAAGTACAGGCCAACTAGTCCCAGACTTGACCTCGGGGGCAGCTTTAGGCACCTGGTCAGGATACGCCGACATAAATACCTGCCGTGTGTAGTTGGCAACAACCAAATTCGGTCCTGGGAGCACATCGATGCGAAATTCAACGTTGTAAGCCTTGCCTGTGAGAGCACTGAATGCTTCCCCGTTTTGGACGAGTCGCGCAATTTTGCCAGGCACAGGATATTTCACCCACATACCATCAACTTCAAACTTTGGAATCGGCATACTATGCAACAAAACACACAGACCTAATTGTTGTACTTGGATGGGATGACAAGCAACCCATGACTGGTCCCGTTCACGGGTTGAGCCACAGAAAAGGATGTACCCGCACACGCTGTACTTGTCTGACCCTCGTTTACCTAGCGTCTTGATTCCAGCAGGTCCCAAGCGGCTGGACCTGATTATGGTCTCGAGACCCGCAAAGATTCGTGGGCGTATTTGAATAACACTTTGGAATTTATAATCTTCGCAAGTCTATCGTGCTAAAAGGGTATCTCGCAGCAGCACTCTAAGCTGTATCTAGCACTGCTCCAAGTCTATCTAACATGTTACCTAGGTAGGTACCTAGGTAGCAAGTGCGGTGATGTCTACTGAATTTGCGCCCCTTTCCCCTCCTTTACCCCTCTAAAAAGGCCAAAAGTACCAATGAAAACAAATACGCGAATTCCTGTCTCCGGATCCTGCAGCATTTTCATTTTCATAAATGGGTTGATATGTTTCTGTAGGTACGATTCCGTGCCCCTGAACTCATACGGGTAGACTTAGGGCACGATGCTTGTATGACACCCAGAAGGTCGAAACATGTTGACTTGGGGACGCTCATGAACACTAACCCTATCTCGGCTGGTGTTCGGTTCCGCAGCACAACAGTCTCCCGTGCGAGAAAAGCCGTTGCAGCAGTACCGGCCCCGAAATAGAGTTTGCTCGGTGGTCTGCGAGGGGTCGGGAATGCGCCCATAGATCCTGCGAGGAACCCCGGTCAACTCAATCTAATCTTGGCCCTGCCGCATGGTGTCAAGTTCTCGGCTTTCGCCTGAGAATTGTGGCCTGTCTTCGTTTCGGCTTTTCGGACGAGAATGAGGATGTCCGCTTCTCGTCTCTTGGCGCGATGAAGCCTCGGATGGCCGTGAGAATTCCGTAGTGGTGTCGGATGCCGTCCTAAAACGAGGACTCTGCTCTGACGGGGGAGCAAAGGCTCGGGACCTCGTTATGACTCGCTCATGGGATAATGATTTTGTCTCGATAGCGGTTGGATATGGCGATCAGACACCACCAACCCAGACTGACGGGGCGGACCCGCCCCAAAGTTGGCGGTCGTATGTGTTTGCGGGTGGCATCCAGAAGAACATCTGTTCACCCTTGCAGGGAACTTTGCTGCCGGTTTCGCGGACAAACCCGAGATCTGGAAAAGAATGTGAGCAATCTTCATCATACAAATGCAAATGTTGTTGTCCACTTTGTTGTCGTGGCTTAAAGTCGGGTCTGTAGGCGCGAAGGCGGCATCATCCTTGTGGTGTCGTCGACGTCGTTCCCCTCAAGCTGGACTGCAGCACAGGTCTGTGCGTATTTGACGGAGGTGAGGTGCCCCGAACATCACGCGAGGAGACTTGCCCCGAACTCCACGCATGTCTGTTCTTGGTCCCGACCGTCCTGCCAAAACCGCACAGCCATGGACCTCTCCCGGGATTTGATTGTCCTAGATGGATGCAATGACGATTGCTTTACCTGTATTGTGGATTTCCTGATCCTCTGCCTTCTCGACCTTGAGAAGCAGCTGGCCCGTGCGGACCAAAATCTCCTGGTATTCCAGTTCGTATGACACGGGGAGATCCTCATCTTCCTCTTCCTGGGTCCATATCGCCGGCCCGGCTCTCGCTCCAAGGTTCTCGCGAATCTTGAAACGCAGCCCGACGTTCTTTTGGCGGTCGGTCCACAGGATCTGGTCTTGCTCCTTCAACTCGCCCTTGTGGCACTGCCGCAACCACCGCCTGAAGACGCGCACCACACCGTCATTGATGTTGACGTGGGAGAGGTACAAGCCTCTCCTGGACGATGTCTTGACCATGCTTGTGACTGTGCACAGCTGGCTAAACATCTCGCCATCGTCCAGGTCAACCGTCACCGTTGCAGTGTCGTCACCCTCGACGGCACCGCCACCTACGCTCGGATACCTCGACCTTGACCTGCTGTTTCCCCCCTGCAAGACGGGCCTGAAGCGCGAGTACAGTCGACCAAACTGGCCGAAGCTCATCTGGTTTTCCTCCTCGTAGCCGCTGAGGCCGTCTGTGCCGAGGTAATTACATTGCAGGGTGGGTGTTGAGATCTTTGCGGAGGGGTGGTAGCACTCGAGGATGAGTTCATGCTCGGGCAGGAAGGCTGCGTTGGTCAGGCGGGTGTGGATCAGGCGGATTGCAAGGTCGTGGAAACGGCGGTTCACACGGGCGAGCGGAAGGAGCTCGATGGTAGTCAAGGGACTGAGGATTTGCATGAGGATCTCGGGTTGGGTTGTTAGCTGTGCTTGCTGTAGAAGGGGCAGGGGTCAGCGCATGGGCAGGCTCACCTCGCTGGGGAGGTCATCGATGTTCATGGGGATGCAAGCCATATTGGGCAACTCCATTGTGATGGTGGTTCTTGTGTGGTGACGAGGCGGTAAGGCCGGCTTGGCGGACAGAGCTTGGTAGTATTGTTGACGAAGAGTCTGAGTATGGTATAGCAGGCTCTCCGGGGGCAAGATTTGAGGCTGGGGGCTCTGTTGATATTTGAATAGACAGGACAGGTGAGGCGCGAGTCCGCAAGGCGGGACGGCTCGCCTGGTCGATGGCTCGATGGCTTGACGGGGCTCTTCCGAGTCCAAGGTGGCCCTGGGCGGGCCCGATCAGGCTGGGAAACGGCAGGGTGGCCCGAGCTCGGGCTTCGGTGCGCTGGGCGCTGAAGAGTACTGGATGAAGGTATCGAGAGGGCTGGCTAGGGGGTGGTTGTACGAAAATGGATACGGGTGTGGTGGTGCGATTAGAGTGGTGGGCAGACAATGTCGTATGGTATGGGACGGTCAGGCTGTGCTGATAACCGTCGGATGTACCCAGGCAGGTAGCCTGTTAACATGAGTGGGTGTCGAAGGGGCGGAGTGGTGATAGGCTGAGACCAGGCGAGCAGGTCCGCCACGGGAAACGTGCATGACAATCATGGTCGAGACTCGACAAACGGACGAGGTAAAGTGGATCTCGCGGCGCGAGGTCGCGCGTCCAGGCCCGCGGGAGGGGCTCCCCTGGCAGCTTGGGGTTGAAACGGGTCGCCTTCAGCCCTACAGGTGGGCCTCGCTCGGGTATTCTCGACAAAGAGCTTCGGGCAGAAGGCTGGATGGACATGCTGGCACGGGCTGGATGGCACCATCGAATCTGCTTTTCCTCCTGCGCCTGCCTGTGTCCTACTCACAGCGACTCTCCTCTGCAGAACTGGCCCGGACAACGGCGTTCTGCTCCGAGCCTCCGACTCGACTCAGCTCTGTCACCGCGCTCCACTGCGGCCCGCCAACCAAGCTTGGCTGCCAGGCTAGTGGGGTGAATGGACTGCTGCACGTCGAGTAGTGTAGAGGGGGTTTCACACATGCTTTGATCGTCGCAGCGCAGACAACTTTTTCTTTTCTTTTCTCTTTTCTTTCACATGTGGGAAGGCAACGCGAGGTGCCACGACTCGCACCGTATCGCGTTTCGTCGTCTCGCTGTTTTCCCTGAGGTCGACAGATGCCGAGTCAGCCCACAATTCGGGTAAGACCGGGCCTCAGACCAAGGGGCGTAGTGCCCGGATTGCATGCAGCCTGTACTATGTAGTAGATGACGACGTCAAGTCATGACGATCAAGATTCAGTCAGATTGCCTGCCACTGTGATCTCCAGCCAAACAAATACACATGGACTGGACCTTTGGCGGTCACTGGCGGCATCCTTCCTGGCAGCCTGGTTTACGCAACGCACATCCCGTGCACGGTTATCTCCGACTACCTGGCAGTGGTGATTTGGTCCAACATGGGACCAACAGCAACGTACCTAGGCACCACACACATACATGCACACGCACACTGTATCTTGCATTGTAACTGCCGCAGGGCACCTGCATCAACCAACGGCCGTGCAACTAGGACCGCCCTCGTCACCACGGTCATGGCAACAATACACGCACACCTTGTACCTGAGTCAGCACTGCTCTGTCGCCATCCCAAGTCAATCATGGTCGAGGCACTCCTCAATGGCCCCACTCATGCAACATCTTCTGTATGGACCCTACTCATCACAAACTGGATACATGTGCCAGCTGCAGCCGTGTTTTCGACATTGTACGGGCTGGTATCAAGGCACTCCAGCACAAGTGTCCTGCTTTCCACCCTGCCCGAGTCCTATCTTTTGCTTGCACAATATTGCGAATGCGTGCCATCGCCGGTGATTGAATCACAGGTCTGCCGTCTTCCCATCACTGGGTAAATGAAGTACTCTCGCCGCTCATTTCTAGCTCTTAGGGACTCGGAGTCTTTCGGTTCTCGTCCTTCTCTTCCGGGCCGCTGAAGCAGGCTCGCACAAGGTTACTATTCTGTGAGAGGACCTGGCCGACCTTTCAGAGGTAACGCACTGAACACTAAGGCCCGTCTTGTGATGTGATCTTGCAACCTCGGTACTTTCCTGAAGTCTGGTGCTGGGGCATTCGTTCCAAGTCAGGAGGCAATCAAGGAGCAGATGCCCAGGTGCTGTATCTTGCTCTTCAGTTGTAAGTTAAGCTCGAACTAGTAATATATCTACTTGTCATAGCCCTTCTTTTGGTGCTCTGCTCTCAATTTGCGTGGTAATTAGTGTGGAATTCGGCCACTGATACGACGACCCGTCACCTCGAGATCATACAATGAATACCTTGATGGCACCGTAGAATTAGTTCAGGGCTCTCATGAACACCTTTGATGATTTGACTGCCAGTCCCTTCGTTGGTCAGGGTCAAAAGGACTGTCACGCATTCACAACGATTCAAATCTGATACTGTTTCTGAAAAAGTGAAGCATCCCCCACCAATTCTCCAGTGACTTGGATTTCCCCTTCATAGCCACAAAGTCGGCCTCTCCAAACGGGACCTCAAACGAGTTGAACCATCTTTCTGGACCAAACAGAGCATAGCTGCAAGCACATTCAATGTTTATCTGTTTGGAAGGGAGCTCTGCAGCTACCTGGTAGGGTATGGCATACGCTTGTCAGCCCCGAGCCTGTCCAGACCAACATTGGACTCGTGCCCCCACACCCTGGACCCAAAGGACCTTTCTGTTGCCTTAGCTGCTTCCTTCATTCCTAGGTATCCAGAGTCCAATTTCGCCCAGCGCCACAAATATTGCACCTCCTGCCCACTGTCAATATTGTTCGCCACATTGACAACGAAAGTCCGAAGGGGCAGTCCTTCAGAACAACATGTCTGGCCTTCACCTTTTCTTAGGCATCTTGGCCTACTTGATGCTCACGTGCGCCTCACCCCTTGGCGACTCCTCTCACTTCTTTGCCGACTCTTTTGGCCCAAAAAACATCTCAAATTCCCGCACCGTGGTCACCGACAACACGGCAGCTGACTTTCTGACCCTGCTATCTGCGCAATTTGACGTCAAGAACCCCAATCCTGCTGACAAGGGCTACGTTCGGGATGATTCTGACGGTAAGTACCTAAGAGAACATTTGATCTTATGTTCATTTCGTGGTGGAGAAGTGTCCACCAAGCCTCTTTTGTAGCTAGGTTACCCAATAACTACAGCTGCTGCACACCTGCCATACGCTTCACTGGCATTGGCGAGAGAAATAGGCTTCTAACATTGCACTAGGCCAGGGAACAACGATCTTTGTGCTCGACAGCGGCTTCAATCTCGAGAGGTATCCTGATGAGCAGTGCTTAGATCAGCGGAGAATCGACACGTTTGTGCTTGACCAAAACATTCGTACCGGCGGACCACTCACCCAAGAGGAAATAAACAATGGCGACTACTTTCCACCATCGGACAGCAGTGAGTAACCCCTCACCTACAACTTCTCAGACCCTGACACCTGGGGATCGCCTATAGTGGACGACATTGCCGATTTGTACGGGGATAGACTGTTCCACGGCCACGGAACCCCAATTGCCATTGTGGCTGCCGGCTGTAAGACTGGCGTTGCGCGCAAGGCCAACCTATATCTTGTTAAGATGAGCGAATTGATTATGAACGCGGGAGTTCCAAGAACGGGATTGAATAACCCCGAGAACATGCTGTACGCCTTTCACCACGTCCTCGCGGTGCTCAGTGGCCACCGGGGCCTTTCTATCCCCAAGGGCAAAGCTGTGGTTCTAGTATCCCTCTCCGTTGAGCTCAGAGATTTCTTGATGCAGAGGTACACGGCACAGGAGTACAGGACGATAGAGACCTCCTACAAGATGGTCCTGGATGCTCTGGACCGTCAGGGTGCCACTATCATCATGGCAGCAGGTAATGGCGGCAACGAACCCGTACCTTCATTCGTCGACGACTCTTTCCCTCAGCACCTGGCAACGCAGGACAGCCCATACATCATTGTCGGGTCCACAAACAACAAGGGCCAGCTCTCGAGTTTTACCTCACCTGGCCGAGGAAACGTAAGCAGCTTCCGCATATCACTTTTACCGCTTTCAAGGACAAGCATGCCCCATTTCTATCTTATAGTTACTACCTACCTAAGTACAAAGACAACGCGGATGGCAGGGTTTAGAGAGAAACTATAGCCAACTCAGGGCCCGCTCCTCGCTATTTTCACATGAAGCTACTCTCTGGTTCTTTGATGGCTAAACAGTGGTTCTGCAGACGCCTGTTACGGTCTACGCCCAAGGTGAGGACGTCACTAGCTACGACCTCGTTCATGGAACCACGCCGTGGTTGAGAAGAGGCACCAGTTTCTCGGCGCCAATTGTGGTGAGTGCTCTGGGTCCGAATGGCCTTTTCCTTTTCGTGATCCCGCCGGCTAACATGAACAGGCTGGCCTGGCCGCTTATACTCTCGGCCTGCCTTCAAACTCCCGTCTCTGTCCGTACACGGAGAATCCGGCGCCTGGTCAAGATTCAGTTGGGGCATGCATCAAGAGGCATCTGATCAGGACTGCTTTCCAGCGAGTTGAATCCAACGACCTTCTTGCACAGGATCCAGCACAGTACCATTACGACGTCCCTAAGCGGGTTCTCGTTGTATCCAACGGCGCCAGCGAGCCCACAGGAGAGGGAGGTGGAGACAATGGAGGCGATCCTACGCCCTGCTGTAAGCATTACTTTTCACCTTTTACGGATCCCCGTCTTTCATGTTTTGGAATGTTCTAGAACACAACACTTGAGGACCCGTAGCAGGACTAACTTCACCACTAGGGGATCCGGTGACGAGGCCCCAGTGCAAGATAGCAAACATCACTAAGATGTAGTCCGGGAAGGAACCAGCTGGGAGGGCAGGTGCCCTAGGGTACTCACTCGTTCAGGAGTCAGCTCGGTATTATTAGTGGCTGATTCCTTATCTAGACCGGATAGCAACGACTCGGCACCATTCATTCTTCTTGATGTAGCATTCAAACAGGCCACGAAGCAGTGACCATCGTAGTGGAAATGCTTGTGCCCTGGGTGACTCTGTTTTTTTTTCTCGCCCTGCCAAGACTTTGATCTCTTCACAAACACTTCCAAACGACTCACTAGACCTCCATCAGTCTTCATTTAGTTCTTCGAAGAAGAAAACCAGTCTCGGAATGCTTCTGACAAGAACAAGAGTTTCTGTCATTTCAGTTAGCTAATCTTTAACGAGGAGGAAACGTGCTTAACATACCTAGGTACACTGCACTGTCAGGATAGAATTTTGGGCCGAGCGGAATCAAGTCTTGGCAGGTCACTTCTAGGCAAAGGCAACCGAAGGTCTGGACCACGGGTAGTGAGTGAGCTGGGTGGAAATGCTCAAACATGAATTGTTCCAAGGCGTTGTACTAAAAGGTACCTAGGTACGTTTGGGGGGACTCGGATGCCAAGTGTCAACACCCGCGGCTAACATTTGCACGTTGACCTCCTTGGTTACCGAATGCCCGGTCGCCTCGACTTGCGACATGATCCACATCAACACAGAACAAAACAAAACTGTTCTCAGAATCAATCGAAACTGATATTTGCATGATGGCCTGTGGTTCTGGGTGCTGCGCTCCCCCAGAGGCCACGTCCACACCGCCGCCACCACGGCAACAACCCCGCAACGCACGCGCCGACTCCACGGGCGAAGAATCGCCTGACCAAGCTGACGGTTGCTGCGGCGCTGAGAATGGCAGGGTCTCTGAGGACTCCCGCGACGAGGTATGCTGTGTTGGCGAGGGTTCTGGTTCGCCCCAGTCGGCGCCAGCAGTGGTTGCAGCCACCTGCAAGGACGCCTGCTGCGCCTCGGATGAGGAGCAGCCCAGAGAGGCTACTGGGGCTGGACCGACAGACACCTGCGGCGGCGGTTGCTGCTCGGGAGACGGGCCCTCGAGGAATGCCAAGTCCAAGGCTGCTGCCACTTGCGAGGATGCCTGCTGTGCCGGCGACGACGCCGTGGACATGGCCAAGTCTGACTGTGGGCCTTCGTCCAAGGATGGTTGCTGCGACGACACGAAGCCCGAGCCTGAGGACCCCAAGAATCCAAGCTGCTGTAAGGGGAAGTCTAGCCCATGTTGCGATACATCCTGCCTGGACCGCCTTGCTGCTCGCGAGTGCATGGGTCAGTCTGTAGATCCGTCCTCGGATGGCGCCTGCGACAAAGGGCGGGACGGCAGGCCATGTGGCCAGCACAGCCAATCGACTCGCCAGAAGTATGCGGCCAAGCTAGAGGCTCTCGGGTGCCTCTGTCGGGCCCTGCTTGCGATGGGCCAGGATTCATGCTGCCCTCCGCCCAAGAGGTCGTCCCTCGAGCGAAGGCGCTGCTCTGAGCGGTCACCGTCGGCCACCCGCAGGTCCGTCGACTCGTGCTGCGCTACCGGCGCTGCCACAGCGAGCTCCCTCACCATGCGACCCAGGGCCAAGGGCAAGCCGTGCGCTCAGGACGCAGGCAAGAAGCCTCCAAAGGACGACTGCGCGGGCGGTGACTGCTGTGCCACAATCACGACAACCACTCGTCTTTCAGTTGATAGCAGACGCACCAAGCAGCGCAAGCATGGCAACGAACAGCCCGTTGACCTCGAGACTGGACTTTCGGGCAAAGAGCATGTGATACTGAGCATCTCTGGCATGACCTGTACTGGGTGCGAGACGAAGCTCAAGCGCACTCTCGCAAGCCTCGACTCGGTCAAGAACCTCAAGACAAGCCTCGTTCTCTCCAGAGCCGAATTCGACCTGGACCCAGGCACTGGTTCTGTAGCAGACGTCGTGAAACACCTCGAGAGAACCACCGAATTCAAATGTGAGCAGGTCACCAACAAGGGCACTACCGTCGATATCATAACCCCCAGTGACTCACTCATATTTGTCAATGAGAGTTGGCCACTGGGGGTTACTGATGCCACTGTCGTCAGCCAAAATGTCATGAATGTCGCCTTCGACGCCAAGATCGTAGGAGCTCGAGACCTTCTAGAGAAGGGATGGGACGCCCCGATGAAGCTTGCACCTCCCCGGGGGGACCAAAGCCTGGCCGCCAGCAGCAGACATGTCCGGAATGTCGGGTTGAGCACCCTCCTCTCCGCCACCCTCACTATCCCTGTGCTGGTACTCGCGTGGGCTCCTCTGCCAGAGAGACAGCTTGCCTACGGGTCTGCGTCCCTTGCACTCGCGACGCTGGTCCAGGTTGTGATTGCCGGGCCGTTTTATCCAAAGGCCCTCAAGGCACTCATATTCTCCAAGGTCATTGAGATGGATCTGCTCATCGTCTTGAGCACCTCTGCTGCCTACATCTTCTCAGTCGTGTCTTTTGGCCACCTCGCCGCTGGCCGGCCACTACCAACTGGCGAGTTCTTCGAGACCAGCACTCTCTTGGTGACTCTCATCATGGTAGGGAGGTATCTGGCAGCTCTGGCCCGCCAAAAGGCGGTCGAGTCCATCTCCATCCGGTCCCTACAGGCACCTACAGCTATTCTGGTCGGACATGAGGAGCGCGAGGTGGACGTCAGGCTTCTCCAGTATGGAGACACCTTCAAGGTTTTGCCTGATTCTAAGATCCCCACGGACGGCACAGTAATTTCTGGGTCTTCCGAAGTCGATGAGTCGATGGTTACTGGCGAATCGAGGCCCGTCGAGAAATACAACAAATCCGCTGTCATCGCTGGGTCGATCAACGGGGCAGGCACCCTGATCGTGAGGCTGAACCGACTGCCAGGCGACAATACCATCAGTGCCATTGCGAACATGGTCGATCAAGCCAAGCTTTCCAAGCCCAAGATCCAAGAAATCGCCGACCGTGTCGCCTCCTACTTCGTCCCTGTGATCATCACTCTCACCATAATAGTGTTCTGCATCTGGATTGCAGTTGGTATTTCAGTACAGGGCAGGTCTGGATCTGACGCTGTGATCCAGGCTGTGACATACGCAATCACAGTCCTCATCGTCTCTTGCCCTTGTGCCATCAGCTTGGCAGTTCCCATGGTCATTGTTATCTCGAGTGGCGTGACTGCTGAGAGAGGTGTGATCATCAAGTCTGCCCATCCACTAGAAGTCGCCTATAAGGCCTCTCATGTGGTCTTGGATAAGACCGGGACGCTTACGCAAGGGCAGCTCACAGTCGCACGCGAATTATGGTTGGGAGACCAGACAGAACTTGCTAAGTCGAAGTCATTGCTACTGAACCTACTGCTCAGCAACAAGCATCCCGTGTCTGCGGCCGTCGCTGCACGGCTCCAATCGACAGGCGTCATTCCCACAGACAAGACACTGGATGCAACCACATTGACTGGGAAAGGCGTTGAGGCTACCACATCCTCAGGCTCCGTGCTCCGTGCCGGCAACTCTCGTTGGCTCTCCCTCAGCCAGGACTCTCGGGTCCAATCCGTCCTCTTGCAAGGCCACACAACCTTCTGCTTCACGGTAGACGATTCGCTGGTGGCAGTCTTCGGCCTGCAGGACTCACTCCGGATGGACTCCGTGGAAACTGTCGAACAGCTGCACAAACGGGGGGTTGCGGTCCATGTCATCTCTGGTGATGACGATGCCGCTGTGCATTTAGTGACGAGCCAACTGAGCATTCCGGACGACCGCGTCCGGTCTCGTTGCACCCCCGCCGATAAACAAGCTTATATTCAAGACCTCCTCTCGGAAATGCCTCGCGGCAAGTCATCTTCCACCGTCATATTCTGCGGCGACGGTACCAACGACGCCATCGCCCTGGCTCAGGCGACCGTTGGCGTGCACATGAACAACTCGAGTGCTACCGATGTGGCTAAGTTTGCGGCTGACGTGGTTTTGATGCGGCCTAGCTTGGCTGGGATTCTCACCCTGATCAATGCCAGCGAGAAGTCCATGGGCAGAATCGCATTCAATTTTGGCTGGAGCTTTGTCTACAACATTTTTGCGATCTTGCTGGGCGGCGGGGCCTTCTCTGCTCTTCACAACGCCAGGATCCCGCCCGAGTTTGCCGGACTTGGCGAGCTGGTCAGTGTTGTGCCTGTAATCGCTGCCGCCATGCTACTTAGGTGGGAAAAGATCTAGGGCAGACTGTTTGTCATCCGGCGTTCCGGTGCTTCAACACGTGTACTTTGCGACTGACGCATTCAACATGCGCCGATGATGTGTGTGCCTTCCCGGGTCAAGGGCAAGATGCGGGGCGAGCTTGGATCATGTCTGGTTTATGGCAGCTACCAGTTTGCTTCGTGGATGTGAAGTCTTGGGCCGAGGGCGGCAAATTTCCTTTCTATGTCGCCCAATCTGTTTCAGTAATTCGCGCTAGTTTCCCCGAAGAACATACCAAGAAGCAATATAACGCGGCTCCTTGGGAAAGATGAGAACTTCAACATCCTGTGATTGAGCAAGGTCATGTGCGGCTTTAGCATCTCTGGTCCCTCTGAGGTCGGATTTTGTGGCCCTGGTTTGACTTCATCACTCTATTTTCATTTGACTACAACACCGAGTACCCGATTCCATCATCTATATCTTCTTTTACCTCGGTGTTGGAAAGAGATGCCGTCTCCAACCATACACAACAAGAACAAGTTCAGGCAGCAACCTTGGTCAACCTCACGTAACACTTCTTCGGCCCATGCACCACCCCATCAACAGCGGCATATGTTGAAAGCTCATCAGGGCATTTTTGAAACTCAAATGTCCACAGGAATACCGTCAACAGCAGCCTCAACTCCAGGTATGCCAAACGCCGCCCATAGCAGCCTCTTAGACCTAATCCGAAACCATTAATCGGACCTGCTTGGCTGTTGAATACAACCTGGGTTCCGTTGTCGTCGGTGGCGAGCCAACGCTCGGGCTTGAAGGCGCCGATGTCCTCCGCCGCCCAGACGCCGACCTTGCTGACCTTGTTGTCCCGCGCTTGCGGGCTCCTCAGCGAGTCGTCGATGTCGAAGGCTGGCTCGAGGAATGAGGGACCGGTGTTGAGAAAGAAGACATGTGTGCCCTTAGGGACGAAGTGGCCCAGGAGGGTCGTGTCCTGGACAGCGTCCCTATCAATGACGGGAACCGTATTACCGACGCGCAAGATCTCCTCCATGGTGGCCTCGAGGTACGGTATTGAGGCCCTGGTGATCTCGGCGACGGATGGGAGCCGGCCCTCAGCCTTCGCCTCGGGGAAAGCTGCCTGCAGGTCGTTCCGGACGCGCTGCTGGACGCTCGGGTGGTCTGCGAGGAACTTGACACCCCAGCAGAGGGTCGTACTTGTTGTGTCGTGGCCTGCGACGATGAAGCCCAACGTTTCAACTACCATGTCTGGAAGTTGGCAAGAATTGGTTAGCAAGACTTCAGCCAAGAAATGTCGCCGGTTCTGGGGTTGTCGGGGTTTGAATCTCACGGAGGGCATTACTTACCAAAAGAGTGAGGGTCCGGTTGTCTCCCTTCCTTCTCAGCTAGACGAGCCTCGCGATCGACCATATGGTCCAGCGCGGACCGAATCCACGAGTCGCTATCGCCTTGGGCGTTTTTCTTCCAAGATTGGACTGACTTCTCGAGCTCTTCGTGAATAGCACCATAAGTGTCGTTCTGTGCTTTCATGTACGAGGGCTCCCGCTTGATGAACCACCATTTCAGGCGCATGCTCGCGGCTGCCCTCACACGCTCGACAGTTGCAGTCAGGTAGAGTATCTGCAGTACTAGTAGTTAGTCATCAAAGCACACAAAAAGCAGCTTTTATGGGAATATAGCAAGAAGCAGGCCACAAGGTGGTTATGTCCTGTGTTAAACCCTGTAGCCTGTCAAGTCTTTGTTCTGCAGGCTCAAGGTGGAGTATGTTTGTCCTCGAAGAGACATTGACTGTGTCCAGAAGATGCTTACGTTTGAAATGGCCTGTCCTAACTTTGCCGTCGGGAGCTCGAGCGGTTGGTCAGGGCTGCTGTTGGGAAACCTGCTGCGATCCAGGCTCTGAATCAATTCGGTCTGGCTCGCAGTGGCGCTCTCCTTGAAACCTTCCCCAAACGCGAAGGCCATGACAGCATCCAGAGCCGCGTGGAAGATATCCCCCGAAGCCGAAAAGGGCCGCCCGTCAGCCAGGTTGGCTTTCAGTTCCCATAGTTTCAGGATGTTCAGACTGCTGGCATAAATTGCAGGTGCGGCAACACCGTTCAAAAAGCCTGGCGACATGAGGTCTTGCAACAGCTTTCTTCGAGCTTTCCATTCGGGCCCGGTCTTCTTCGTGATATGGTGGTCCGCACCGGCCCCGTCGAACAATTCACCAACGAATCTGGACCGGTCGAATTCCTTGCCCCGGTGCAGGAGGATATCTTGGGCCTCTTTGAAGTCGCAGACCACCAGGGTAGGCTTGCCGAACGGCTCCATGAACAACTGTGTAATTGGAGAATTGTGTCTTTTACTCTGTTTGCGAATATAGTCGGCGAAGTCTCCGGTTTTGGAAACTTCCTTGACAAGATTGGGAATATCGCCGAAGAGGTTCTTTGCGGCGGCTTTGTTATATGGGATATTAGGAAGTGGCCTTGGAAGCAGCCATTGGTAGAGCCCGTATAGAAGAGTAACCAACACGGCAATAATGATGATAGTCGCCATTGTGTATGAGGGCCAGTTCGTGGTGTTGGCCTACTGGCTTCAGTGTCGAGAGAGACCAGTTGACCCGATGGTTGGAAAGCACCTGTGCAGTGTTCACATGAAAATAAGGCACCTAGATTTAGACTGCTGTGGCTGGCGGCGGCTTGGGTTGATATAGGCGAGGGCTGCTTTGGGCTGACTGCTGTTCAGCTTCCATGCCGCGTTCTCGAAAAGAACTTTTCACCGTCCATGGATTCATACTTAAATGGTCGAGGCGTAGGCGCTGTAGGGTTCAAGGATCCACCACACACGACTTCTTCGTTTATTTTCCAACGGGGTGGTTCAGAAAAACCCGTTGGTGGAGCTGTGGGCCTGTGATATAAATGAGTGAATCCTGGGGTTCTGGAAGGCTACATTGAGAAACGCGGAGAGCCCCCCTTTTCTCGCTCAGATATCAAACTCGGCACAACGACCCACGCCACCAGCCAGAACTGACTCGGCCCACATGAACAAAACCTGAGGACGATCGGCTCAATTTAATGCTCCGATCCCGACTCAAGCCCACTGTCGCAGCTCCCACAAACGGACCATTAGTAGTAAATCCTTCGAAACGGATGGAGCACTCGGAGCTGAGGGGCCTTCTATTTGGGTCTTACTTTCCACATAATGCATACCCAAACTTTTTGACGGCTCTTCACTTCAGGCCCGAGCTGGAGTGCACCCCAAGAGGATTATCGTGGCCTCCTAGCTCGCAGCTCGAGGCCAGCGCCACCTCCATGATGGTCCCATCAGCTACCAGTTCTTCAATGGGCAGTTCAGCCGGGGATTCCTGTATTTCCTTCCGGCCTTCATTGCGAAATACATGCTGACATAAACGGAAGACACCGAAAATTGATGCCTAGTAGAAAACACTGTGAAGTTTTGCGAGCCATGAATGTGTGATAGTACGGCGTACTGGTGCTTATGTATTGCTAGGAGTGGCTAATCCTTCGGGTTTGTTATTCTGGTCTTTTGGCCGGGCGGTACTATATTCTCTTTCCACTGGAATTAGCACTATTTTTTTTTTTTTTAAAAAAAAAAAAAACGCTGAGTTTTAAGTGTTTACCACTAGAGAACGGAAATTCACACACCTAGAATCGGAAGGTATACACCCTCCCTACTATTCAGCCAATCAGAGCACAGAACCTTAAAGTCCTTACAACTTCAACAAATAAGTGTTCTTCACGATTTTAGAGGCCACAAACAGGGCGGGTTGGTCCTCTAGGAACTCAGATCGTACCTACCGGCCCTACTCACGACCCTCCACTATACTTCGCGCTCCAGGGCTCGCCCCCTTCACCCCAGCCGGCCCTTTCGTGGAAGAAGTCTATATAGAGTACTTCTTAGTCAGCAGATAGGTACGCACCTTCCAATTAAGGGTGCGCAAATTTCCGTTCTCTACTACTATACCTAGGTATTAAGGCACCATAGGTATTTTATATATATGAGGATTAATAAAAACGAAACCACTTAGCCGGGTGGGCACAGCGAGGAACTACTAGTAGCAGTTAAGCCACCTATTATAAAGTAGTTTTAATTCTAATTAAACATTAAGTCTTAAGTATTTACTATTATATAAAGGCACTATATATATTATATATATATAAAATTTAAATTAAAATTACTTTTTATATAAATAAAGTTTATATATTATTTTTAAATAGTTTTTTTTAATTCTTTTATATATATAATATATAAAATATTAAATAAAATATTATATTATATTTTTAAAAGTTTTAATTATTTATATTTAATTTAATTATAAATTTAAAAATATAAATAATTTTATTTTAATATTTATTAATATAATTTATTTATATATTATAATATTAAAAATATAAATATTAATTATTATATAAAATATTATATATATATATTAAATATATATATAATAAACTTATATATATTTTAAATATATATAAAATAAAAGTAAAACTATATATATAATAAAATAATATATAATATTTTATATAATAATAAATATTTAAAATTTAATATATAAGATTATAATATATATAATAATAATAAAATAATAATATATAGATTATTTATATTTTTAATTCTATTATTAAATTAAAAGTAAATAGTTAAAGTTTTAAAAATAAAATATAATATATTTTTAAAGATTAACTTAATTAAGTTTAATATATAAAACTTTTATAATAATTTTATAATTTATATTTATAATACTATCTATTATTAAAAGATATATTTTTATATTAATATATTAAATTATATTTAATTAGTTTAAATTAATACTATTAACTTTAATATAAATTAATCCGTTAAAAATTAAAGTTATTATAAACTATAAGCTACCTAATTTAATACTAGTAAGTACTATATATAAGTATTAAATTTATTATATAACTTAAGCCTTTTAAATTAGTTGAAATAGGCGAAAATAAAGCTAGTATTCCTCTAACTAAGGATATATATAGGTTCTAACTCTACTTTATAAGTAAATACCTATCTAGCGAACCTAAGAGATAAGTAAAACTACTTAAAAGCAGTTACTTAACTAAACTAAAAGATAACTTTTAAATAAGGTAACTATACTCTATTACTATATATAGTATCTAGATTTATAGTTTTAATAGCTTTATTAAAAAAGGAATAACTATTATTAATTAAGTTTATAATTATATAAAATAAACTTTTATTTTAAAGAAAAGTTATTAATATTTAAAATAGTTAATATATTTTTAAAGATATTAAAGAATTATAAATTTAATTTAAAAGAAATTAAGATTTAT